ATTTTGGGAGGATGCCCATGAGTAGCAATTCAACGGCACTGCCAATATGAAAACTGTGGCTGAGGACATGGGCAAGCATGGCAGATGACCAAATCCCAGTAACAAAGCTGAGGAATTCGTTCTTGAGGAGGTTCTTGGTGTCACCAGAGGATGTTTTGTAAGCAAAGAGTGCGGATGAGTGTGGAATGGAGGAGTTGATGTCAAGGTGATTTTTTAAGGCAGCAATGGGGCATAAGGGGTCACCATTGTGGCATGCAGTGAGGATAACAGTGGCTCCCCATTCTTTTGTTGTCTTGGTCCATGGAATGTTGAAGCTGGCAGAAGAGGTACCATCATGTAAAGTGTGGAAATTGATCCTGAGAGATATTTAAGAGGAGGTAGGAAGAACACAAAAAGGGAACATACTTGGCAGAATGCAGTACATGGTACTTTGGATCAAAGGCAGCGTTGATGGTGACAGTAGTTTCACCCAGTCGATGGCATCTGAAGAAGGTGATGAGGGCAACAGCCCACACAGCAGCATGAAAGGGGTTGGAGACATCCAAAGAGCGGCCGAGGCAAGAGAGATGTTCAATGGAGACAGGAGCTCGAAGAGGTAGCTTGTGCATAGTGCCTTCTTTATTTGCTGAGGTATGAGCAAGGTGAACCCAATTGTCGTCACCATACCAGGGTGTGAAGCATTCACTCTGAACTTCTTGCATAGCTGAAGCCAAGAGTAGTGCTTGGAAGTCCGGTCCAGTCCGGTCTTTTGTCAAAATTTGACAAGACCAGGACTGAGACCAGTCCTCACAAGTTGACAAACCTCGAAAAACTGGACTGAGCTGATGTCAACCGGTTCAGTGTGGTTTTTGTCAGTTTTTGTTGGTTGAAAGACCGGTCTCAACCAGTCTCAGTCTTAACTGGTTGAGACTGGTTGAGGACCGGTCTCATAGCTACTGACATGGGGAAAATGTGTATGTAATTTACTAAATATACGAGTACTACATGAGGGTGAACAACGAGGGGAAGGGGGGCAGGGGGAGCACTCACGCATCCTTGTTATTGTCCATCGTCGCCCATCTCATATTCTTCACATCATCTATCGGTCATCCATCGTCGTGGTGGTCATCCATTGCCGCTGCCATGTTGTGTTATCGTCGTCCACCTATCTCCATCGTCGTCACATGGCCGTCATCGTGTGTTGTCGTCAACACCAAAGGTGGCAGAGGGCAAGGGAGTGACGTGGCAGTGGTTGGCGGGTGTGATGATGGCTGCTGGGCATTGTGAGGATAAATAGGGGGCCAGTAGGGCTTACGATGCACTGTACTCACCATTTGATGTGCCACATCATCTCCATCTGCTGTTGACATCACAGTCTTCAAATTTTCGAAATCATGAGAGACCGAAGACTGGACTGCGGTTGCGGTCTTCAACAGTCCTGGGAATTTCCGGTCTTGGGCAGTCTTGGTCCAGTCCAGTCTCAGTCTTTTTTCAGTCTTGGGACTGGACTTCCAAGCACTAGCCAAGAGGGAAGGAGGAGGCAAGAATGGGTGGATCTAGGATCACCACCCATAAGTGAGGAATGAGTAGTTACAAGATACTCAGCTGGCCCAACATGATTATGCATACTGTAGGAAGTACAGATATACAAAGCACTACATGTAGTGCAAGAGGATGGCAATACTGCTGACAAGATGGTGGTTCAAGACAAAAGATCAATTTATTATGTAAGATATCCAAATCTAGCTATATACCACTGTTTGACTATGGCATCTGGGCATTCCCTTCCAATCCTGTATCACAAAGCCCCCCAATGTCCAGAGGGCATGTAAGGAAAACAATGGTGGGGAAGAATAATAGAATAGAAATCCTCTTGCCCCCCAGAGTGGATATCAGGATAAAATGAGACCAAAAGGTAGCAAAGCAAAGAAGATGAATAAAAGAAAGAAAAAAAATTTGGCCCCAAATAATTTCCTATCTGGAAAGCTGGTTACTGTAAGCTCCCAGCTTAACCCAGATATACCCATATGATCCTCCCATTCTACCTCTCTGGTGATGTACAACCATGAGTACTGGGAAACCATGCTGCATTGTGTCCAACATACAAAAACCAATGCAATGTATTCTGAGCAGCAGTCCACTGGAGAATGGATTCGATTTCTAAGGTCTTATGGGATCCAAAGATGCTTTCCTGCCTGTTCGAATACATCACAAGATGAAGCATTTCACTGACCAGTGCGGTGACCTTGCTTAACCCTAGTGCCCTCTCCTCTCCTCCCCCACTCCTCCCCAATTCCCCTTCCCTTCTCCCCCTTCCTTTCTTCCCTTCTCTATCTTTCTTATTTATTCATCTGCTTCATATGTTACTAGCATCTATTCTATTCTAAATGGCCACTGCTGCCATATTATTATTACCCTATGTGCTGCACCTGCAGCCCACCTTTTTGGATTAGCAGACCCCTCGCATATTGGATAGACTTGCACGTAAACAGTTGTCGTATGTTGTTGGAATAATACCCTGGAATATGGTCAAGTATTCCAAGTAGTGTTTGAAAGTCCGGTTCGGTCCGGTTTTTTGATGCCCAGGGGCGTTAACCGTAACCGTAACCAGTCTGCCTTTTCCCCAGAAGTCAAAAGACCAGACCGGACTGCAAAAAGACCGCAGACTGCAGTTTTTTGCGGTCTATAGACCAGTTCCGGTCTGCATCAGTTTTAACCGGTTTATGACCGGTCTTTAGGCCAATATTTTAAAATTATGAATTGGTAAATTTATTAACATCTCTAATAGCTTCAAACCGAGCCCAAGAACGTTAAATTCCGTTAGGAATTGGTGCTTCTATAAAATAAGTCTGGTACATCTATTATTCCCAAAAGTAATTTACATTTTAATTCATATCTCTCTCGTTTTTTTACCAAATCGTACGTTCTTGGGTGCGTTTTAAAGGGTATTTAAGGGGCTACAAAAGACCGGTTCACGTTAACCGGTTTTTTTTGCGGTCTTTACATTTCAAAAATAAAAGACCGTAACCGCAGGTCCGGTCTTTTGCGGTCTTGGTCCGGTCTGGTTACAGTCTTTTTCCAGTCATGAGACCCGACTTCTAAACACTAACCTCGAGGACTTTGTAGATAAACCCAGATTGATTACTAAGCCCTAGGAGTATATCTAGTAGTTTGTAGTATATTCTAGTAATTACATTTTGTAGTATATAAGGGCGACGAAGCTGCCCTCGACAGAATTATCTATCTTTATCCCCTATTACAACTGCGCTATATACACTCTCAACAGGTTATGGGCCCTGGCCTATAAAACTTATACACATATTCATTACACACGCATACGCTCCACATGCACAAACTTTATCTTGTATGCTTATCTACATTATGTAACCTAGGAAGAATACACAACGGGATCTTACTGGATGGAAATGCTGAAGGCCACAAATTGGATGCCATGGAAGCGACGGATGATGGCCGTGCTTCGTGACCTTAGACTGGAGAAGTATATTGCAAAGGATGCAAAACCTCCAGGATCAGCCGATCCCCAAAGCCCGACAACGGAAGAATTAGCAGTGACGAAGAAATGGGCCAAAGGCGACGCCAAAGCACAGACAAGAATAGAACTCGCTATCAGTGATGCGGAAATGATCCACATCAGTGGCGCAACAACAGCATGGGAAATGTGGGATCAACTCACCATGGTCAAGGAATCCAAGGGCAGGCTAGGGGTGCTTGCAACATGTCGCGCGCTATACAGAATGAGCATGGATGAGGGAATTGATCTGGTGGAACATATATCAAAGCTAAGAAAGCTTCAGGAAGAATTGCACCTAATGGAAAACATGGTATCAGATGAAGATTTTGTCATGATCTTGATCACATCACTCCCTGAAAGTTGGGATAATTATACTTCATCGTACCTGGGTGCATCTGGAAATAAACCAACCCTGAAATCACACAAGCTTATTGCAATTTTGATTGAAGAATACTGTTGTCGTCAAGGACGAAATGAGGAGACATCTGGAGGATTGTCTATGCAAGCTAGGCATCAACAAAAAGGTGGGAGAAATACAGGCTCACAGGGAAAGAAGAAAACAGATGTGGAATGTTACAATTGCCATAAAAAGGGCCACATGTCAAGTGACTGCTGGGCCAAAGGTGGAGGCCATGAGGGAAAAGGTCCTAAGGGCCGTTGAGGACCAAATCGAGGTGACAGATCTCATCAAACACAAGATTCCGTGAACAATTCACTAGGCGATTGTGCCTACATGGTCAACCAAAATATCCACAGTTTTTCGAAATATGATTGGGTTCTTGATTCAGCCACAATGTCACACATTTGCACAATCCAAGATGCATTTACTGATTATGAGCCGTTAAACTCTGAGGTTGATGGCATTGGCGGATCAGCAATGACACAGGGATGAGGAACAGTGGCAGTCAACTTTAGAATTGATGGCCAATCAATCAAACACACTTTGCGGAATGTGTTGCATGTCCCGAAAGCACCAAATTGCTTACTCTCAATTCCTCGCTTAGCAATTGGAGGAGGAAGGGTAGAATTTAATGGCAATGGATGCCAACTATATGACAAAACTAATAGAGTCATTGGAAAGGGAAAGTTGACAAACATGTTATATTTGCTTGATGCATGTGTGGAATTGCCAAATCGGGAAAGTGCCCAATACGCATCAATTCAGACACACTCTTGGGATCAATGGCATTGACTTTATGGCCACATCTCTGTCAATGCGATTAAAAGCTTGAAATCAAATGAAATGGTGGATGGGCTCAGGATTGATGAGTCTACAATTCCATCATTAACTTGCGAGGCTTGTATTCAAGCAAAACAAGCACACAAACCTTTTCCACAAGAGGCAAAAAATCGATCTGAGATACCTGGTGAATGCATCATGAGTGATGTATGGGGACCAGCGCAAACAGAGTCAATTGGACGGTGGAAATATTATGTTTCATTTACAGATGACGGCACACGTTTGACCGCCGTACTATTCCTAAAAAACAAGGGACAAGCATTTGACCGCATTAAGGAATATGTTGCCGTTATTGAACGGAAATTTGGAAAACCCCTAAGATTTATGCGATTTGATAATGGGAAGGAACTGGTTAATGAGAAACTTCGAAATTGGGCTGCAGAAAAAGGAATTACTATTGAAACATCTGCCCCATATTCACCTTCTCAAAATGGAGTTGCAGAAAGGTTTAATCGCACACTTTTGGAACTTGCATGAGCAATGTTAATTGCGAAAAACCTTCCAGTATTTTTATGGGACGAAGCAGTCACGCACGTGGCATATTTACGAAACCGCGTGCCCACACGCGCTTTAAACGGCAAAACGCCGTACGAAGCTTGGACAGGTAATAAACCTGACATTTCACACCTCAGGGAATTCGAATGCGACATTTGGGTGCTAGACGAGACCAAAGGTCGTTCTAAGCTTGCACCAAAATCAAACAAATTTATTTTTGTAGGATTTCACGATGGATCGAAGTCAGTCTGTTATTACGATGCTAAAACTCGAAAAATTAAAGTCTCACGCAATGTGGCATTTAATGAGAATGAAGAGCCACGAGAACTCGAAATTAAAGCTAATTTACTGGGTTTACGCGTCGAGGGGGAGCCAGAGAAAAAATCGAATGCTCAAACACCTCAAGAAATCGAAAAACCATTAAATCCTATTCCTACAACAATTCCTACATCAGCAAGATAACAATTTACTTCTCTGCTTTTAGCAGCTTTTCTGCTTGCCACAAGCAAAGAAGTCAAAAAGCTCAGAAGCTACGTTACTGAAAATGTAACAAATCGAGAAATGAGGAAAACTACACTCTACATTAACCCCTCCAACTGTGTCTTTCTCCTAGGACCCCTTTCTGGTGTATATATGAGCTACATATTGCATTTATGTACAACAACGACCTGTGGTTCAGCAGATCAGCTGTCAGTTTGAGCCAAGTTTGAGCCCATGGCGAGCTCAGCCTCAGCAGCCAGCATCTAGAATATAAGCAATGTTCTGCATGAAGCAGCGTCCTCAGGCGGCGGCCAGCAGCAGGATACAATCTGAAGTTGGCACGCATGATGGAAAGGAAGAGGAAGGAGGGCCAAGACGTGTTGACATGTCACCATCACTCGTTTCAGACTCCGACAAAGTTGAACAAGTGATCCGTCACACCCAGCTTTCCCAACTTCCACGTCAATGTCTGTCAACGTCGCTCCACGCTCCATCTTGATTCCATCCCGCCTTGAGGTATCTCCTCATGGGCTAACTTGGGGGCTGGGAACTTCCCATTGCATATGGTAAGCACGTTAATCTCATCACTCTCTATTCTTTTCCGACCCCTTTTCACATCTGTCACTAGTAGGCGCTGTGCTGTTGTGGCTGGCTGCCTCCCAGCTCCAGGTGTTTGTTAATACCCATTCTTTCTTCACACAGCCGTCACTGTCAATTTGGGACCATGTGAAGGATTGAGTGAAAAGTATTATCAAGAGGTACCGTTAATATGTCTCCTCTGTTCACTTACATTACTAATTCTTCTGTTCTATAGCCAAAATCACACCAGGTAATTTGCGACATAGCCAGAAAAAAATGCGTAGTATAGTGTGAATTGAATCAGCTTGTTATACTAATTTACATTATTTCCATTTGGTTTCTCTTTCGACGTCTTTGACTTTTTCTCAGCTTTTTTTCACTTTTTTAACTTTTTGGTAGAAGTGAGAAATTCAGCTTTTTGAGAAATTGGACTGGGCTTTTTGTCTTGTTGCTTTTCTACTTTTTCCCACTTGTAGCCACTTGCACAAGCCAAAAAAAGTAAAATGTTAAACTGCCGATGTACACAAGAAATACCAAGTCCTATTGAACCCATAAATTCTCCAACTCTTAGACCTCGAAGAATTCGCACTGAACACGATTATCGACTCCTAAATAATCCACAGGCACGACCAATGGATTGCACACTTGAAAATGCGACACCACCTGATATTACATGACACACAGAGTCATCAGCTGCGAAAATAATTTCTAAAAATCGCACTCACCTTGCCTTCGATGATTTTATCGGAAATTCAACCGAAAAAATGTTTCAAGTGCTCTCAGGATTTTCTGATAAAGATGGACTCAGAAACACTTGAAGATGCGATGCAGACTGAGGAGAAAGAGCATTGGAAGACTGCTGTGGAAGCAGAATTAAATGTTTTAGAAAAAATGGGCACATGGAAAATGGAAGACTTACCAGTTGGAAGGGAACCAATCGGATGCTGTTGGGTATTTGATAAAAAACGAGACGAGCATGGAAATGTTGTAAAATACAAGGCAAGACTTGTAGCACAAGGTTTCTCGCAGAAACCAGGAATGGATTTTAGCCATAATGGCACGTTTGCACCTGTTATGCGCTTCGAGACGGTACACACAATGCTTGCACTCGCCGCAATAAATAAATGGGATGTGCGTTAACTCGATGTGAAAAGTGCATATTTAAATGGAAAACTCATGGAGGAAATTTATATGAAGCAACCCCCAGGTTTTTCAGATGGCAGCAGACGTGTTTGTCGATTACAACGTGCGCTTTACGGTTTAAAGCAGGCAGGACATGCATGGAATCGTGAATTTAATGGTGCTATGGAGGAACTGGGATTTATGCAGCTAAAAACAGATTATTGCTGCTATATTCGGAGAGAGAGGGAGAAATTTGTGATTTTATTGGTATGGGTGGATGACATACTCACACTCACCAATAACCCTGTGGAAAGTGATCGCGTCGAAGCTGAACTCAAATCAAAATATGATATCAAGGCATTGGGCCAACCTTCACTATTATTAGGAATGAAGGTGACTCACGACACTACAAATCAAACTATATCACTTTCCCAAAGTCATTACATCGACAAACTCCTCAAGAAATTTAATCTTGAAAATCTCAACCCAGTTACCATGCCGCTCGATCCTAATGTCAATTTAAATCAGGATGATGAGCCATCAGAAAATGACAGCACTCACGACACAAAAGGGTCAGGGATCTATGCAACAATGATTGGATCTCTAATGTACGCCGCATTGGGGACACACCCAGATATTGCATACGCAACAAACAGACTTGCACAATTTACGAGCTGACCCCAACCAAAGCATTGGACAGCTGTTAAAAGAGTATTCCGTTATTTGAAAGGCACGAAAAATTATATGCTCACGTATGGAGGACAAAACTCTAATGCAGACGTGAATATTTATTGCGATGCTGATTGGGCTTCACACGCTGACAGAAAATCAATCAGTGGATATATTGTAATCATAGCAGGAGGAGCCGTGGCTTGGATCTCAAAAAAGCAAAATACCGTTGCTCTTTCAACTGCTGAAGCAGAATATGTTTCTGCTACTCATGCTGCCAAACAAGTACTTTGGCACAGGTCTTTATTCGACGAACTCGAAATTCTGCAGCCTAAAACTTCTACAATTTTCACAAATAATCAGGCTGCAATTTCAATTGGTCATAATCCAGAATTTCACACTCGCACGAAGCACATCGACATAGCGCTTCATTTTTTGCTAGATCATGTCGAAAAAGGAACACTTAATATGGTCTACATAACAACCCACAACAACCTTGCAGATCTGTTCACTGAAGGACTACCTAGGGTTGTACATCAAGACCTAACTTATGAAATAGGTGTAATACCTGACCAAGGGGGAGTGTTGGAATAATACCCTGGAATTTGGTCAAGTATTCCACATACCTCGAGGACTTTGTAGATAAATCCAGATTGATTACTAAGCCTGAGGAGTATATCTAGTAGTTTGTAGTATATTCTAGTAATTACATTTTGTAGTATATAAGGGTGACGAAGCTGCCCTCGACAGAATTATCTATCTTTATCCCCTATTACCACTGCGCAATATACACTCTCAACATATGTAAGTTCCAATATATGCCCCAATGAATAGAAGAAAAAAACTGTTGTCTTTCAAAGCACAGCCCAAGGATAAACCTACTGGGAGTTTATTTCAATTTTGCATCTCCAGCCCTGAGAGTCTTACTCTGCTGGATGCCTGGAAGGCCTCTCCACCAAGCTCAAATGGTAACGAGCAGTCCCATCATGAAATCCATCACGACAGTGTTAATTTAACCTTCCTGCGTGCAATTATCCACAGGTGGCAAGACCACAGTGCTTTGTGCAGCCTTGAACTCCATTCCCATCAAGGTAGACAGTCTATACGCTGGATATGATATCAACCCATTTTTATAAATTCAGGCACTCCGTCAACAGAGCAGATTTGTTTTCCTGACCTACCTGTTAGCTTCAAGCTTATCGCTCTTCAAGTCTGAGTTCAGCATCGTACCACATGTCAAGAACCAGACCTCACGTTAAAAAACTCTATGGTTCTCGATTAATCAAAAGCCTTTTGAATAGAAACCTTTGATTAATCAAGGGACTTGTTTAATCATACTCTAGTCTACTGTATAGTATCTCCAGTAGCTCTCTAAGCGACAGTTTTGAGTAATAACAAACATGATTAGGAACAAAAATTAAACTTGATTAGAAACTACTTGGAAACATGATTAAGAATAACATGATTGGAAAGTCAGTAGGATCGGAAACATGATTAAAAAGGACATGATTAAAACAACAATGAACCTCGATTAATTACATGAAGTAGAACCTGATTGAAAGATATGAACCTGTTTTGGTCAAGCTGAAATGATGGGAGACCTCTCGAGAAACTCACTTCTTCTTCAGAGGGTGGCCATCAGGTCCAAAAGCTGCAGGAATCTTTGCAGCGACAAGGGTTGGAATGGAGCTGGGAAGTTTCCTCTTGTGCGATGGTTGTGTCGGAATGGTGGCAGCCTCGAGAGGAGGATTAGCGCTGCCAGTTGCGATCACTGGCTCAGGGATGCCAGTAGGATTGGACGTCACAGTAAGGGGTGTAATGGGGCTGAGTGGGATGGCTAGAACCAGCGGTAACGATGAGAGGGCCTGTTGCAGTCACACCTTATGAAGACAATGGGTTGCGAGGAGGTTGGTGGATCTTAAGAAGGGTGGGGCAGTGGTGGCCTGTTCTGCATAGATACCATTGGTGGCCATGGCCACTTCGAACAAGTCATGCCATGAAGACCTAAAAAGCCAACTGTCAGGACCCACACAATAACCACAATCATATAAAGTACTGTGTGCGCCTCTCCCTCCTCCCCCTCCACCACCACCCCCGTCTCCCTCCTGGCCCAATGCCAAACAAAGCCCTTACACTCCCACTACGACTCGCACTAATCAGCACACCATCATCCACAAACTGCACAGACTGTTCGCTCGTAGTTGGCCTCGAATGCAATGCCCTAATCGAGTTGCGTGATGCTGCATACCCAGCCTAGGGTTCCGATGTCCAACTCTGTGTCTGTGCATGTGTCCGTTCAATGCAGGCTGCTGGTGGCTCTGGCTCTCCCCCCCGTGCCTGCACCACCAGCAGGAACTCAATGGCCCCTTGACTCTTCAGAAATCACAGGTACACCAGACCCAGCCAGCCGCAAACATAAAGCGCATACACTGTGCCTGTTAGTCGAGTTTCGTCGATGGATAGATCACCTATGTCAAGCCATCCAGATGGAGAATACTTGGTTTGCTCCCTGCCCCTTGGGTCGTCGTCAAGGAGAAACTTCGACCTAGCAAGAGGATTCACGCTAGATGATGTCGTTGTTCCTGGCGCACTGGCACTGTGATATGACTGCGAGAGAGCTGTAGCCTGTCTGCAAGAATTAAGATAAATTCGAACTGCCAGCGCTCACATGACGTTACCTGCTTTCAATCTTATCGAGCAAGATTTAAATCATAGCCTCTGCCGTTTAAACAATTTTTGATTGAATCAAGATTTTGTAGCCTGCTTCGCCTGGAATCGTGTTTAAATTGAATCCAGAATCAAGATTAGTACTTAGTGCAGGGCAAGTAAACATATGTCTGCACTCCAAGTCAACTCAGTAAAATGAATACACCCAGTATGATCATTGATTAAACAAGCCTTTCAATTAATCCAAAATCTCTATTCAAAAGGCAATTGATTAATCAAAATCCATATGGTTACGGTCACATTAGCTGTACAAAATGGTGAGTTTGGCAATCTTTCCAACAATTTCCTACTCACTGTTTATCCAGATATAGGTAGTCCCCATACCTATCCATCAACACTGTCATCAGAGCTAGCATACAAAGCCAGATGGGACTTTTCTGCCACATTCCAGTGGAATCAATGGCAGGTGAAATGGCAAACCTAAGCTATGGGCCGAACCATCTTACAGAGAGGTCGTTCTTGGGGCAATTCATAAATGAGAGTGGGCAAGATTGTGAGCCCGAGATTTGGGCTAAGCACATTGACTTTGAACCATCATGCGCCGAGGGCACAACATGTGTGTTGGAACTGACTGCATGCAAGATGACAAGACCAAAAGTTGGACTAAGGTCATTGTCATCGAACCATCGCATGCCGTGGAACAGTACCCATCCAGCTGTTATTCCGAGCTAGCAGGGGCTTTGGAGATGTCGTCCAACCCTGCATGGCTAGTCTCCAGGCATGGACCAAGCACAAATCCTACATTCGACCTATTAGCACAGAAAACCCTCATCGCCGTCCAATGTACCTTTTCCAGAGACACAGAAACCTCTTTCATTCCCTATAATCCTTGAGCACACAATTACTAGTAGTGCAATGAAGGACACTCTGTGCAAGTCAATGATAAAATATTGTCATTATGAATAGCTAACGATTGACAAGATCCTCACAAGCACATAGTTTAGCATATGGTACTGGAAGAACATGTTGTTAGGAGATGAAGAGACAAAAATGAAGCTGATAGACACACACAAGTTACAACACATCTAGGAGCCATGGGAACTCCCATGGCCATGACAATGGGGCTTTACAATGTAATCCATACCATCTTGTATATACAGGAAGCGCAGCTCCCGCTGAATCGTTAGCACCAACAGGATTATGCTGATCAATCGATCAGATGTTGCAAGGCATGTGTATGGGATGTGCATGTGTTTGGTTTGAATGTAGAGAACAAACAATAGCGGGAAATAATATTATTACAATAATGATAATGTTCTAACTTCTCGTTAAGTTCTTAGCTAGGTATCTGCTTCTGCGACTTCTACAGAGCAGGCTGCAACTCCTAGTGTTTAAAAGTCCGGTCTGGTCCGGTTTTTTTATGCCCCTGGGCCTTAACCGTAACCGTAACCGGTCCGCATTTTTCCCAGAAGTCAAAAGACTGAACCGGACCGCAAAAAACCGCAGTCTGCGGTCTTTTTGCGGTCTATAGACTGGTCTTGGTCTTCTTCGGTTTTAACCGGTTTAAGACCGGTTTTCTGGCCAATATTTTAAATTTATGAATCGGTAAATTTGTTAACGTGTTTCGTAGCTTTAAAAATAGCCCAAGGACGTTAAATTCCGTTGAGAATTGGTGTTTCTATATAAAAAGTCGTGTACATCTACTATTTTTAACGAAATTTTACATTTTTATTTATATCTTTGTCAATTCTGAACCAATTAATACGTGCTTGGGTGCGTTTTGAAGGGTATTTAGTGGGCTACAAAAAACCGGTCCTAACCGGTTAAGACCGGTCCATTTAGACCGGTTTTCTTGCGGTCTTTAGTTCTCAAAAATAAAAAAACCGGACTGCAGGTCCGGTTTTTTGCGGTCTTGGTCCGGTCTGGTTATGGTCTTTTTCCAGTCATGAGACCGGACTTCCAAACACTAGCAACTCCGGCTACCGCACTTTCAAAAAGAAGGCAGAAGGTATCGGCAATCCGGATCGAGATATACCAATCGACCTATAACTCCATATTGGTGGCTGCCTCAGACCACTGACTGCATGTAAGGGAAAGCTCCTTTCCAAAACGAGTAGACAGCTTGTCTATATTTAGAATATAAATACCCTTAGTCTCCCCAGGCGCAGGGTTTGATTTGACTGTAGGGAGGGTTGATGCCTCATCAATCAAAGTGCAGAGATTCTGGGTGAGGAAGAAAGGGAGTGGCACTGCAATGCAAATTTCAGTGTCATATAGAGCCTGAGAGAATTCAGTAGGAATTGGTTCTCCAACAACTCTTTCTACATGATTGGTGCCATCCATGCACCACCTTTTGGAGAGTCTGAGTTTGCCTACAAGGATGTCGTCGTCTTTTCGCTTTTTCTCCTCTTTTTCTTTAAGTTCATCATCGGCGAGGCACCTTGCCAAACTGTTGTAAATATGTTCATGGACAGAAGCAAAGAAGGAAGGGATCCGTAATTGGGCCAGATCTTCAGGATCAATGGTGATCAACGAAGCAGCTTCCGATCCTGGCTGAAGATGATGGGCTGGGTCTAGAGCGTGATTTAGAGTCTTGGCAGATCTGGTGTTATTGTCACCCTCAATCTTCTTGTTTTTTTGTAAGATGTTTGGCAAGGAGAGATTCTTGAAGAGTTGTATGATTGTAGGTGAAGTATGGGTGCACGGGATGCAAGGCTGAGGGGTGAGAGTGCTGTCAGTGAGGGTGTCGGCCATTTTGAGAGGTGCAAAAAATGCAGAGAGCTTTGGGAGGACGTTCAAAAAATATAGGCCAGTAACCGACAGAAAGCTTTTGCGCGTCAGAACCAGATCCATAAGATCCAAAGCATAGACTTATATTAGTATTTCTGAGTCAAATGTCTAGTTCTGACATGCAATCTTATCTTATCCTAAAATGAGCATGTGTTCCTCATGCTTACTCATCACGGAGCGTGGTAGAGAGCAGTACAAAATTCACACGGCACGGAGCTTACCGAAACTTTTGAATTTCTATGTGATGCAAGCTTCTGCCCATCTCTTCAGCGATGTGGCAGTATGCGGTGGTGGCTCCAATCTAGGAATTATGTCGCTGATGAAGAATTGTTGGAATGGATAGGGTCTTTTCGATTTGTTTGGTTCCTCTTGGGTATACAGCTGGTAGTTGACTGTGCAATGTCAGACGAACAACGTTAGGAAAGCATCGAACGTTTAAGAGCTCTGTGACTGTCCAAGATTTTTTATAACTGCGATCTAGTAGACGTTTTTTGTAGGCGGCCGCAGGTATTCAAAGTTGTATCGGTTATCTGTAGCTTTTGGAGGATGAACCATAGACAGAGTAGTACACGAGCTAGGAAACAATACCCCATCTTCTGGAAAATGATAAACAACCTAATGTGTAACCAACTGAGCAGGTGACATTCGAAGCGAAATTGTCATACATTGAAAGAGGCTCTGGAATAAATTGTGTACACATTGGAGAGCAGGATGAATTTATCCTTGGAGACGTTTCCTAGTACATGAGACAACCTGGAGGTGGATCAACAGAACTGTGCCCAATCTATGAGATAAAAAAAGTAAGCTAAATATCAATCCAGATAGTGAATAAAAGCTCACATTTGTCAACACCTGTGAAGAGGAGTCATATAAGAATTCCCCACGCCAACGAGAAGAGGGTTGGTTGGGAGATAGAGAACAGACTTACACCCTTTTTTCCCCTCAGTATTTATTGCTATATAGCAGTCGGCTTCTACAGTGTACAGGTCTATCAGCATGATACCCTGAGTTCAATTCAAATGCAAAAGTCACCTCTACCACCCGTCTTGTAAAGCTTCCTCGTCAATATCCCGTCTGTATAGAAAATCTCCCCAGACTTCAGTGAGTGCCAGTTGGGATCATCACTAGTCCAAGCTAAAAGGTCATGATAATGAGAAAAATGTGGACAAGAATCATATATTATAATCACACACTGGAAGTGTGCTTGCATTTAAACTTCTTTGTGAATGTTGCAGGATTTGATGTTCGAATTTCCTTGTACACAATTGCTATGGGTTGCTCCTCCACATTACCTGGATAGGTGTTAGAAAGAAGGGCAATTACATCGTCATCCTTCAGAGTAACTTCGCCTGTGTCATCCTCAAAGACTTGAAGGTCATGAGCCGACACCCCTTCAGATTTAATTATGCAAGACTTTAGAGAAGCGACAGTGTGAGGGGGCGGAACAGATAGGATCTCGATGTGTCCTAGTGAGGTATCATCCTTATCAAAGGACATTTTCGAGGTGACTTCACTGTTCTCATCGTAAACGCGATAATGAACTGAATGACCCCGATGAGCGCCACTTTTAGCTCAGATGAACACGCACCATAACGTGTTTGAACCTGTTCCCCAACTTGACCCAATGCCCTTGTCTCAACTGATGCCAGAGACCGCTTTCCAGTTTCCTGGGGACCAACAACAAGAGCCACAGGATCAGATGATGACAAACCTGGCCCAAAGTCTCCTTGAAGAGAAAGGTGAGTCGCACCATCCACCGGCACATTTTCCAATAGAGAGAGGTACAAGGTGCAGCTTTCGGGCGCTGAGAGGCCTTCGATCTTGCAAAGATGTCTCTTCAGCGATGCGGCGGTACGCGGTGGTGGCACCGATCTAGGAATTATGCGACTAATGAAAGAGTCGTTGGAATAGATAGGCAACGGTCCTAACTCTCCCCCCGTCTCACACATGTGATGTGCTGGCAATCACCGGCACTCCATATATGGTAATTATACAACTTAGGGCAATGTGCACATTGCCCTAAGTTGGCTCAAGAGCGCGCTACCACGCGTTCTCGAGCACCTAACCTACCCTAACCTCCTAACCTAACCACTAACCACTAACCTCCTAACCTGCTAAGCGCGCTACCGCACGAAGAGAAAAACCTAACCAGTTAGGTAATTATTCTAATAATAAAAAGATGTGAGCATCCAGAGTCGAACCCCAAACCTTTCGTAAGCATCACTAACACAGTGACAACAACCACTACACCAAACTGGCATAAGTATATGTACAGGGTTTGTTGTGAAATATATCCCCACAAGAGGCCTGATTTGTCATAATTTCCCTTTATGGAAATGTGAGATGGGGGGATAATTGGGCTGGCTTAGATAGGGTTTCTTGATATGATTGGCACCTCTTGGGTATACAGCCGGTAGTAAACTGGGCGGTGTAAGTTGAAAAATGTTAGGAAAAGCAAGAGGATATCGTACCATAGCAAGCGCTAGGCTTACTAGGGTTCTGCGTTCAATTAGATAGGTCGCAAAAGTGGGTGGAAACCCACAGGTTCAGTTCTAGGGCTGCTCACTGTGTCCGTCTTAGACGGATAGACGGGTCCGTCAGACGGGCACCGTCACCATACCGTCTGGGCCTGTCGCAAGTCTCCTGACGTACGGTAGACGTACGGGGAAAGGCCGTCTGTTTCCATTGAGTGACGGGCGTTAACAGCGTTGACGGGCATCACTGCATATGCGGAGTTTGAAATGAGAATTGCACCAAGGCTGCTATCGCCTTCCAACCCCCACATACCCCGTGAACTTTTTTTCTGAAACCGGCGATCTGTCCTTCAAATATTTCTTCATGTACGTGCAGCCCCTGTTGCTTTTTCAATTTTCGGATGCTTAATTTATTATTATTATCTAATTATCACCAAGGGGCCCGGGGTGGCGGAATGTGGAAAAGAGACCAACACTTGTTATTTTTTTTTCAGGGTTCCGCCTGACACCCCCCCACCATTACCTTCCTAATAAAGTATGTTTTCCCCATACTCATGTTTTTTTTTTTTTGAATTCAAAAATTTCCGTGTAACAAGTAAGCTATGCACAGGCGGTTGACCGTAAACTAAGCCTAGGCGTCATAAGGATGCATATAGCATGCTGTTGAAACAACAGCTATAGGGTACTCGTGAGGGATCCACCACGGCCAGCCACGTCGCAAGAATCCGAGGCATCGAGAGTGGTGTAACTGGTTGCAAGTAGGTCACAATCAGTGTAAAGATAGTTATGAGGAGACCAGCACGAGAAAATTTGAAATTGACGGCGTCAACATTTTATTTTTTTGGCCTTCGGCCGGACCCCCCCCCCTCCTACCCTTGGTTCGGGATCCACGTCCCGCTACCCCCTTGATTATCACTAGTTGATCACTAGGAATGAAACCTTTCAGCAAAAGCACTCATCAAGACCGAAAGATTGATCTCATCGTGGACCATAGTAGGTAGGTATTGAGTAAATTTCTGCTTTGTATGTACTTTGCAATCAGTACTCATCTGTTTATTACATTGTGCTACTAGTAGTTTCCATCCTGTGTGATGAAGTTCGCTAAGAGACGACACGTGCACAGACAAATGCCGCCCTAGTACGAGCTAGTACACTGCTAGATAGTAACTTTTAATACCTTTGTAATATCATTTATTCCATGTATCACTAAAATTGACGTCCGTCTACATCCGTTGACGGCCGTTTTATATCAGTCCGTCTCCGTTTGCTTCTGCTTGGGTGACCCAGACGGACGGTTGCTGGTTGAACCGCCCCTGTCGACGCCCGTCGATTAGACGACCGTGTCCGTCAGACGGACGGTGCGCAGCCCTATTCAGTTCCCCCACGCCCATCTGATGCATCCTTCCCATGGTTTCTCCCATCGATCAACCGGCCAAGGTGTCGTCGTCCTTCGTTCGTGGTCATCGTTGTCCACTTGTTCCTGTCGACTAGCGCCCGCCGTCCATTGGCCGTCCATCGCAAATGCATCGACAACTTTAATCAAAAGGCTCCACGTGATAGCTTTAAATATATATGATCACGAGGCACGTGGTGGGCATCCAACTCTCAGCTACTAACCAACTACTAACGTCTCTTTTCACATGGCCGCGATAAACACTAACGTTGCCTCTGCGCCCTCCGTAATCACCACCTTCCCGAGAGTTCACTTGGAAATCATGGAACAAGTGATCGATATGCTCAACGCAGACGCCAATATCGACGCTGTAAAGGCGTGCTCCCAAACATGTAAGGCGCTTCTTCCTCGCTGTCGAGCACACATTTTCTCTAGTATCGATCTCGATCCTGCACTTTCTGCCTGCCGGTACACTTATGACGATTCGGACGAAGATGACGGTGACGAAACCCAGACAAGTACTGTTAGCCACACTCGCAGGATACCATTGTTCCTCAATCTCATCGATCGGACGCCTGAGATTGCATTCTACGTGCAGGAGCTTAATCTAGTCATCCGCCAAAAGGACTCCAACTCACCCAGAATTATCTGCGCATTAAATTTGCTCTCCAACCTCACATCGTTCAACATCGGACACGATAACCCATATCTCAACGTATCTTCATTAGACTGGCATGGCCTCTCCCCAATTTTTATATCCGCCATCCATCGCATCATCAGCTCACCCAAACTAAAAAAGCTCGGCTTTGCGTCTATCAGCAATTTCCCTCTGTCCATATTCTCATTGTGCCCTGGCATAAAAAATCTCTCTTTGTGGGGTATCAGGCCTGTAAATAGTGAACCTCCGCCCCCCATGATGACCCCCATTCTCTTGCAGATACTCTCTTGCGACGAAGACGGCATCTGTCTTGTAGAACGAACCCTCATGAGATCCAAACATCCGATACTGGATTTAACCCAACTTCAACAGTTGACTGCACTTTTCTACGAAGAGAGGGGTAACGCTTCCATGAAGGAGGTATTGTCCACATCTGAATCTCTCGTTAAAGTTGACTTGCACGGTACGCCCCCCTCCCTCCTTTATTGTAATAAATCTGCTAAACATTCAGTGGCTAGGCACGAGTCACTTCATATATTTGGGTATTGCTCAATCCATAGCCTCCAGGTCCCTAGCCACTTTCCAATCATTCCAGCTTTCCACGTACACCCCCTCGCATTCGGACAGGGGGTCCAAATCCATTCGAAAAATATGCGCGGAACTCCAGGTGCTGTCAGATGCGCCTAATCTACAACACATTTCCATATCTCTCAGCCTGACAAACAATTATCGGTTCCGCACAGGCGTTTTACTTGCACTCGATAGGTTGCTTACTGGGCCTGGGTTTCCCAGAGTTGGTAGCGTAGGACTACATCTTAGCGCAGCTGGTGGACGGGGTGATTTTAAATCAGCGATGGAGGCTGTAATTAGAGAAGAGTTTGTTGGTCTTTCTCAGAGTGCGCATCGAACGTTTGAGAGTTCTGTGACTGTCCGAAATTTTTTAGAACTTCGATTTGGACGTTTTGTGTAGGCGGCCGCAGGTATTCAGAGTTGTATAGGTTATTTGTAGCGGTGAATGTAGAGAGGCAGTGGAAATCCGTCTGTTCTAGGTCCAACACAGGGCATATCCCCCTCTTTGTCACATGAAGCGTTTCGTAAATGACTTATTTTCAAACGCACCAGAGCTTCCCAGGCCGTCTCACTTGGGCCCAAATTCCAACGCATCCTGGGGAAAATTTTTAGAAAGGAGTGACCGTCACGCTGTCACGCTTACTAGTCACAATTTACAACATGGCATTCCCCTCTTCGTTCGAGCTTTCTACCCCCTTCCGTGCCAGGTGGGCGTGGAACACGGACCCAGTATGCAATGGACACAGCCCCGTTTCTTGTATGGGTGGTGTCTTGCCGGGGCAGTGGGCTCAGGTGGCAATAACTTGAAATTGTGGTCTGGCTCAAGGTCCTCCTCCCGCCTTTGCGAGCTGGAATCGAACCCTTACCCTTCACCTCGGCAAGGGGCAACGAGCATGGGCCTCGGCTCTGGGTCCTTTTAGAATTTGCACTGAGGGTACCTGACGTGCTCAAGTGAATATCTGACAAAAGATTAGGATAATGTAGCAGAACATCATGAAAGAGCGTAATGCTTACTCCAGAACAAGCTGATGACCTTAACAGTGTAGAGACGAAGATGTGGTAGTACGATAGAGCAGTTGCGTTGGGATGTATACTCCCCTAAACAGGAAGATCAGCAGCACGCTTAGTATTAGGTACATGGAAGGACGCGCCAGTTGCAGACGATGGTGGGCACGTATGTATGCCTGCAACGGCGACGTTGAATGACAGTGAGGGATTGGAAGAGAGATCGGTGGGACACAGTCTTTGATACGAGACGTTGCTTGCCCGACTTCCCCTTGCTGACGGACATTGACCTTGAAAAACGGAATGGGCATTGAAAATGAGAATCTAAGCATCGGTGAAAAACACGGTTATGAAAAAAGCAGCGCGGGGCTGGCGCGAATCTTGAATAAGGACGGCTTGATCCATCCAAACCTGGAACCGAGACGACGATCATCAGTAATTTGGAAGTTGCGAATGATGGATCGTAATAGAACGTACCCAGAATACCAACGTCCTAGGTGCAGGCATCGATTGTGTCCCCTCCCCTTTCGCTCTATAGCCCGCTTGAGAGAGTGTAAATGTCCATAATCCACAAAAATCCGTCATGATACCGGAATGGTACGAGGAATCCCTATCCAAGGCATTTTCATCACCCAGTCCCAAGTCTTCAAGTGGCGATGTTGAAACGCAGGGTGATGTGGGTGTGCAAGCAGGGTCTTCGTCGGTGTCGACGAACGATGAAAATGAAGCGTAAGTATACAAGAGGGCTCAGAAGTGCAGGTATCAAACTCGCGAATTCATATCATGCGCCGAGGACGTGTCAGGCAACGAGGTCGAGGTAGTGGTCGTTGGTGGAAACGAGTGTTGCCAAACATTGACAACCGTCATTCCATCGCCAACTGGTCAATGCGGCATTGACGAGACATCACGCACCATGTCATCGTACGATCGACAAAACGCCACCTTCAAGTTTGACACCCCCTGGTCCCCAACCACGTCTTGACACCTCTCCATCCGTGATGGCGTTTAAACATTCCAAAGATTTTACTGTGACGAACAGTTTCTTCCACGAAATATATGGAAATACTACCACGCATCATCACCATACACTTGGTGAGTTCTGGACTTGTTTGCTTCCCGCAATGCTCACTCAACTGGCTGTTATGATAAGACGAACGAGTTACAATCATCAATAACGCAAGCTCATCGACAAGCGGTTCTTTTTTTGTCGTCATGTGAAAATCCCACTGATTGATGGAATTCAGGACTCCAACTGCTTCAAAGCTACGTTGCTGCTGGCGCAATGCATAACTCTAGGGAACGTCGCGACGCCCCCAAATGCCACAAAGACACCAGGAAAGCCGTTATCAATGATATAACAAACTGGGTCTTGGATGATTCCAAAAACACCCTGATTCTTTGGCTCAGCGCTCCTGCTGGGTCTGGAAAGTCGGCCATCCTACAGACGATAGCAGAACGTTTCCATACTTCCAAGCGACTCGCCGCTAGCTTCTTTTTTTCGCGTAAAAGACAAACTGAGACTCACCTGGTAGCGACTATTGCTGCACAGCTTGCGAACTCTGTTCCTTCGACTAGACCCTTTATTGAACAAGTTGTGCTGGACGACTTGTCAATATTTGACAAGGCGTTGCTGGATCAGATGGAACGTCTCGTAATCCAGCCTCTGATCCAAGCGTCGCTTCAGGTACAATGGAGCGACCCATGGCCTTCATTACTTATAATCGACAGTCTTGATGAATGCAGTGACGGAAAAGTTCAGGCCGATATTCTACGCATGCTCAACCAGACCCTTTTAACAATCAAATGTTCTTTGCCCAGGTTACACCTCCTCATCTCCAGTCGACCAGAGCCTGCAATTTGCGATGTTTTTGAGGACACGCTCTCCGCCATTACCCACCATCTTGTCCTCGACGACTCGTATGATCCCAATCGGGACATAGCAACGTTTCTTCGCAGCAGTTTTCTAGATATATATCGCCGCCGACGCACCCGTTTTCCCTCAATGTCCTCCCTCTCACTGCCATGGCCCTCGGAGGATGTGATTTCTTTTCTCGTCAAAAAATCTTCTGGCCAATTTATCTTCGCTGCGACAGTCATCAGATTCGTTGATGAGGATCGTAAGCTCCCTACTATGCAGCTCAAGCTGATGCTGGATGTTTGTGAATCACCCGACACCTCTGAACGAAAAACGAATCCTTTTGCTCTTCTTGATCAACTCTACGCACATGTTTTGCGATCGAGTGGGGATTTAGAGAATGTTCTCTCTTTGCTCGGTGTCATTTTCTATTTGGAGGAGAACCAAAAGCTGACGCCGGCATTCTTGGAATGCCTTCTTGGCCTTAACCTGGAAGAGGTGGTGTTATCATTCTGGGATTTTCATTCAATCATCCATATCCCGTCATCCAGAACCGATCCTATTCATTTTTATCACGCATCTTTTAGAGATTATCTCGTGGATCATCACAGGTCTGGAGATCTCCACATTATCGAACACGCAGCACATTCACGTCTTCTGAAATCATGCATGCTCCAGCTCTCAAAAAAACCCAGCTTTTGGCCGGCTGGTGACGCTGTCCTGGCATATTGCAGAAAATCTTGGTCTCATCATTATTCTCGTGGTAATTCGATCAAGCCCGGATCACTTGATGGTGTTTTAGAAAGTTTCAAACCTTTGCATTCGCCTAGCTTGCCGCATTCAACCGCAGTTGAACGCCTTGCTTATTGGTGGAAGGTTTACGCTGGAGCGCTAAAACTTTGGCATAGTGAAGTAAGCTGTCATTTTCGCCTGAATGGTAACTCCTTGAAATATATGTTTTCTGTAGTGCAGTGAGTCCGAATGCTGCACGCCATTATGCTGCAGATTTACTTCAATTCTTGACCGACATCTACTCTCCTGGCTTGAGGAATTTCCGTGGACAAAGTCAGGAATCCCTCTGACGTGGTTTACACCTTCATTTCGAGATTACACCGTGAAACTAATAAGTTGGGAAAGAATTGCTCTTTCAGGCTATCTGAAAAATGACAACCCAGACATCGACTGGCTGTTTGATCTCCACTACCAGTTCGGTAATTCTGTGATTGAGGAGGAATTCCTTCAATTCCTGCGATCTTTCCTACAAGATCCTAAACGCTGTCATCATCTCTCTTTGGGAAAGGCTCTGTCCGTTGGTCACTTCACTCATCTTTGTGCTCGACTTATTTTGGACAATTATTTGGGTTCCCCGGACAACTTGGACAATCAGAGGTACTTCATCTGTTATTCATTTTTCGTTTGCAGTGACATATTTGTGCAAGGCTGATAACTTACCTCCACAAGATGCTGTCGCTCATCTTGAAAATGCCTCATAACTGTGAATATGGATGTTTTAGTGATATTGAAAAATGCATTGAGGTGAGAAGTGACGTCTCTCTCCATGAATGACACCACATTGATCTGGTACTTCAGTCACAACTTGGCACCCCGGATGTCTTTGTGAACGAAGCGAACTCAAAGTTGCTGGTAGTTCAATTTCAATATTTTCATCATATTGCCTATTTATGCATTTAACAGGAGTGGTACGCCCGGGGACAGGACACCCGGGACGAGTCTCTTCAGAACGTCGAGACCATAGAGCCACTCCAAATCATCAAGAGCCGGGAACCCCGCCAAAGCGTTGACAGCAGGGGATCTCGCGAAAGCATCGAGAGCGACGAGCACTGCCAAAGCATCGAGAGTAGTGAACCTCGCCGAAGCGTCGAGAGCAGTGAGCCATGCCAGGGGCACTCCCGTGAGGGTGTCAACAGAGGAGAGCGCCAGAACATCGACAGTCGGCCGTCTCGCCAGAAGGTCGAGAATGGGCAGTATCATCCCCAGAATGTCGAGAGCGGGGAGCCTCGCCAGAACGTAAAGAGCAGGGTGCTTCTCCAGAACGTCGAGAGTAAGGAGTCTCGTCAGGTCACCAACAGCCAGGAGTCACACCGCAACGTCGAGAGCCTCGGTGGCCCTTCCAAAAATATCAAGAACGGGGAGTCTCTCCAGAATGTGTCGCAGCAGGACGTCAGGAGCAAGGACTCTCTCCAGAACGTTGAAAGGGAGAAACCTGACCAGAGGGTTGACGCGGGAGTCAAGAACTCCTGGCACCGATTTTCAGACTTCTGGACTGGCCTTTGTTGCTGCGCACGGTGCAAGAAGGATGAGGAACGATTCAATATAACGAACTAGTTACACGTAAGAACGCTTTCGACGGATGACAAGGGCGGCTGTTGAACTCTGACTTCTAAGATGGTGGTAGTGGTAATCAATCAGAAAATCGAATGACAAAAGACCAGTCCTTTAGATGAACTCGTAGCCTTCGCCAGGCATAGTGGGCTTGAAGGTTAAGAGGAGAAAGGAAAAGAATGGAGGACCGTTGTTTGTGGATGGGCAGATGCTTTAAAGTGGGGATCGCGATCTGCTCTGCACGTCGATCATTGCGGTTCCAATCGAACCTTGCTGCGGGGGCAAGACCAAAAGTGCTTTTCCTTATCCATGGACGATACAGAGTGACTCGCCTCGCATTGCAGAGCCAAGGTTGTCGTTCGGCTCTGTTGATGGTACAAGACCATCCCTGATCGTTGGTCCAAGGCTTGAAACTATGGTAACGTTTCCACCCTTCTACCAGCCAGCCCCGGCCAACGGCCCACTCTCGCTAAGGCTCCTTGTCCATCCTCCACCAAATTCAGTCAGGGCCTGGACTCTGGATTGGCCAGCAATACGTCGCCACAGAGCCCTTCTCCAGACGAAATTTGCTCGAAACTCTTGCAATACCTTCGCGAGAGGTGTTGCCATATGACGCCCGCTCCGTACACCATTTTCATGACACCTTGCAACAGCACTCAAGGTCTGGAAGGAATCGTGGTGGCGCAGACGCTTGTCAACCTTCAGTGGAGTCTCGGATGATTGACTTCCATGTCCAGGATTTCGGGGCATATTGGGTTCCAGTAAACTCGATTCCCCCCTTCGGAGCCGTCCGCTTCTTCTCCCCTCGTCTTGGACTTCGTTGGGCGGAAGGATCGACGGCCATCTGAAGTTTTGTTCCAATTCATGATGTGTGCCAGCAAAGGCGTGACCGTCACGCCGTCACAATCAGCCACATTCCGTTCTTCATTGGAAGTTCGAACTTTGTATCCTCTTCCCTCGCAGGTGGGCGTGAAACACGGATCCAGTATGCTGCGGACGCGTCTACGTCTCTTGTAGAAGTGGTATCTTCCAGGGGCAGTTAGTTGAGGTGGCAATAATTTGAGGTCGCGATCCGGACCCGGGCCCTGCCTTCGCGAGTTCGAATGGATTGACCCTCAAGCTCTGTTTCGAGAGCGGCAACAATAACGGGGATTGAGGTCCTCCTTCTATTAATATTGATTCAGGTGATGTACATCACGGGCATTGTTGTACCTCAACACGCACCATAAGGTCCAACGATTTGATATCGATTGTCTCTAGTCCACTGTATCTACTGCTTTTTCCAACTCAGCCTCCGTAACCACGTCCTTGTGTACCTGCGCGTTCGACGCGCTCAGGTAGGCATCTGACGGAGGATTAGTATATCGCAGAGTAACAGAACGCAAGGCGCTTACTCCAGAACAAGCTGACAACACTAACGGTAAAGAAACGGAGATGTGGTGGGACGATTGAGAAGTTTATCAGTTGTGTTGGGATGTATACCCCCCTAAACAGAGAAATCAGCAGCACGTCACTGGGGATATGTGAGGACGGACCAATTTCGGATGATGGTGGGTACGTATGCCTGCAATGAAGACGTTGGATGATGAGAAATTGAAAGGGAAACAGCAGAACGCACGGCTTTGATACGAGATAGCGCCTCGTCTGGTTTTCCTTCAAGAACGCTCATTGATCCGTAGAAGAAGGCAACAGCCACTGGGGTGAGAACCATAACATGAGTAAAAAAACACGACTCTGATGAGGCGAAAGGAATGGGTAAATGATAAAGGAATTACAGACCTGGCGTGAGGATAGCTTGATCCAGCCAAACCTGGGAACGAAATGAGAAATCGTAAGAAACTTCATTACGGGTATGAACTGGACGTACCCGGTACACCAACGCCTTAGTAGGGCTGGGGAATTTGATTCTATTCAGGAAGGAGTACCACTTTGTCATGGCTGGGCCAAACAGTGCACCTGATAAGATGTCAGCAAAGCCTGACCTTGAATGTACCAAGAAGGAAGCCCACCCCCGTAAAAGCTTAACCTCGCCGTACGAAGAAACTGATGGAAATGAAACAGGGCATTAGTAAGATCGCGGTTGAACGAAATGAAAGCTAGAATAGGGCTCCCGACCACCGATACGATAGCCAAACGTGAGCGCACCAGCCCTTTCGCCATCACTTAAAACTGCAGAAACGCTCACATCATGGTCTTTCCCTTTCCCCTCGACAGCCTGCTGCGCTATTATGTCTCCAGCTCCAAATAGTATGGCAGCGGTCGTGCACTGCGTGATCATAGGCTTCCGAAGAAGAGCTGAACTGACAGAACCAGGAGACGTATTTAGCTGTAAAAAAAAAAAGCGTCGACCAGCGAGAATTGAGCGGCACTGACTTGTAAGCACGGATTAGCGTAGCCATTCCAAATTTGTCTTCACGGTGCTGATTCCCTGTCAGGCCGTTGGTATCGTGGTTGGCCTGGATCAGTCTGAGTGGATGGACGAAAAAGAGATAACGTGACACGTGTCGGCTGTACTCGTCGATCAAAACCACAACGTTGACAAACCCTCTTATCTCTGCAGTTCCGCAAGTAAATCTCCGGCCACTGACATCTTTCTATCTAAATGAGCGACAAAGCTATGCCGGGTGCCTTTCCTCCACTCCGTTCTGGTCGGTGGCCAACCGTTGAACTTTACCTGATGCGCGCGCCGCGCGGCTTAGGATTGCAAATACACCTCTTCAAGTACCAAGATTTAGAGGTTCGTCGAGTTCCCATCTCGTTAAGTCTACAGAGGTATGATATGACATATTAATTCCCCACAGTCATTCCGTCCGGCATTGTCTATCCGGACCTGATTAGTAAAGGTTCATCGATGAGTTCCTGAAGCTATCTACCAGGTCTACACGCCTACAACCCCCCTTTAATCTGGGGTCTCACGCTCGTTTTCTGTATGAGAATGGCTTGAAATTGCAGTGAACCGTAACTCAAGTCTCTCTTCTTCTCGTAATATTCCCCTAATACCCTCTGCATTTAGATGTTGGTGCACCCTGACATATCAGCTGGTTCGTTCTTCGGCATGTCGGCCCCGAGTTCATTTTACATGCCTCGTGTTCGTTGACTATAGTTGGCTTGAATTGCCAATGATCCCGACCAACCGACGATCGAACGATGGCTCTTGCAACCACCATTCCAGAAAAATGACTGACGACGGTGAGCACTCAAGTTCTCAAAACTTTCACATCATGTGAAGCTGGCTGTCGGCGCTCTGTGTTTAGCGCTCGATCAATAAATAGGCACGCCCAACACATGTTTTCTACACATGGCATAACCTCCACGCATATATAAACGGCTAATAGGCCTGTGTCAATCTCACGTTCCTCGTTCCTGTTTCCTATCCTCGGCATTGCACTTACCTTTGCTCCACCAGACAATCACTTCTGCTGTGAACGTACGTATCAATCATCGTAGATATTGTTCCGACTGACTATCCTATGACCTAAATCCGACGTCATTGCAGTCTTATTCGCTTCCGGCGAGGTGAAAAGCGAGGCGCCCTCGTGCCAGTCCCTTCACCATGCCTGCAGAACAGCGTACCAATTCGATTTCGTTTAGCGAGAAGGTTTCGGGCGACTGGCACCTCAGCCAAAGCCCAAGCCAGGAAAGCTACCCCGGTCCTGGGATGCCCGCATCACCAAATGAGGGGAGCAGCGGCGATTCCGACTCTGAATATCCAAAGGATCCTATCGTTCCTCCAAGTCACTCCCACCGAACTATGGTCCTTTGCTTCGACGGAACTGGTGCGCTACTTGTATCTCACTCAAAGTTTCAGCCCCACTCATGCTGAGGATGCGCATCGCGAAGGTGATCAGTTCGACGATGACGTCTGTTTTTTGCCACTTTTCTCGTTTATTCAATTGACTATCAATCAGAATTCTAATATCGTCAACTTTTTCTCGATGCTGAAAAAAGACGACCCGAATCAACAATTGGTTTACTATCAGGTCCGCCGTCCTGCCTTTTAATCGACCAAACTTGGAGATATCTAAGACAGTGTATTGCAGGCTGGCATTGGAACATATACTATTCCCCAGATCGCAAAGCCAATGATGGCGAAGCTGCATAAGTTAATGGACAGTATGGTTGGCGTCCACTTAGACGCCCATGTAATGGGTTAGTCGCGCTCATCTTGCGGATTCGCTCACTGATCAATCTTTGACATCAGGAGGCTATGAATTTCTCATGCAAAATTGTTGGTGCTTTTCCGTTTTTTATCCTCAAACTGTAAATTTGCTTGTTTCCAGACGAAGCCGGCGATAAGATATTTTTCTTCGGTACGTCTAGTTTTCAGTCGTGCTGGCTACCGTGGTTCACAAACTGTCCTTACGTAGGATTCTCTCGCGGTGCCTGTAAGCAATTCCCTTCGCTGGTACGTCAAGTTCTCAAACTGTCCCGGTCCAGACACTGCACGTGCACTCGCTGGAATGTAAGCTCTTACTCAAGTTTGGGCTCTCTGCTCGATCAAGTATTGAGATGCTGCTGTTACCACCTTGCAGGATACACAAGGTATGTGACATCAATCGTACTATATTTTCGGTGGCCTCATTCTCGCAGGTTGGGTTGCTCCCAAAATGTAACCACCAACAAGTTCCCTTCGCGTACAAAATGTACTCCCGGGAAGACTCACTTGGTTGGCGCCAGAGCGCGGATTTCAAGAAAGCATTCTCCATTGATGTCGATATTGAAATGATTGGAGTTTGGTACGGACGCCGTGATTCCTATCGACGTAATGTACTTCCTCACCGTTTGCTAGGGAGACTGTCGGCTCAGTTGGCATGATTCCGAAACGGCTGCCCTTTACTACTTTTAATACCCATGTCAAGACCTTCAGGCATGCGTTGGCTCTGGACGAACATCGCGTCCGTTTTAAGCCAAACTTTTTCAACAGGCCAACGCCCGAGGAAGAGCAACATGGATTGAAATGGGGTGAGATGCAGAAGGTAAGACAAAAGCCCCACCGAAGAAAAACTCTGCGAGAACTGGAGAATCAATATACCCAAGGCGGCCAGCATCTCACAGACGTCGAGGAAGTTTGGTTCGCAGGCTCTCATTGCGGTAAATATTCCAATCGATACGGACGCTCAACCTAACGGATCATTCCCAGATGTTGGAGGTGGGGCCGTCAAGAACGAGATCCGGAATAACCTTGCTCGAATCTCTCTTCGTTGGATGATACGACAATGCTTCATTTTAAAGACCGGGATTCTCTTTCATCGGAACATGTTCAAACAGGTTGGTCTGGAAGCTGATAACTTGTGGCCGAAGGTAAAACCTCGCCCACTCCCTGTCATGTCATTCTCTGGAGAGCGTCCAGCCAAAACGCGCCCAACACCTGAGATGGGACCGTCTAGAGTAATCGATGAGGTGCAGGATTTTGTTAGTGAAGAAGAGGAGGATTTGGCGGATGCCGGCAGTCGAATAAATGACATGCTGAAAATCGGGAAATCATGGTGGATACTCGAGTTTGTTCCTCAAAAAATCAGGTTCCAGAATGACGAAGATTCATGGATTTCGAAGTTGTCGTGCGTCATTTTCCTCCGTTCATTTTTTAATCTAAATTGCTTTCACAGCATCAACCGTGGTCGCGGACGCGTTATACCCAAGCAGAAATCAGAGGGAGTGAAAATGCACAGAACCGTAGAGCTGCGAACGAAGCTACAGTTGGATGACGGGAAATACAAACCGAGGGCCAAGATGAATCCTGGGCTAGAACCTACTTGGATTGATTAATTTCTCTCCGATTCCAATAGATTGATTCTTTTTCTTCCTTGAGCATCTCTTTCGTGTCAATTGGCATGTACAGTTCTTTGTTTTGTGGGAAGGACATGCAAACGTATTCAACGAGTTCCATGGACAGTTGTTTACATATCGTCGAAACGACTCTGTCCATGACTGAACTTAAGTTGAGACCGAGTCATGTCGTTGGATTACAACTAGTATACAATTTGAACAGCTCCTGTGGAAAATGAAAGAATTACTTGTCCACTCTGTAGGTTGCGAGACCTGCCAATCATGACGGGGAATGGTCTAGCCACACCATCGATAAGTTCCCCAGTTCAGTGAGGTGCGAAAGTCGCCAAGGCGAAAACCATCCTATATAATCACAAGCGTCCCTCTCTATCTGCTTTCTAGCTGCGTTCAATATTTAATAGTTAAGCTATCGGCCAAGACATGCGAATGTCAGTGGCCCCTCAGCCTTTTGGGATTCTATTTTCGATCCTACTTGCTCAACCAATTCCTGAAAAAAGGGTTGTGCATGATTGATCAAGCTATGCATATGCGCCCGCGCAACCTGGTGATTCGTCTCCATTTCCCATAAAGTAGAGTTTCTATATCTTGCCAGAACTGGATCACCATCTGTGAGTGTGTAAGTAAACGAAAAGAGATATGACAGTTACCGCATCAAACACACCTGAAGCCATCGAGGCAAATGGCACATGTGCTCTCTCTAGCTTATGCTCAATCGCCAGTTGGAGATATTGTTTCTGGCAGGCGCTCCTTAGACTCGATTTCCATGCATCGTATATCTCGGATGACTTGAGTGGGGCGCGGACTGTGGGTTCCTGGTGGCTCGAACGAGTCGGACCTTCCAACTCCTGGGATTTCGCAGCGGATGCAACACTCGAAGTCGACATGGATTTTCTTGTATTTTTCGACCTCCTCATCAGACGTCGCGCTCCTCGGGGTTTGCTCCAAAATTCCTGAATAGGGACCTAGATAGAGTGAACTCTTGATTTGGGGTATCAATAATATAGAACTCACCGAAGTACTCTCGCCCCTAAGCCGCCTGATCACCTTGCAGTACCTATCGCGATGCTTCCACCAGAAAGCGGGGTAATATCGAAATCGGCTGTCCAAAACAAACGTCTTTTTACAACCATTACAGACCACGCTGTTTGGCTTCACATCGGAGGCCCATTCGTCTTGTTCTAGAAGTGCCCTGCGCGTTGGCTCATCCATGTACCTGATCAAACGATTGATCTTCCTGGTGTCGCTGCTTCTCTTGGGGACGGCGGCGGTGGTGCTGGTAGACAATTTTAGAGGCATCGATTAAAGGCTCCTAAAATTTAACCCACCTAAATGACTCTGGCACTGCTCCTGCAATTCTAGTTTGCTCGTTCATGGTGTACCCCAAAATAGCAGTGGCGGATTTTTTCGACGAGTAAGTGCCACCCAGGATGAGGGACGGCACTTTCTCCTTGCTTGAATGACTGGAATGATTGAAATAGGGAGGCTGGGCTTCGGAGTAGGTTGAAGGCAAATCCATGGTTTCAAGTCGTCGTGTCGAGGGGGGAAAACGAGGTTGTTTGAGAAGTGAATGAATCTTTTATCTTCGAAAGCTGTTGTGTGATCTCCACGTGCCGAATTCTAGGACCATTGTAGTTTGTACGATGTGGCTTCTGTGCCACTGTGGCCAAAAGACCCGACACTGCCATGACCCTCGGGTCATTTCGGTGGAAAAGGTGACAAAACCTGACCTTTACGCTGTTACGATACAGAACAGCGTCGTGCCCCACCAAGTTGCCACCAAGGGGAAAGTAATTCATACGGTGATGACTCAGGGGAGGTTCAAGACTTGAATGTAACCTATCCCAACTTCGCGGACAATTTCCCCTCAGATCCTGAAGACCAACATGACCGTGTGCTTGCCAGTGCGATTCCGTCGAACAAGGGGGGCTGTCTTGAGTTGGTCTTGAGGCGATCAAATTGCACCTGTCCAGAGTCGTGGCCGACTAACACTGCCGCCTTCTCCGGTAGCGCACTACTGGTAGGGATCTTTTCGTGTTGAGTCAAGCTAGGCCAACACGCAATGCGTCAACTTACCTTGGTATTTGGCAGGCCGCTACCATCATGTTTAACGTGGTCTCTTCCGTTGTCATTTTCTCATTGGTAGCCAAAATTTTCTTGGAGTCAACGTTAGTTTTCCGTTCTCCCCAGTCTACGCGCTCAGTCTTGTCGCTCCCATGTCCAGGAAATGGAATCGACGCCATCCAGTTAACATTAGGTTTCGACCCTACCGTAAAATGTGTGAGTTTCATTCGACCTAGGGTCGATTTTTTTTGGTAGTGAGCGCTGGGCTGAACCAACCACCCAACGTAATCAGGCACGTGTCTACTTTAGGAAATATGACGTCACCGTCGTGCAGCCTTTCTTCCTGGTCCTCCTCTCGACGTTGAACATGCATCGTAGACCCAATGCATGGGCACCTGCGCATGATAAACACAAATGAGATGATATTAGAATGGTTTGACGTGAAGATGTAAGTACGTTTTATGTTGAAACCCTAACAGAAAAGTAGGTTTACTTACCCACACAGTTTCACATCCCACTGGATCACATTGTTGGCAGTTAGCTCTGCTCGGGATCCACAAAAGCAATCCTCTAATCCTCCAATGTTGACAACCTTATGTTTTCATCTTTCGTACCAACCTCATGTTTCCTTGTTGACAATTTCCGAGCTTGAAATAGATGGCCTATGAACAAGGGGGGAGTGGGATTTGAATCTGCCATATGGGGTCGGTTAGTTAGTCCGGCCGGCAGGCTGTTAAATTTTTTTATTTTAAGTACCAATTTCAGGTAATTTATGGGTCGGATGAGCTCAGTGTGTCTGAGGCATTTTGCAAGCTGTCCTCACTTACCAAGTGCAGTACTTATGCTATTCTCACTCGTGAATTGTGATCCAAGAAGCCTGGTATATGATATAGATTGAGGACAATATTTGAGATGATAAAACTGTTATCTGTCCACATTGTGATTGTGGTGAGAGTATAGATGCAGTTGATTGAGGACAAAAGCAAAGTAATTATCTGCAGGCAAAAGGCTGCGAGACATTGTGGGTAGGTCATTTTCTTTTCATGTCATTTCAGCCTGACCACTGACTATGCAGTACCACTTTTCAAGGGTTGGACTGCCAGTGGATCTTGGTATCAATGACTGGGTTTGTGACCCATGTAAGAGCATGAAGAAAAGCAGAGGAAGGGGTGGCAAATGAAGGATAAGACGGCGGCTGACATCCCAAAACATGTTACTATTTATAGATTTTACCTATATATGGAAGGTTGTTCCCACGCCTGGTTGGTTAGTCCGGCCATATTGGCCTTACCAAAAAAATCAACATGATATATTAAATTAAAATTGTGCTCCCCCCTTGCCTATGAACCTTGTTGGTGTCAGAATGAGTCACGGCGTGAGCATCCTGTTCTGTGGAATCTCACTGTGAGTTTGCGTGCCCTGGAATATGCTAACAAATTATAATCAAAGGTCGTTAATGGTTGCCACACTACAGCTGATTGCGAAACGTTAGAGCAGCTCGGTTCCCGTTCCAGCCCAACCGTGTGTTTGTTTGCGGCGGACACCAAAGCCAAATAAATCGGATCGATAGGGCTTTTCAGAACATTTGACGCGACGTGGTAGCAAGCATTTTATTGACAGGTTATGCAATGTGTCTTCGGTGACCATTCCGCGCCATTATTATTCGAGGAGAGGGAGAGGTGAGGGTATGTAGATAAGACTGGGAAAAGTTGAAGCAAAGCTTGAGCAAAGCAGGTGCTACTTTTGGAAGGTGCTGATGTCTGGCCATCAACAAACAAACAGATGGTTGGGCTGGAATGGGAAGCAAGCTGCTCTAACGTTTCGCAATCAGTTGTAACGAAAGTTATCAATGGTCCCTAATGGTCCCATGTTATTATTGCCTTATGTAAGCAGTCTCATTGGTGCATCCTGAGGCATTTAGTGCATCTTAAGGCTTTCTAGTATCTATTATGTATACTTTATCCACCAGGAAGGCCGTCTATAATGTTTTTGGGCCAAAATTTTTGAGCTTCCAATTTTTTTTTAACGGCCTGACAGCCCAACCAACCAACCGGCCCCCGGTCCAAGATTACTGTAGCATTTCGAGGGCGTTGAATCGACTGGGAGAGAATATTCTCATTAGAATGATCACCTGATGACCCGCAATTGGCCGGTTGTGGCTGGGTTGTGGAAGTTGTTGTTCAATACTAGTAAACAAACTCAGCAGTTTACCCTCTGTACCCCGGGGGAAGAAGATTGAACTAACGAAAATGTATTTTACGCAACTAAGCATAGTTTTGAGTCAATCTATATTAAAATTACAAGTGTCGGTGTCTTGAGGAACAGAAAAATGCGAAACTTCGGAAGAGAACCTTGAGCAAGGTGTCACTTACTGTGATAAACGTGTTTTTTGTCTCAGTGGACAACATGGTTATAATCTAAGGCAGGTGTTACAGACAGAGGATATTATTTCTAGGTAATTGAGGACTGGGCAGCTGGCCATTGTCGAATTGGATGGTCAGCCGCGTCGATCGAGGTCTCGCAGAATAACTGAAAGCACATCGACAAAGATCTACTCATAACACAAAAGAAAGATCCTCCCATTCCTGTCTGAAAGAATAACCGCTCCCTGACTCCTTAATCATCTTAACCGCACTCAAATTCAACTCCTCAGGAACCTCCAGCATGCATGTCCAAAATCAACAGCCGCCAACGGTCTAGGCCAATCAGGCATCCCTCTATCCTCGTATTCATCTTCAGAGATTGCGTCGAACACGCGGACCACTTCAAATGGTGTGCTGCCATACCAGAGGTGCATCAGTCCGTCGTCTTGCACTATTTGTGTGGGGGTGCTCAACGATGTGGTGGATGTGCATGTGCATGTGATGGGGGGCTGAGGTTGGGATCTAGAAGAGGAGAAAGAGGAAGGGTGAATAGGAGGAGGGGTCACGCCGTTCACCTCAAGCCCAGAAGCAGTCAGTACAAATTGTAGTTATCCCACTCAACGTGATTGACCGGCACCCGAAAATAATGTTGCGCGAGCACGAAGTGCAGACTGGTCGTGTTCCGTCAATAAGATGACCTTATGTGTGGGATGTTCGATAGGCTGGGCCACCATTGTCAGACAGAGTGCATGCTTTCAGGGTACCAGGGTGGGAGCGGGAATGGGTTGGGGTTCGGGGTGGGTGGTGTTGTCATGTCTTCGATCGGGTTCGTAGACGTGGTAGTGTGTATGTAGTGTGGGTTGTTTGGCATTGGAGCCTTTGGGGTAAGCCGTGGTTCTCAGATTCTCGCGGCCCCAGCGGGTTCAATGTTCTGAGCATTTCGTTCAATTCGACAGTCACGCGTCACGGGGCCCTTCAAATTGCCGAAATGTCACGGTGGTCACGCAGATTTTTGTAAGGTGTCGAAATCGTCTGGAGCTCTGTGATAAAGGCTCTGGTGCCATGTCTGGGACACCTTATGTCCATATATAGACATAATTTATGTCTATATTGAGACATGTCCAAAAAAAGACATAAGGTCGTCCCAAAACAGACATAAGCCATCAATCTCACACCCATGCCCAAAAAGGCAGCTGCTCAAACATTTGACCTCCTACCGGCTTTTCTCCCTGTGCTATGTGCCGCAGGCCAGAAAAATATTTGAATAGCTCACTTACCTTGTGTGAATTATAGGATACATTAATATGAACCCAGAATGCATTTTTAAAACATTGAAAAGAGAATTTGTGCTGTTCTGAGCATAGAGTCAGTTCCACTTAATCCAATTGCTCATCAAAGTATGTGTCCATACTAGTGGAATATCTCAGAGTATGTGGAAGCACTTTACATGCACTTTTTCCTCTTAATGGCAGGTTGCTGCACTAAAGGCAACAAAAAGACAGAATCAATGGGTAAAAAAAAATGTTGTACTGCTTTAAAAATGCTGATACAGGAGTGCTGGTATGTTGTTAATATTTCCTCACATAGTCTTGACATTCATAAAAAAAGAATTTGTAACAATATCAAGATCTGGACTGTGTTACAATAAATCTATCCAAAGTTGAGAATAAATCTGTCATAACCAAACAACCCTTGCTGTTGATCTGTAATTCTACATATATAATCAGTGTAAATTCTTACATGCACATTTTTGAAAAGAATTGAAACACTCTCAGCTTTTCCAGACATGACACTAGAGCCATCATTATTCCTGTTCATTGTAATTTTCAGTACTCTATCCTTGTTAGCTCAACATGAGGAACTTGAACATAAATCTGCTTTGCATTTAATCTGAGCTCTTGGCCTAATCTCCTGTCTTGTGGTTTCATGTGTAAAAATGCATGCTGATGGGAAGAGTTACTCATGATATCTAACCTGTTTCCTCATAGTTGTGGCCCCCAATGGGTGCCTGCCCCAATTTTAAATGGTAGATAGGGAGAGGATATATTTCACAAATTTTCATAGCAATCTGTCAAGTTTCTAACAAGATACATATTTGTGATTCAATTATCTCTGTGAAAAAAAAAAGATGTCAATTGCTGGAATTGAACTTAGGTTGGCCATAAAAGGAGACCAAAAAAGCGCAATAATCCACTACACTATACAGCCGTATATAATCCTTACATGTAGTTACCATATATGTAATTTTTGAAAAACGGTGTCCTTGTCCCAGACATGACACCAGAGCCGTGATAAATGTCGAAAATTTTCGTCGCCTGCGGCGTTAAATGGTCGAAAATTTGCCCAAATTTTCGGCTTGTCACGGTGAATTTGTGAGGTTGTCGAAACCAAATTTTCGACAGACCTGTCACGCGTCACGGGCCCTGTCGAATTGAATGAAATGCTACAGTACGATCCCGACACCCCCTTGCATTCGACTCTAAATTTTGGACAAGGCGTGCCGCGTACGACTCGTGCAACTGGACTCAATGCGACACATAACGACCCATGATTTTTATATGGCACATTGGCAAAGCCTCTGGAAGTCCGAAGAGGTGAGTCGATGAAGAGCAAACTGCCAAGAAGTGCAAGGGGGGAGCGGGATTTGAATCTGCCATATGGGGTCGGTTGGTTAGTCCAGCCAGCAGGCCGTTAAACTTTTTTATTTAAAGTACCAATTTCAGGTAATCTATGGGTCAGATGAGCTCAGTGCGCTCTCTGAGGCGTTCCGCAAGCTGTCCTCACTTACCAAGTGCAGTACTTACTATGCTATTCACACTTGTGATCTAAGAAGCCTGGTATATGATATAGATTGAGGACAATATTTGAGATGATAAAACTGTTTTCTGTCCACATTGTAATTGAGGTGAGAGTGATGCAGTTGAGGCAGAGGACAAAAGCAGAGTAATTATCTGCAGGTAAAAAGGCTGTGAGACATTGTGGGTAGGTCTTTTCTTTTTGTGTCATTTCAGCCTGACCACTGACTATGCAGTACCACTTTTCATGGGTTGGACTGCCAGTGGATCTTGGTATCAATGACTGGGTTTGTGACCCATGTAAGAGCATGAAGAAAAATAGAGGAAGGGGCCGCAAACGAAGGATAAGACGACGGCTGACATTGGGCTGACATCCCAAAATATGTTACCTATTTATAGATTTACCTATATATGGAAGGTTGTTCCCATGCCTGGTTGGTTAGTCCGGCCATATTGGCCTTACCAAAAAAATCAACATGATATATTAAATTAAAATTGTGCTCCCCCCTTGAAGAAGTGCGCGATTCACGCCGGATGTGGTAATCGGGATTCGGAGCCACTGCTCCGAGCCAGGTTAGGCCAGGCCAAGGGAAAAAACATACAAAAGGCTTGGCGCCTCTCAGGGTTGTTCTCCCCGCCTAATCGTAACAGGCCTCTCTGCGCCGCCTTCTCCCTCGTCAAATGGCAGACGAGAAAAATTATCTGGCTGTCCCAAGACAAGAGCATCACCGCAACCCATCGTCACCAACGTCGACGGTTGACGCGGAATCCGCCAACCCGTTGAAAGGAGAAAACATTGCTGCGAAGGACAATGTTGAGCGTGCGGGGCCCAATACTGCGGCTTCTTGCTGGAGGTATTTGAACGAGGATGTAGACACGGCGCAGACGACAAGCCAGTTGGCTTTATGCTATTTTATGACTGGCTATATGTACGTCTTCACTTCTACATTTTATCCAATACCCCTGCTCACACTGCATCCAAAGAGGTGTCATCTCCTTCTCCGCAATTTTCGTCTGGTGCGGCTTCCAAACGGCCCGGGGTAACTTTGCCCAGGTATCCCATTATCACCTCCGCTTATCGCAAGACCCACGCTTTCTCCGTTCCAGCTTGCTATCGCCTTAGCACGGACCTTCGGGGTCCCGAGACACTTCGTTCCACAAAGCCGATCAACAAGCACTAACCTCGCTAATCTCCTTCAATGCCGGCGCGTTCATAGGCCGCATTGGTGATCGTGTGGGTGCCCACAAGCGTATATGGCTCATCGCCGGCACCTTCATCCAGGCGGTGCTCACCATGGCTGCTGCTATTGCTTTTTGGAAGAGCGGCCAACCAAGTATATCGAACGCTAGAGACGATCCGGCTTGGACGAACGTGGCGACGTTCGTTGGTCTCGCGTTCATGAGTGCTAGTCTTGGTGTTCAAGGTATTTTGGCGAAAAGACTGAATACTCAATTCGGAACTACCAGTATGTGTTGATTTTCTTCTTCCTATTTCTCCATGCCAATTCTGACAATCGTTACAGTCGTACTCACAACTGTCTGGGTGGAGCTCGTGTCTGACCCACGCCTCTTCAGCCTCCGGCAACGCGTGATCTCACGAGATCACCGAGTCATTGCCGCCGTCGCTCTATTCATTGGATCCTTCGTCAGCCGCGCCATACTACAGAAAATTGGTACCGCCGGGACGCTGGGAGTCGCTGTTGGCATCAAGATTTTCATCGTACCCACCAAGCGCGGCCAGAAGCGTAATACGCCCGCTGAGTGATACGCGTCCTCACCAAGTTCACCAGCTTCTCACCGAACATTACACGGCCCCATTAATGATGTCGTCATTGAGTCAAACGCGTTCTCATGTTCGAATCGTTACGTCTACCATACCCCCTCCCCTGGCTGTGGAAATTGGCCTTTGCTTCTCGCTCTCCTGCTTCTTGCTTCCCTCTGGTTCGTCCCATGCGTCCATTCACGTTGTGTTTGATAGATATCCGTCTCACTATTCTGGCATTTTAGACCGACGACATTTGCCAAACAAATGCATTTTGTATCTATATACCGACACTCATGAATCATAATTTTTCTAGACGTCTGATGGCAGTTGCCGGCCTTGTTCAAAGTGGACACTTGATCCTTGAAGATAAGCCAAAAAAGTCTGCTTCGACGTTCAGAGGGGCGCGTTCTTAGAACACCACGATTTTCAATAAAGCAGGGAAGCTTTCCAGGCGAAAACCAAGCTCCGTGGACGTGGAGTAAAGCTTGCCTTCGGGATCACTTGCTAGCATCCACCTTCAATGACGATTTTGCATTCGACATTTCCAGTCGGATTTTTCATCTTGAAAACAATATGGGACAAACGTTTGGAACGATCAGTCCCTTCAGACCTTCAAGATACATATCAAATTAGGGCACGACTCCGTCAAGCTCTCCGAGCCGGTGGAGTAATTTTTAGAGTACAAATACAATTTGGTTCTCGTCTTGTCATACTTAAAATTATTGAATATCAGCTAACACCATCCAGGCGTGCGAGGTTGGTGCGAGGAATTGCCCAAGGGAAAATCAAGGGAGAGGAAGCATATCAAGGACCAACATAAAATCACGCACCACCCTCTCACGTTGATAAGTAGCGCACTTTGGAATGCTAAGGCCGTGGTTCGCACTTGGTTCGCACCATCAATCGATCCTTGTCCCGTATATATCGAATGGGAATATGTCCCACTGCTACAGCCTACAAGAACTCCACTTTTGATTTTATAGTTACGTTTTCGCTTTTGTAACCTAACCAGAGCCATCAATGGCTCTGCTAACAAGAAATCAAGGGTCTTGGCATCCTGCCATTGAGGAGGACGACGGAGCTAAGGAGAATAGCGCAATGAATATAGGGGTAGACTTATTCCAACTTGACAGACACGAGTCAGAGAAAGGTATGAGTACATCAAAAAAAGAAAAACTCACCGAAGTGAGAACGCAGTCTTCCCGATAAAATCCCGGGGGCATTCGTCGGAAGCATTGATGCAATGAACCTGAGCTGCCGTCCTGAAAATCCCCGCAACGGTGCTGCTCAACACTCCGCCTCCTGATGAAGACAGTAAATTAATCAAATACCCATGGGGTATACTTAATGTAAGAAGCGCCTCGGCAAATTCAAGTAGAGTTCGGTGTAATTAAGGGTACTTAGGCTTGCTCCCTTGAGGCCCCGAAATTCTTCCTACAACAGCTTCCAGGTCATTTTTATATATTCTTTCTCCTGATCCACTTCATCAGCTTCCGAACCGCCGCAGAAGATCAGCGTCTAAAACCCTCGGATAGATGTTCGGCCCTCCATCCCTCCCTCACCAAACTCTTCTTCTTGATAGGCCTCTCACCAGGATTTTGTGATGCTTAATTTGGTACTCGACGACAGGCATCCTGCAATCCAATATTCTCCCGTTCAGTGGGGAGAGGCTGGCTCTCAATACGAATACAACCTCACCAATACCTGGACCTCCTCGCTGGGAGCGACAGCAAAGATCAGGTTTTCTGGTGCATAGCGGAATTTGTGGATTTCAACTTCATCCTTATTAATTATGTGTAGGTACAGGTATTGCGGTCTATGGAACGATTGGCCCAAAATACAGTGGCCAAGACCCACTCTCGTTGTACACCCTCGATAATAATTCGCCTACGACATATCACGGCAAAGCAGAAGCCAATTCCCAATACAGAAAGTTATTTTTTCAGTCACCAGTACTCCGCTCTGGAATACACGAATTGACAGTCACCAACGGCGCAGAGGGCGTCGTGTTTTTCCTCGATTATTTTCTCGTTAATTCGGACACCATTGCTTCGCTCTCATCTTTCCACCACCAATCAAAAACAGCCGACCTAGCATCACATACAGTAACACAGGACACGTTGTCTACCGGCGTCACGGGCAATGTTCATGGCACCATTAAGGGTATCCGAAGGACGGCGTTGGTGGGTGGCTTGACTGGGTTATTTATGCTTGCGCTCGTCATACTTGGGTGTCTTTTGAACCCACCGAGGTGTCGTCGTTTAGTTGAGAAGAATCATACCGGTTGTGGTACAGGCTGTAAGCTATCTACTTGACACACTCTTTTTCACCGCACTACTCACTCTGTCACAGCAGGGAATGGTCAAGAAGTGGACTGTGCATTATCGCAGGCGACACCTCTCTCGTTGACTTCAAAACCGAAGCACCCAAGGAGAGTTGCTTTCCGTCTAACACCCACTTACCTTCCCGTCAACCCCCCTGTTTATGTCTCCCCGATATCTCGAGTTGGGATTCCGGACATTCGTGACTCAACAGCGAGCCTTCATCAAATTTTTGAGCATAGACTCAATGGAATCCAAGCAGACATCTCTCTTGCATATGTGAGAAACAACAGAAACCGGGACGGATAGTCGACCCTCGCTTTATTGAGAGGCGCGACGATTTGGTCAATGAGCAAGGTCGAGTTCTCTCTGTATGTGTCTAGTATGGGTCGTAGTAAGATGGTCTACCCGAGCCTTTAGCGGAAGATGCGACTCACTCTCTCCTGTAACCAGATCTCCGTTCAAAACACTAGCAACGGAGGACCTTGAGCTCAACCAAGATGTCAGCGGACAGATAGTAGAACATGCACATAATCCGATTTCTCACACGGAAACACCGTCTTCATCAACATCGTACTATTCTTGGCTTGCTCCGGACCACAAACGCCCTCCGGGTTCTCGCCAAAATGAAGATCCGAAAAGACAGTCAACTTGAATGTCCCATCTCACTTGAAGGTGAGGCGCGGTTTGTGCGGGTACGGATTGAGTGTATGCCGTTTTGTTTCTCGATATCAGAAGACAGTGTGCTTGAAGAGATATGGAAATTGTACTCACCAGTTTGGAAGATAACGGGTGATGCCACCGTCGATTGGAGGCCGGTGAGGGCACTGAGTGCGCCGGCCAGGTAAATGGAGCTCTTCATCGCTGGGAGGTGTATCCTACTCAACCTCGCGATATTGATTGAGGAAGAGAGAGAGCAGTGAAGAGCTCGAGGGAGAGCAGTGTGATGAACTTGGACAAGTTGGTCGTGACAACGAACGCGCACGTGTGTGCTGATCCTCCTCGGTATCATAGAATCATACACATGGAATGAATAACATGCTGAATGACGTGATAAACTCCCCAAAAATGATCACACCAACTTACAATAGACCTCAGGATCCCACTTTGCCAGATAAAATCCCTCCGCGAAAGCCCATCAAACGTCTTCACACCAGGCAACGACATCGCCAGAGCCGTTTCGCACTTTGTTCGCCTGAATCCCCGCACAGTACCCAACATTCCCAATCTTCAAATGCTTGAGCTTCCAATCCGTGTAAACGTGGTTCGAACTGCTGTGCTGAAACACATCAATGATGTCATATGCTTCGAGGTGAGTTGCTTGATGATGGTTGAGGACGAGGGTCGTCAAAGAGTCCCTGAACTGATGCAGATATGGTCAATCGACGAGATGTGTGTTGTGGCCTAGTATATTCAGCTCCAGTGACTTGAGGTTCGACAGAGACACTTTGAACATCGGATGCGCGAATAGGGCACATGGAGCTGGTGGTTGAGTCGTCAGTCCGATCAAATGAACAACCAGATCCGAAGAGTAAGGAGGCTCGCTGATTGCGCCATAAGCAAGTGATGCAGACCAGCTGAATCTATTTGTTGAAGGCTTATAAACGGAAAATATACATCAATCTTGGTCAGACACGGGAGGTACTCGAGTTCCCCGAAGATCGGAGATATGTTGTAGTTGAATGCCATGGGGGTGTAGATGCTAAGGGATTCGATGGTTAAGCTGTGTCGATTGACGAAAGGGACCAGAAGGCTGCGCACGAGCTTTGTGGCATCCGTCATGAGATACGCGGTGAAAATGTGGATCGATAGATCCTCAAGGCTTGGAAGCCTTAAAGGCGGAGGTACACACTCTTTGACTGTCTCAAGAGGAATCTTGAGCGACAATGTACGCAAGACAGATCCATATACCACCCATCCCTTCATAATGAACGGAATGGCGAGTTTATAGTCGTCCACGGGGTAATTCTGACACTCGAGGTCCAGAGTCACCAAATTCATCAAGTTGGTGATGCTCCGCAACAACTGCACTGATGCCTTGGCAGTAGCAGCGGACTGCCTCTCCTCCTTCGAGAGCTTGCGTAACAAACTCTGACTCAAGCTCTTCTTCTGCCCATGAAAAGCGAGTGGCTTTCCAAAGAAATCAAGACGAAGGTGGAGGGTACGGACGCGTCTTGCAATGTCTGGAAAGCTGCGAGCACATGAGTTACATGCAACGGACAGGAAACCAAACATTGACGTGTCATCTCATCACCCAAATGGTAAATAAGCGTTTCTCGATAACGTTCGTTCATCACGATGTCGAATAACGTGCGGTCCACGCCGTACAGGCGAAGAAGCTCATTGCGCGGAATGAATTGGGCTATAGTGTCTTCATAGCCCGGTCGCTCAGCGCTGAAGAGGAACTCAGGTCTTGGATAGTGTTGACGTCGTGGAGAACGGGCCATGGAAGCTGGGAGAACACCAGAAGGCCAACATCACCCTTCAATGCGTCCCACTTCCACTCGTCAAGGTTCCAGCGATCGTCGTCGGTAGTAGGTTGAGAGGGAGGGTGGGAGTAGGTTCCTACCCAGCCGTCGCAGTCAGCAAGCTTGAGCGCCAGGCACATGAGGCCCGCATCCGAGAAGAGGAAGCAAGTCGTCGAGCTGCGAGGAGGCTCGGCGTTTTGCTGAGGAGATGGCAGCAGCAACTTGGCTTCCGCATCCGACGTATCCAGTTCGTTGATGGGAACTGTCTCCATGAAGCAACATGCAGCTGGTCAAAATATGGCCCCCTAGCTCAGTGGATTAGAGCGTGTGATTCCAGAATTGGTACTTCCACAAGGTCATCCGTTCGACTCGGGTGGGGGTCACTTTTTGGCACATCACACCGTACCACACACAGTGTGGTACACATTCTTAACCCCCATGAATACGTTGTATGGTGTGTTTTTTGTGGAGACTTGAGACTTTCTACGTATTGAAAATGTGTAACAACTTTTTTGTACGTACATATGTAGTCAGCCCACTTTTTTTCAAATTTTCAGGTTCTTACACCCATGCATCACCTTATGTTCTTTCCATCCCTCCCTCAAACATTCTGAATCGCAGAAGAATGCCTGCCCCTTGCAAGACCCTCCACATTTCTTCCACCTTCCCGTGCTTCCACAAGTAAAGCACCTCTGCCATGGACCAACCATAGCTGTCTTCCGCTCTTCCTCGAGATCGACGTCTTTCTCGTCAAAGAAACCTCCAGGTGCATCAACCCGCAATTGCCACAAATCACCGAATGTCCTCGAGTTGTACGTCTTGCGGGACGGTACAGAGTCGGTATTAACGTAGCCACCAAACAAATACATCTTCCCCGTTGCAGGGTCAGTGTGAAGCTGCGACTGAGCACGGTAAGTTGGGAATCCGGGGGTGAGGACGTGTTTCCACTTTCCCGAGGACGGTGGAAAGATACTGCGAGTGGAAGGCGGAGGCGGAGGGAAATACATAAATGTGTCAGCGTAGTAGCTGAATGGAAAAAAATTATTCCCAAATTGCGTTGGGAGCGTAGGGTTGTACCCTCCAAAAATGACAGTTTTATCCATCTTCGGATTCTAAAATGTTCCCTATAGAAAGACCGTCCGTCGATAGAAATGTGAGACTCACATATGTGCAAGCCGCCTCCGACCGCGGGCAAGGTACGTTCCCGACGAGTCTCTCCATCCTCCACTCCTTTGCTTTTATATCCCAGCTCCAAAAGTCTTCGTACGCGTACCCGTGTTCCGCCGCATGGCGATCACCTTTCGCAATCCCAGCCGACCGATCACACTCTCCGAAAATAAGATAAATCCGCTCCTGGTCACGATCCACCCAGCTTGACGGTGTCTTCCTCGGCCCAGGGCAGGAATAATCGGCGATCTCACCAGGTCTAAGGGTTCCGCTCAATCGCGTCCATTCCATCGTCTTCAGATCCAGCTGCACGAAGAGATTCGTGCCAATGATACACTCTCCGTGCGTTCCTCCAAAAAGATACAAGATGTCGCCTACCACCTCTTGCGTTGAATCCAAAATATTCCAGACAGGGAATACCCACTGTTCATGCACCCCAGCTTTCTTGTCCGCCGCCGTCCGCTTGTAGGTCGTCATAACAGAGCCCCATTCCTCCGTTATTAGATCAAAGTAGTCAACTTCTGCCTTCCCAGTTACGAGGTACGCCCGATTGTTGTGAATAGAAAACCGCCAGAGGAGCCAGACTCCCGTATACTGCTCGCTGACGGGATATGATGGCAACTGGCGCCATTTGTCGAGTTTCTCGAGATCCAGACACCATAAATCGCGAAGCCACGGGCCTTTCGTTTCATAAGCTCCCCCTCCGACATAGAGTTTACCTTGAGGAAGTCAATTAAGCAACCTGACTCCAGTGATCGCTACCCTGCACTTACTATTCCAAATAAAGCTGCTGAATGCCAAACGGGCCTTCATGCCTCCCTTCTTCAATAGTGTCAATTTCTTCCACGAACCGAGGACTTGCAGTTCGGGAAATTGTATCTCCAGCTTGTGCGTTAGTGATGGGTCAGGATGTCGAAGTTTGGTGAGTTCTTCGAGCTCGTCCATATCACGGATCTCCTTGACTTCGGGGGTTACGTGCGTGGGACCCAAGTCTTCGATACCCATGTTTGATCGTCGATCTAGGGCAGTGCCGGTGTTTCCTATCTTGCGGAACGCGGAAGACGCCATGGAAAGAGTAAAAACACGTTGTCGTGTCATCTCCGGTAAATCGTAACTGTACTTTATCCACTCTACGTGTGTCGAAAATGAATGTAGAACATGATTTCAGAGTATGAGGATTACCAAAAAGAGGTTTTGAAAGGCAGAAACGCGTGGTTTGGTCCAGAAAACGCGCTTCCTCCAGCCATTGAAGAGCCTGAGGTGTATGATTTTTAGATAGAGCGTCGTTGAAAGGTAAGATGGCATACCTCTACAATTTCAACTAGTCCAATAGAACACAACCCAACCCGATTATAGCAGTTGATAAGCGACGTCTTGATCGTTGGGCTCATATATGTGTAGATGTCCCATTGCTTCCCTCCTCCATTCTTTGTAGCTTTTAAGGGGACAATTGGGCTTTCTTTGCCTAATAGAACGTACGCCCCGCGAAGATACAAAGATCTGGCTTCTGCTAAACGGCCCTTTTTGAGAGCCTCGTCTGCGAGTTCCACAATATCGCTAAAACCTGATTACGAATTTGAAGGTGAACATTGAGGAAGATGGTTCCGCACATATGATCATTGTACTCCTTGATACTTCCTCTGAAAATTGATGGAGAAATAGACTCGACAGGGGAAGTTTGATTCATCAACAAATCGCGTTGGTGGTGACCAGATTGACCGTAGACGGAGTTGATGACACTTGATATGAAGGTTTGCCTCTTCGGCAAGTTCCGGACTAAGCCACATCTGCACCGTAAAAACTGCTAACGCTTTCTTGAAGAGTCGTTCATTCTCAAAAGACTGGATTCAATTTCTGTAATCTCGCACAAGTCATAGATATCAACTGAGAGGAGATCTAGAGGAGACCACTCTGTGCCTTGTCTTGAAAGAGGCGGGTCAGCTGCTTGACCAAAAACCCGGAAAATGGGTGAATGCTCACAAAAGAAAGAAAGAAAACTCATGTTGAGGTTAGAATCTAAGGTGATCATATATGATTGCTTATGAGTGTAACAGGACCGCACGTCGAAAATATGACATGACATACACTAGTCAGATTACGGAAGATCGGTCCAAGAGGCTGAAACAATGGAAGAAACGTTCGTTATTAGCAAGTGAATAAAGTTCTCTTTTTGTATGTGAGTGTCGGCTAACCCGTTTCCCGATTCTGGAAATTGTCGTGTTGCATTCATTGCATCGACCTGATCGGGACGCTAGCAATGGTGGTTGTCCATACGGTACAAAAAATGACTCGCTTCGAGTGAGATTGTGATGCAACGGCGCAGAGAAATATATATATAAATTGACGCGCCACGATTCCCTCCATAATTTATGCATCCGAGCTTTCAACGCAACTGACTTGAAATCGATCCAGCCTTTCTTCGGGTACAGTGGCCAAAAAGCGGCACATGGGAACTTGGACTAGTACACTAGTTAGAATTCATCTAACATCACGAATGAGCTGACTTAGAACATCCGTAGACATACATACGTCAAGACTAGTCATCTTCCTCTCAAATGAAGCATGGCACGATACAGAAACGCCGCATGATACGTTGACGGAGATGATCAGGTGGATCAGAAACAACTCAAATGTCCGCAGTTTCTGATCCGAGTACAGAACTGTATATTCAAGCCCAAGTAGAGAGTTGTGGGGCGGCGTGCTCTGATATTTTGCGAAGTAGTTGATGGTGTGACTCTCATATGTCATGAGACGACCTCCTGACAGAAAGCTTGAAGCTTTCCGCGAACCTTAGCCGATCAAATGCACCTTATCTTATCTAAATTCATATGGCATGCCGATTCCCGACCCTAACCCTAACATTTCTACTGCCTTCCACCTGCCACCATGGCTTCTGTGCTCAGTCGCGTCTTCTGTTGTTGCTGGAGGCGGAAAAGGTCGAGGAACTTTGTAAGTTGATCCTATATGTTACTAGAATTATTACTGAAGTCACCAGTTCGAGGGACAAGACGAGGAATCACTCCTGATTCCTTCAAATGTAGAATCTCCAACGTGAGCCGACACCTTTTATATAGTTCCCTCTTGAACTGAGGTTTCAAGCATTGAAAGGCCACCGCTATCTCACTCAGAGGTATTAGACCGACAACATCTGAAAGAGAGGATGGGTCTAATTGTGCAGTCAAAAGGGGGGTGAGTCAGCGCGTTCAATAAATTTCAAGCGCCTTACGTGTTTCCACAGCAAAATGGTCAACGTGAACTCACGGGTCCCTTTCAATCTCCACAACAAAAAAATTGCTGTAACGCTTGACCCATCACCCTCCTCCTCCCGTGGCTCTGCCTCATTATCATCACATTCCCGTTCTCACACAAACGGGCAAGCACATTGGCAGGTCCAAGCACACGTGGGTGCACCAGTCACCAACAACATTCCCTCGAGTTCGTCTTCGATCACCTCACAGGATGGTGTTTCGACGGATTTTGAGGGGTTCACCCGAAGTCCGATTCTCAACCTTCGTTTGGTAAGACCTTCGTTCACCGCGGGCGTTCCGACCAGGAGGGGGCGTGCGAGAAGGAGACGTGAGGATGGGAATTTCGCGGAACTGGCCGATACAAGTACAGGGGAACTAGGGGAGAATGGAATACTCAAAAATGATGAGGGTTTTGACCGATCTGGTCCCCTACCCTCATCTCACACGACGACTGTCGGGGATGGGACTCCTCGACAACCACTGCAACACCTATACCATGGGGTACGTCCCACAGCGTCCACTGTTTTTGTCCGGCTTTGACATGGGTCTCTCTCTCTAACAGCACGACACGAGTACCACGGCCTCCCCTGCGTCCTCATTTGACATAAAATTTACTAACGTGGGCCCGCTGACGGTGTCCTTCGACGATTAACCAAAAGTTTTTTTTTCACGTCCTTAGATATACCCCAGTACCGTTTGGATTACACTCCAAATTGACACCACCACTCATTTACCGGATACCACATTGTTTCGCTTTTCTACACCGTGCTCAGCCAAAGGAGCCACTTCACTCGTTTTCCTTCCTTCCTATTTCTCCACCCCCCTGATTTGCACTAGTACTACTACTGATTGAAAGTAAGCCGTCTTAACCTAGTTACAAATGTACAACGATATCGAACAAATATTGAATCACCCAACGGTACATGTTTATCCATCTCAGACCATTCGCCTTTGGCGGAGGAACTTGTAGGCGGGGCTTCTCCCGCGAACCTTACTATCTCCGCCGACGCGCTTATCATCGCCGATTCGCCCCATCATTCCATGATCAGAACAGGACAAACTTAGCGTGGGGAGGGTTTCCGCATACCCATTTATGATCCACATATGGCATTCTGCGCACAGTGCTATGATGAATACTGCGTCCCGACTCCCGACGCTCCTATCGATTATTGTGATGTACAACGTTGATTTACAGATCTGGGGGGCCCAGGGGTGGAGCTATTCCCAAAACTGCCTATCTGCCCGCCCACAGCGACTGGACCAGCCGGAACTCTTCACAGTTTTGATGAGGTGACGATGAACATGGATGTTTGAAATCGACGACCGTATTTTTGGCACCTCGCCAAACCATGCCTACATCCGATGACGTTGCTGGGTTAAAGGAAAGATCTATCTATTGTACTTATGTATGTCGGAGAAAATGTAGCTCGAATTGTCCCTTTGCGATATCGACGAATCAGACTTCAAGTCTTGTTCAAGTCAGTTGAAATTTTACTCGATCGGAGAAAGGAGTTTTTTATTATCAACACATCGGCTGCCATTAATATTTAGTGAACTCAACACTCAAGCCAGACTCCCTGCCGCTCGATATGGCTACTGACCAACTTTTCTTCCGTGTGAAGAGTTCATGTCGATTGAGTAACATTCTTTACAATATAGAAAAGTCTGAATGCCGTCATGATTCTAATGAGTAGTAAATTGAATTATTTAGTACATAGCGACTTCATAAGAGCAACTGAATAATATGGGACGAAACAAGTGGTCATCGAATGTAGCTATCATCGTGAAGTCATCGAAAAAAAAACTCATGAACGGTTCATCAATCTGGACGTCTATGGCTTCTTGGAAGAACGAGATGGCAGAAGTTTACCTCTACGAATCCGGAAAATGTAGGTGAAAAGGTAAACGCAGGCAAACTGTCATCGTGATCAGCAAGAGGTCATTTCATAAAATGATGCTCGACTGACGTTGAAGAAGAAAAACGCGATCATTATGCCAACATTGCGCCAATGGTGGTTATACGAAATATCAAACACCCTTCCTAGTAGTTGGTCGGTAGTGTGGATTCCACAGAACTCACACGAAGAGGAGGCATCTGGATTTGTCAGGTAACCGCCTGCGACTGAGATGAAGCGGTTCATGTACTGCCCGCACGTCAGACCAGACGGCGGAGTGATGGTGACAAGTTCGACCGCTGAGCACTGGACTTGTTGATGGCCGATAGCTGGTACAGATCAGGGATGAGAAGGGCAGGTTGTAAATGACAAATACCGACCTTGACCCATCAAACCCTCGATTAGGTAGGTATATGGAGAAAGGCGATGCCTGAACGGCAATGAGAATCCATTTCACCATACAATGATAATCAAAACTTACATCCAGCGCCACCATCCAAGATTACTGAAAGGCTGCAGTACCCCGTTGCTAAAGAAGATGATGGTGTTAATTTCTCAGGCAAGATTTGTAACGGTGAATGGCTCACAAGATAATCACAAATGAGAATAGAACAGAAAAAAGTAGGGCTGCTACCTCTGCGCTCGGTGACATTGCTGCAATTGCCTTGAACGAGATAGTTAGAACATTCAACCTAGGAAGATGAAGACTGACGAACCTGTCCAATGGTGGTATAATAAAGGGGAAAGATCACGCCCAACATGAGATACGTATAACCCGCCCTTGAAGATTCATAACCGACTGTCCAAAACCACGTCAAAAACAATAAGGTGGACCCGCAAATATTCCAAGGAATCGCTGCGAAGACTTGAGATGTGACCAGTGCGGTCCAACCGTACATCCGACTAGGACGTTCCCTTGTTTCGTAGACAGTTCGCATGGCGATGAAAGGTACTTGCAACTGATTAGAAAGCGGGACACTGTATGACGTATCCTAAGTTCCCAAGCCCAGTTCAAGATCACATTTACGCACCTAAGGATGGTCGCCATGAATATTGACTATAAATGGTGTTAGTGTTGTATTTGAGTTGAACAGAAGTAACCAACTGACGAAGAGCTTATTCTGCGTTCCTTGCTGACTGTCCTTTGAGTGGAAAAAGGTGAATCCTATAAAAAGCCCTCCGACGGTGTTGAGAATAAGTTTCGCCATCAGGTAAGTCGGATTGCGCCAGTGGGCCTGAGCATCACGCTTTAAAAGTTGGGTTGTCTGGTAGAGCCAAGGTGTGGCAAATTCAGTGCGAATCGACGCTTCGACCGCTGGTCGGCTACGTCCTTCAATATGGATTGTTTCGATTTCTTGTTGGACGCGCTTGGATTCGATAGATGCTTGCCACAGCTCGTGCCAATTTTCCCCGCTAGTAGCGGTCGCACCAGCGCCGATGACATCCAGCATGTATTCCGCACTGATGGCAATGTACTCGCGTCAGTAGTTACCATTTTCTGGAAATGATGTCGCTCACGGATTTTCGTCGGCTTTACATCGACGAGCTCCTTGACGTTCGAAGTAATCAATGAGGGTGATGGCATTGGTCCCGAGGTCACCGAAGTAAACCGTTCGACCACCCTTTTGAAGTAGCAACATTCTATCGAAAACCTGGGGTGGCCAGTGAATAAGATTTCGGTACACACAAATGAGAGCGTTATCAAACCTGGAACAATTCTGCGGAGGGCTAAGACGTGATGAGCTCTTTGATATGAGCGGTCTATCAGAAGTTGATGCTTACCTGATGGATCCTAATTATCCACTCAAAGGTTATGTTTGGTACATGGTCACTGGCGATGAAACTTACGTGCACAAAATTGCCTGACCGCTGTCTGCGAGCTTTCTCAAGAATAGAATGATAGCCCATGCACTTTGTGAATCAAGACCAGACGTTGGCTCGTCGAGAAATAGCAGAAGCTTGGGCTGTAAAAAACTCCTATGCCTTCAAAAACCTAACTTTGGAAAAGTTGGACAAACCTTGGCGGCAAGTTCGACGCCGATAGTGGTGCGCTTTTTGTGCTCGGTGCTCAATGAACCAACTGAAGCATTGGCGTATCGCTCAAGTCCACACATCTTGAGGCACTCCTCAACGCTAAATCGATCGGTCAGAGGAGACCATTATGTATAAAAAAAATCGACTTACTAAGCCTCCTTTTCCGACAGAGGAACAGATTTTGGTTGTCGCAAATTCGCAGAAAAGAGAAGCGCTTCACGAACTGTGGCGGTAGGTACGTGTGTATCCATTTGCTGACAATACCCTCTAACGGACATGTCAATGGGACGTCTAGTGCGAAAGAGGGATACTCACGACTGAGACTGGAAATCGGCGGGGAGGGCTTGCCCATTGACAAATTTATCACCCGTCACGACACCAACGTCAACTCTCTGCGCCAAGACGTTGAGAAGGGTCGTTTTCCCCGCACCCGATTCTCCCATCAAGGCGGTCAATTTTCCAGGCGCCACATATCCCGAAACGTCAGAAAGCAACTGCCGCACTTCATTTCCCGGAATCGGCACCGTATAGTTGATGTGTTGCCAGGTAAAAACGTCAGCCGTTGGCGAACTGTTGATGGTCGTTTTAAGCGGCTTCTCATCCTCGTCGGTGGTATCTGAGATTTTTTCATTGACGGACTCTTCGTCACTGGGGGTGGAGAGTTTGTTAGCACCGGAACCTTGTTTGAATAGAATAACAGGTGATGCGAATGCTGATGAGGTATTATACTCCGTGAACACCAGTAGCGCGAGGGTGAAACCGATCCCGAAAGTGATCACAATGCCAAAATTCTGGAGCGAACATGATCAACCTCTTCATAGTATTTCAGTTATGACACTTACCCGCCACGCGTTGGACCAATAATATTCATGCGACAATCCTGCAAAAAGATTACCGTCGACGTACAACTGGCCAGGCTGGGATCCGACAACAGTGCAAACTTGATTTTCAATGCTGACATTCGGGTAGCCCGGACCTTGCGGAACAAGAGAAGAACATTTGCCGCGAATAGTATGAAATTCATTGGTAAACAAAGCTTCAAATCTTTGAAGAATATTAGATCTTGGAATTGACCTTAGCAGAAAAGCGCACCCATATCGAAGTGGCTGCGACCGAGGTGAGTATGTGCCCGACACCCAAATATGAGAAGCAACTCACATTTATATAATTGAGCCATCGCAAAGCCCCAATCATAGAGGGTTTTGGTATGATATAGCCTGAATGAGCGAATCAACATCTCGATTTGAGAGGGAGGGATGAAGAGAGGCACCTGCATAGATAGCAAGTACTAGAACGGAGATACCTCCAATTCCCTGTGCGGCGTCTTGGGTCTTGCACGCGGCGGCGAGGGCGCGGAAGTATGACTTCATCGTAACCGCCTCGGAGAACAAGAAGAGAAGGAATACGCTAGATCAAGCAAATATTCAATTAATGACCCGTGCAGAGATGATAAATCACCCACAAGAATTGGCCCTTCAATACAAAACACGTTCAGTATGTGGATTAACCCGGAATCAAAGTATTTACCGGAGTTCTTTGAAGGCCAGTCATGAAGTACAAAACGATCGTGAACACAATAACGATGAATAACGTCGGCGGGATATCAACCAATGTGAGGGCCAAAGCTTCAACAAACGGGTGATACAGAGCCGCTTGTTCATGCCGTACGACGATGAGGCGTTGGGAATAGAGCGCAGGAATTTCAGCCAAGGCTGTCAAAGCGGAGAAAAGCAGAGAGCTATTGTGGCGTGATTTTGAGAATGTCGAATGTATCAAGATAACACGTACAAGAACAGGATGCCACCCCGCGAATAGAAATTTGCTGTATCCTCGGGCATCTTCAGAAATACACTGCCCATAATGAGAGCCTGGAAGACGTTGGCACTGAAAAAGAATGGATAACATAAAGACTGCCAGATGGAGATTGTAAAATATACTAACAAGAGACGGATAAAGGTCACGAGCGGGTTGCCCCGGATAATCTGAACCCTTCGCCTCATGAGAGCGCGAACCTGCTGGGGGATGCTTAGCAAGTATGGGCTACGTGATGACTGTCAGCGATAGATAAATATATCGGCTTATTCAAAGTACCTCTTCATCCTGTTGGCCCCCTCAAACTCCGCCTGAGCGCTTTCCTTGTAGGCCTCCGCCAAAGCAGGTTTCCCTACAAACTCCGCCACGTACGAATCAACCTCTTGGCGATTCTGAGCACCAATGTTCGACTTGAGGAAATAGTCTGCGAATTCTGTGGATGACCGCGGTTGAGTACTAATACCTGCACGGGGGATTCGGCCATTGGGATCGGTGACGGCGACGAGAAAGTCGGCGGTTGTTTGCCTGTTTGCTGGTTCGTATCTAGAGTGCAGTGTTAGGAAGGATAAAGGTAAAAGGAATGGAAAGTTATTCACCCCATGTCGATAAAGTACTGCCTGGCCTTGTCTGCAGGACCAAAATACACCATTCTACCTTCGTGGATGACACAAACCTTGTTGAAGTGCTTGTAAAGGGACTCTCCAGCTTGATAGAAGGAGACGATGGTGGTCAAGTTGAAGGTGTCCGTCGCAAGGCGGAGGGCGCGCACATACTCTAGCGCTGTGCTAGAATCCAAACCTCTTGTTGAGCTACAGAAATCTCGGCGTCAAACAGAGATGGATCCAGATAGACCGAAGCTCACTTGTCCCATACACCGATAGGGCTCCTACTAGCCAAAGCCTCCGTAATCGAAACACGTTTCTTCTCTCCACCACTAACCCCACGAATGATGGCGTCCCCAATCGGGGTGTTCTTAGCGTGTCTCAGTCCGAATACAGCCAACAAAGTTTGCGTCAGGACGTGTGCGAACTGCTGCCTCGTCGCGCCGAGGCGCTGGAGGGGAGTCCGAGATGCCGCTGCGAACGTGAGGGTTTGATCGACCGTGAGTGTCGGAAAGTGAATGTCATCCTCAGGACAGTATCGGATGTCGCCCCGGAAGTTGGCGCTCATCTCTTGTGGTGAGAGGGAGTCATAGCGAACGTCGCCTTCAACCGAGTAGAATTCTTTCCGTTGGTTGGCGAGGGTTTTGAGGAGAGTGGTGCATCCGGAACCGGGTCGGCCCAAGACGACTGGATGGACGTTAGAAGTGGAGGTGGGTAGACAGAAAGTGATTAACGTACGAATCATCTCTCCTGGTCGCACTACGCCTTCGAAGCCACTTAGAATGTCCCGGATCGGAGGGTGGCGAACGTTCTTGATCTTTCCAACAATGTTGAGCGGGTTCAAGATTGAACCAAGCGTTGGTTGATAAGATGCAATAGCTCCCAGGCCGACTACGCGCAGGTTTCTGAAAACGACCCCCAGTGAGCGGGGCTTGATACCAGCTTCATCGCGTCTGGGTCAAATGTCGATCAAATTCCGTCATCGTCAAACGAAAAACGTGAATAAGCGCACTTCTGAATGTAGCGTGGAATCTCCTTGTCGAAGTCGAAAGGCAAGAGGTCTTCATTGACGACGGAATCCACAGTAGAGGGTGTATGTTCGTCTGCCATCTCTGCGCTAGATCATATTAGAAGAGTTGAAAGGAGCTCGTATTTAGCCAGTCAGCGTTTGGCAACCAGAAGTAGGGGTGATCAACACATATGTTGGAACTTGGCAGGGGTGCCTGTGCCTATTAGACAACTTTCACCAGAAAGGTGCCGGGTGACTCAGTGGACGGATAGAGCCTAACCGAGATATTGTCAGCTGATGACGTTTTTATCGACGCGTCTCCTCGGCTTGCCACCACTGCCTGTCAAGTGACGGAGAGGTTAGAATCTGGGAGCTGCGGATTCTACACGACCGAGCTTACCCTGACACTCGACTTCAAAAGTTCAATGATTCGCTAGGTTGAGACACCGTGGGAAGCGCTTGCACACATGCCCTTCCTCTGCACTGCGACGAAGTATGCAAGAGTGCGAACTTCACATGAGTGTATTCGTCAATATTAAGCTTGGCTTTCATATAACCATGCCTCTGCCTGTACAGTTTTTCACAACACATGTACAAAAGACTTTCTGTCGCTCTGCCATTCGGGGCTTCATTTGAACGAGCTTACATATCTTCGATCAAAGTTTGGATGACTGATAATAAGTAGGAGATAACCGGTTTTCCAGAAAGTATTCCCCATACCAGCATAGAAGGCTCAGAAAAGGCAACATCGATCGGTCAGCCGCCAGTGATGCCTTCGACGAATCAACATAAACGTTCAAAGAAAACAAAGAGCTTACTACTCTATGATACGAACAAATATTGGCAATCCATTAACCAAATTCACGTAAACCAAATACTCGAGGTTTTAAATGGAGCAGGAAGGACAAGTTAGGTGAATGCTTGGTAGTCACCAAGTTGGTGAATGTCGCATAGGCTTTTTGTCCATGCTTTCTTCAAGAGTTCGTCGGAGTTTGAAATCCAACTTGAATACGACTACTATGTAACAAGTATTCGGCGTCGTTCTGTCTCTCCTTCGCTTTCCAGTGGTCTTCCGATGTTCAGGAACGGTGTTTACTGGGGTCAGGTATGATTTTTTGTACTTTGCTTCTTGATCACGTTCACAAAGATTCCTCGTTCAAAGGGTTACTACGGCTTGAAACTCCCAAGATCGAGGATGACTGCGCGTTGAGAGGTCATATGCATGGTATGTGACTGCTTTTACTCCGTTATAAGTGTATATACTCAATAAATTCGCATATAGTTTTTCCAGGGGCAAAGTATTGGAGTAACTCTCGGACCTGCACTGATAAGGCGCCCCTTTAGACCTTGATCTATGTTTTATGTAACATAAGCCGGTCCCGAGACGACTTCCGTATATTCTGGTGCTGCAGACTCAACCCGAATGAGGGCGAGGCAGGTGGAACTTAGGGAGGATGACTAGATGCGACGGGCGAGAGAGTTGTTGGTGCGCAACCGTTCTCGATCCTCCGATTTCAATTAACAGTCAAGCCGGTCCACCTGCTTCGTCTGGTTGCGTAGAATCTGTATCCGCCACACCTGTAAATCATTTACCCACTTGTGCGCTTCTACTTCTGAATGACCACGATCGTTCAATCCTTCACGCCCCTACCCGCCTCTATCTGCCTCCCGAAACCCTTGAATTTGATAACTCAAGATTTAAATACTATGCTAGTCCCGTGCGCGGAGCTCCCCGTCATTCAGTAGCAACGAAAGGTACTCCCGTGTTACATGCTAATGAATCTCCCACACTGGAATCAGTTGGCCCATTTACGCTACGCACGCCTTCCTTTTTCGGAGAAAACACATTTTTGGGCGCTCTGGTTACTTGATGGAATCAACATCTGTATTGGCGCTTTCGATTTCTCAGAGACTCAGCAGAACGTCGATTGGAAGTGATTCTGTTTTGAATTGTTTTGTGCATGGCCTGATGTGGACTCTAGCGCGCTTGGCGCTACGATCTTCGGCTGGAAATGGTACTATGAGGTTACAATGGAGACCAGAGGTGATGACATGACTTTGGCTCCTTACCTGGCTCTTGAGGTACGTGTCTACGACGGTATGCTTATTTTATTCATTGATGGTACATACCTTTGGCCTCACTTGGGCCTCACAGGATTGCCTCATGCAACATTGTTACATCGGGTGGTATAGATCTGGACTTGAGATCAATGCGCAGACTTGCTGTGCCATTGTACCAATGGTCTTCCAAGATATGCTGCTATAGGTAGGGGATCGCCTCAAGGTTGACGGTAGGGTGCCAGCGCGACATCTGGTCACCTAGACTACCTAGAGGGATATAAGCCGTGGTTTAGAGGAGGAATTCGAAATCAGGAGAAATGGGCAAGCTATCTTATCGCAATTGCGTCATTTGACGCCTTTTCACAACAATCTGACGTGTCACGAATCAATGCCACTAAAGCGGTAACATCCTTAGATGGCTCGCCTCTCAGGGGAGACTAACCTGATTACGTTTAGACAGCACTCTCTCATGCGCACAAATACTTAAGCTCCCAACGTTTTTCCTGATCTATGAAACCTGGATACATGTCGACCTCCCTACAAACGACCGCGGGACAAGGTAGTACTGGGGAGAGTGCGTTAGAGTCGGGTAAGTATATTGTGGAAACGGAGAGTTCTCCGCTGATACAGAGACGGCAATCTAGGTACGTCGTCACCGACTCTCAGTGGCAGCCGCTCTGACTTGGCTCTGATATCCTTAGACCAAGACAGTCGACCCGCCCCACGGGTTATGTCCGACGGCTCAAATCCGGCTTTACCACTCGGAATAGTATTCAATTGCACCTAATCAATGACGGAAACGTTGCTAGAGACCACCTGGCTTCCGAGCGTACCTTTCTTGCTTATGTCAGGACAAGTCTTGGTATTGCAGCGGCCGGAGTCGGTATGGTCAAATTTTATTCTGCCAGCGATAGGCTAAGCTCTGTTCTACCCCGTAGCTCTGATGCAGTTTCTTCGTCGTGGAAACGTATCAAAGTACGACGCTGAAACTCTGGGAGCGACAATGATGTGTTTGGCCGTCATGGTGCTGCTCATTGGTGAATCTCTTTATCACGATTTCTTGTCTACCTTCAGCGCTAACACGCGGCAGGTACGACCCGCTATTTCGATGTCCAATCCGCACTTCCAGATGGCCGTTTCCCTGCTACCAAGCTTGGGATAGCCTTGATAGGTCTCACGATCGGATCCGTCATTGCTGCCATCCTGGTCATTCTCGTTCTTGGGTCGTGACTCTATCAACCCTCTACCCTTGCTTAATGAAAACCATCTTTTTACGGTCCAACTCCGTCTCCCGCAGCTGAGATAATATTTTGAGGGGATGGATCTACTGCAAGTATGCTTGTTTGGGAAATATAGGCCGTCCATTGGAATGAAAATTATGAAAGTGGTGCCACCCCCGAGAGGCTTTAGATATAGACATACTTGGCCTATTACCTGCGTCCCATCGTGCCAGAATTCATGCAGAATCTTTTTATACCAAAGACAAGTTGCAACACTTGCAATTGACTTGCAAGGCGAAACAATTACTTACGAGGTTGTCAACGTTGTGTCAACGGGTATGCATGTTGGTCTTGTTTGTTCGTGTTTTATCACGTGCCTGTTGAGTACATAAACCTGGAAATTTTATCTTTTCCTCCATCATCGAAGCAGCAACTGTGCTGCACTCCGTAACCGTTTCCATCGGTCATAGGAGTAACGGAGCGGTGAAAGATAGGGTCACTTCTCCTGCACGTCCAGGTGACCTGACGTTCCTATGGCTGGTGACTTCTCTGGCTGTAATGACATCGTGATCGATGCGGCCCACAGCACCTTCCCGAATACATCTTCGATATCGAAACCATTAACCTTAGAACAATGTATGACACAGTAACCTACCCTACAAAACTTCACCGCCAGCTTTCTTCGGCAATCTCGGCGAATCTGGACCTTTTTGAAACATGTGCAGAAAGAGCACGCGGAGCCTTGGCGGAGCCCGCAACCCACCATCCCATTCCATTCTTTTTTTAACTGCTCAACCCCGCGCAATTTGATAAATTGCCTCTGTTAGTAGTGGCGGAGCCCGCAACCCACCATCCCATTCCATTCTTTTTTTAACTGCTCAAACCCGCGCAATTTGATAAATTGCCTCTGTTAGTAGCCTCCCCCTACCCAGTGGGGATTGAATGAACCGCAAATCAGTAACGTCTTCTCATCGCTTACGCGTCCTTGTGATTTCTGAAAAAATGCCCCGAATCCTTAAGCCTTTCCCCTAGAATCCCGGCGTTCGCTCACCCCATTCCAAGTAAGGAACGTCTTTCCTCTAAGACAGAAAAATGTATCGATTTCTAACGTCCTCGAATCATGGGCCTGCTTCCGCAGGTAACGATCTAGAATACGGTCATCGTTTCCCATGGGCCATGTGGCTATTCAGTGGTCCTTCGATTTCAAAGATGCCTACCATGATCAAAATCAACCTCACTTACGCCGAAGTCGTTTCTTTACGCTCGTAATTAACTCGTGACCAAGATAAAATTATGCCGTGGAGCTATCTATTCTCGTTCGGCGGCCTGTCTCAGCAGAATTCCTTGTCCTCGACGGCTCGGCAATATCATCAAACACATCCGTCCGTGATGCTATTCAAATGACATCGCACTCAAAATGGCCATATAAGATGAGGCATTCCGACCAGATGCCCTATTGTTCAAATGGCGCATCGCCTTCTCTTCTTCGCATTTTTGACCCTTTGGTCTTCGCTTGCTACCGCAAGCACCGCTGACTTGGTCTCCAGCTTGAAGGCTCTCAACTTCACTATCGTAACTCCGGGAGATCCCAATTATCCTACCGCGAGTACCGCCTGTAAGTTCCCACTGCTTTTCCGGTAGTTCTCGGACTGAAATTCGCGGTAGTTAATTTGCGCTATACCTTCGAGCCCGCGGCCGTTGCGTACCCTACGAACGCTCAACAAATTTCTGCCCTGCTGAAAGTCAGCAGGCAGTTCAACCACCAAGTCGTTGCCAGGAGTGGCGGTGTACGTGATACCTTGCGTGTACTCTTTGAGCATGATCTCACTCGTTCATTAGCACAGCTACATAGCTAACGGCCTCGGAGGAAAGGATGGAGTTGTCGTGGTTGACATGACGAACTTTATGACCGTTGCTGTCGATTCATCCACCGGAACAGCCATTATTGGACCAGGGAATAGGCTCGGAAACGTTGCATTGGCACTCAATGATAAAGGACGGGCACTCCCTCATGGAACCTGTCCTTATGTTGGGGTCGGAGGCCACTCAGGTCTGTCCTCCAACCCTTTCTATGCGGGAATATGCTACAACGCTTAGGCAGGGTTTGGAGGATACGGATTCACTTCCAGGAAATGGGGTCTTCTCCTTGACACCATTCTATCTATTAACGTTGTGCTGGCTGATGGCACGATCGCAAACGTGTCCCAGACAACACATCCCAACTTATTCTGGGTACGTAACACTCCGCAAATGACGCACACCAAGTTCAAGGGGCTCATAATCTAATCATAGGCTTTGCGAGGCTCCTCCGCATCATTCGGAATTGTCACAGCTATTCAAGTGATGACCTTCCCTACGCCCTCATCCGCTACTGTCTTTGAATATAACTGGAACCTCAACGCAGCGGATGCCGCCAAAGCCGTAGGTGCGTTCCAGCACTTCGTTCAAACGAACATACCACAAGAGTTTGCGGCGGAAATTGTAATTGGAAAAGGCTCCGTTCAAGGAAATCTCTCATGGGGACTCACAGGCGGCTGGTACGGCCCTGCGGATCAATTCCAGAGCGTCATCGCTCCTTTCTTGGCGAAAGTGCCCAAACCTGCGAGCACTTCGCTGACCCCAGGTACTTACATCAATAGTGTGCAGTTCTTGGGCGGCTTGGGACGCTTGAACACGAGTTCGTCTCCCGACGGGCATGACACTTTTTACGCGAAGTCGTTAATGACTCCCGAAGCATCCCCTATGTCCAATGCCGCACGTACCGCCTTTATGAGCTACCTCGCCAATGACGGTTTCAATGCGACCACGGTACCTTCGATTATTGTTTCATTGAACCGATCTTCAACAATTTTATCGCCAGGACTGGTTTGTGGAAATCGAACTATACGGTGGAACCAATTCGGCAATAAACAATGTTCCAATTGATGCTACCGCCTTTGCGCACCGCAGTTCTATGTTCACCATCCAATTTTACACATCCGCTCCCGGAAATGTTCCTCCGTTTCCCCCAGCAGGCTTCTCTTTCCTCGACGGTAAGCATTGCGTTTCTTGCGTTCTTTCCAAGCTTTTTGTTCATATGTCAAAAACTAGAAATGGTGAATAGTATTGTTAATAACAGCCCAAAAGGCTGGGATTACGGGTAAGCATTTACCTTCCTCATTTCGCATATCAGAGGACCGCAATGCGGTTTTTTTAATTCTAGGGCGTACGCAAACTATATTGATGATAGGCTTCAAAATTGTACGTTTCGTTTTCCTTGACGTTTCAAATTCGACTAAATTTGAGAGTGAAGGGCAACAGCTTTATTATGGACCACATTACCCCAGGCTCAAAGCCTTAAAGGACCAATACGACCCGATGAACACCTTTTCTTTCCCCACCTCTATTGAGGAATGAGGCAATTTTAACGTTAGTATGACCGCGTTGATTGGGACATCGATACCAAGACACTCATTACGGAATGGGACTCGTACCACGGACTGTATGAATTATTTAAAGTATTTCCTTTGTTTACCTTCTGTCACGGAGGCGTTTCTTGTGCCTTGTAGTAAAGTTCAAGTCGGGATCAGCCTTACACGCAAATTATCATCATGCGGTTAGAGTTGTTTTTCGCAACAGCCCAAACGTTTAGTTTTATTGTCATTGTGCCGTGAATGATATGGGTATGGGAAAGAAAGTGGCAAGGCAAGTCAATTTCCATTCCACGTCGTCATCCTTTCTCTCGGCCAAGTATGGTACTTCGTCGCTGCATGCGATGGTTGTTGCTCGGGCAAGCAGACCAATATCGGCAGATTAGTCTCCTGTGCAGCCTCTCGCTTCGCCTGCGCCTCTGTAAGAGCCTCGTAGTAGTCATCAAATCTTTTGATGACTGAAACCATAATTTGGTCGACGGCTGAGTCCCTCGCTCCATCCTCCATCCCCAATTTATGCTCCTCAACCCAAATTAAAGCATCGAACTCTGCGAAGAACCGGTCGAGATGCGCATGCCATTCGGGGATGAGAACCTCCTTGAGATTATGAACGATAACATCGACATGATCTAAATCGTCTTCCGTCATGCCTGCTACAGCCTGGCGCAAGGTGACGATCTTGGTGTAGACGCTATGTATTGTCGACCATAATTTTTCCATGTGGGCAAGGTGTAGATCGTAAAATTTCTGTTTGTCGCATGCGCCGTAGTTCGGTGGAGTGAGTTCGAGTTCGACGAGAAACTCCCGCGCAGCGGCTGGAAGTTCGTCGAAACTGAGGCCGGAGTAGGTGTACGTCGGTTTGGTGTATAATCCGGGGAAAATAAAGTTAACGCAGGGGTGCATTGTGGACATTATATAGTTTTAAAGATAGAGCACGAGACGATGAGACTTGGGGAGCGTGGAAGATGAATTGGAAGGGAAGCTGGATTGCAGACCAGTGGACCAATACTCCATCGCTTTTATAGGGACTTTTGCGGCGGAGTGACAACGCGGAGACCTAACGGCGTAAAGGTTGCAGATGAATCCGGAAACTTGTAGAATAACAATTAGAATCCCGTTGTTTTTGTTGGCTCGACTTGTGACCCAGCTTGACAGCTTGGAAGGAAAGAAACAAAGAGGCCAGTGGTTAACCGCATAATTTTTCTCTGGTTAACTGCGTGATTGTTCTCACTCACAAGTTGCCCACAAGTAACCTACAAGAAAACGAAAAGCTTGACTGTTGAAGGAAAGGTAAGGCGCCGATGCCGGTATTGCCGAAAGGAACTCCGCCAGACCCACATGTCACGCGTCTACTTTTGTGAACCATGCGGTTCTGGGCTAACCGATGCTTACCTTTCAATCAGCCGTGACTTACGTGCTTGCCTTGGCCATTCCCGTTATTTATCTGACATACCGCCATTACGCTCGGCCTCAAACTACTCAAATACCAGCAGAAGACTCCAAGAAGCCTTTAAAGTCCATCATGCAAGCCCCAAGGGAAGACCTGGCACCTCCCAAGGATGACCCATTCACCACAGAAGCGCTGAAGCAGTTTGATGGTTCCAATCCTAACAGGCCGATCTACGTTGCGATCAAAGGTCTTTCTTCTTTTCTATCAGTCAATTCTTGATTCTCAGTCGTACCTCCAAGGAACCATATTCGACGTAACCCACAAGGCGGAAGTATACGGCCGAGGGGGGTCGTACAACATTTTTGCGGGGAAGGATGGCTCGCGGGGTTTGGGAAAGTCGAGTTTGAAGCCAGAAGATGCAGTGGCAGACTACAGCGATTTGGATGAGACGGATCAGAAGGTTCTTGACGATTGGTTCTCGTTCTTCCAGTGAGTGTGGCGCCACGTTTCTTGATTCATGGGCGCTTAACCATTGACTTGTATAGGAAACGGTACAACATCGTTGGCAAGGTGGTCGACCCTCCTGTCCAGTGAGTGTGTTGCCAGGTTCTTTGACTCATGCGCTTAAGCATTGACTTGTGTAGGAACAACGTGGTCGACCCAGTCGACCCTCCTCCTGCCAATATGTAGACTCACCGACGTTATGGATCGAGGATAACTTAAGCGTGTAAAGCGTTCCTATGTATTCGTTATCGATTCGGCGGAAGCACAGGTTATGGTGTTCCAAATTCAAGCGACCTCAAAGGGAAGGTGTAGCCGTGAGCCCCCCATAACTCGCTCAAGTGGTGTAGTTCGCCGGCAAGATCAAGTTGTTTTACATCGCGGACCAAAGCAAAGACTGGATTTGATCTCCACAATGCAACGGTCCTCGTTAATCACTCCTTCCGCATGGAGTGCACAGGGAACCCACAGAGCGTCTAACGCTTCACTACGGAATTAGATGCAATCGTTGCTATCGCGCCTCCGCCGCACAGTGAGTTAGATGGGCTTATCCAGAGCGAAGCACGATTGCGACTCAAAATTTCTCCAAATTTCACAACAAGGCGCTCTGGTTTTCTAACGACAGTTGTCTCTGTGCAGACTTTACTCAACTGCTTACATTCCCATCACGTGTTAGTCGTTCTCGACGCGTCAAATCTGACACGTGACCTGGTACAACAATTAGCTGCAATCATTGGGAAGCCTCAGTTACTTGGCGTCTTGCAGCATTCCCGAAAGACTTGGAGAATGCGCAAGAGACCTTGGGGTGGTATTGTCAGAATGCCGTCGGGTCTTTTGCTCCTGTCGTCCGATCCATTTCCTCCCTCCTTGAAGGAGCAATATGCTGTTGTCGTTTATTCTTGATGACATTACATAGTATGCACACACATCAAAGCAAACGAAGTAAGTTCCACTGATTCAAAAAATTTGTTTTTAGCGCTGCCAATTACTTAGATCTACTAACAGCCAATCAGGGATCCGGGTATCCCCCCGATTACATAGAACATATGAGTCTTGTCGTGTATGTATTATAATTAAGTAGATCGTCGTCCACCCAAGAAGGCGCGGTACCATAAGAACACTACAAAAATTAGGATAAGGTGATAACTTGAATGTTTGATATCAATATTATAAATCATGGGCGTCTATATGACGCATAATCATCAGTGAAGCCAGATATTCTGCACACACGCATGAGAACCGGCATCACGTTCTATACGAGTGAAGCTCACCGCAAGCCATGTGACCGTATTCCTCCTCAACGGAAAGGCAGCACCCAGAATGAAGCCCGTATGTGGGCTCTCCAGAAAGTTTGAGGTCGTAGTAAGCTACTATCTTAGCTTGAGACGTATAGCACTAAAGGCGAATAAGACCAAAATAGAACGTCTCAGGGGGCAACGCACAGTCCACTCATGTTCATCCGACTTATTCTTCCAGCGGTACTCTTCACCATCCAAACCAGTAAATTTGCGGTTTTTGGAACTATCGGGGGAGGGTAGGTGAATGCGAAATGGGAATGAAATTGAACTACTAGACGCACCTGCCCAACATTGAAACCTTGGTTAGATATTTCTTCATAGGCAGAGATCTATCCGACCCGAATGAGATGGTGCCCAACGAGTCATCGGACCCAAAATCCAAAGTGATTGAGGGGACCCCAGTCACTGAGCTATCGTAAATGATATACGCTTTACCGGTCGAGTCTTGGGCCGTGCAGCGGTAGACGAGTCGCATCCGATCATTAACATCGGTGAATTCAGAACCGCCTAACAAGCCTGTCTTGTCTGCTAGAAAATACGGCATGCCGTATGTCGTCATATCTGGCCAGCGAGGAGGATGGGAAATCAAGGTGAAGGGTTGTTGAAGGGACTGGAAGGGAGTCAGGAATTTTGCAGCTTATGGCAAGCATCTAGAGCCTTTTCAATGAACGCGTTTATTTCCATAAGGGGAACGAAAGCCAAGCCCAGAGTCGCAATCGTCATTTTTGTTGCAAAAGGAGCATATGGTTACTGAACGAGAGACGTTGGGCGTTACGTTGAAGGATACCGGAAGCAGATTTAAGGATACTAAATTGATGATTCGGAGCGATACGCGGCTGTGGCTCAATATGAATATGAGATTACCAGATAGGTCCAGCAGGAGTAGTATCCCCTGGTATCCCTCGTGGCGACTATGAGGCTCCCGCGAAAAAATATATAAATGGCCTAGCTCATTTTAAATGCCGGGGTCAGGAGGCACAGGAATTTGGTGCGCGACCAGCACATGCGTCGATCACAATTTAAGATTTAACAAATATCGAGACCCGTTCCTGGGTTTTGGACTCGAAAAATCGTCATTTCTCTCCCATAAATATTCCGTCTATGGCGTCATGCCCACCTGTGACCTTTATTAGTCCGGAGCCTCAATACGAATGATGAATTTGATGTTTTTTCTTCTCACGAAATGAGCCCCCACCGTCCCCTGCATTGGGATACTTGAAATCAATTTCGCCGTGCACACCATGAGGTGAAGACAACCGATCCTTGTAGCCGAAATCACCGGAAGCTACAACCCTTCGAGACCAAGATTGGGAATTTATATGACACGATAAGGGGAGGACTCGGAGTCGCCTGGAATATGGGGCACGTTTGACCTGGGTTACTTACGCAGCAATTTAGTGGGCGGTCTTATCTCACCCCTCGGTTTTTGTGGGAGTTTGTGGGTCCAAAGCTTCCAGTGCGGATAGAGTCAACTTCCCCATCGGTCACGGTAACCTGAGTGAGCGTATTGCGTCTATTGCGTCCTCAAGTCTGTCAAATCGGATATAAAATTATGGGACCTGGGAGGCAAAGATGGTGGAGTCAACCTGAGGTGGACAATAAATTTTAGATGCATAAATTTTAAGCAGTAGAACAGAGTTTATGAACGGTGACATTGTGAAAAAAGCACTGTTTATTTGCTGTTTATAATTCGTCTGAATTCCAGTTGAATTATAATATTTGTTCATCTCAATACAAAGTATCTTTCCCGTTTCTAGCAACCAATTTGCCTCCCCAATGCCTCCCCGTATATTACGGCAACATAAACTTTTAGTTCAGGGTCCAATCAGGGGTGCCTTGTCAGCTCAATCCATTGACACCGAGCATCACCTCCTGCCACGAGCATCGTCATCGGAAATTGTTGGAATCTACGAGTCTACGCCGACGAGCCTTCGCCACAAAGCAGGTTTTGTATTCGTTTCCGGAATATTCTTTATGCTTATTGGATCCACGACCAGCGCCATACCATGAGAGTACTTACGTCGAGGACAGCTTTCGGCTCCTGCTGCCAAACCTCAACATGAAGAATTCGCATGTATCTCCGGATGAGAAAAATGAAGGTACGTATCCAGTCCTGGACGGCTGTCCAGGGTTGTAAATCACCTCATCCGCAACAGTCCGCAACCTCCTGAATATAATTTTTCGGAAACGTCTTTCACTCTCTTTCACTCCATAGCCTAGCTCCCGTCATTTCCGAGTTTTAAAGTCCGTTTAATCGCGGAACGCCTCCCAAAACAAGGCAAAATCCGGAGCCAATATCCACCATCTTATACCATCCCACAACAATTCCGGCTCGATTCTACCTTTTCAGGCTAGAATGCGCCATTGAGTTCACAGCTCAAATTATTTTTTCCTGCCTTATCGATGTGGATCATCTGGACTGGCGATTTACGGCAGCTTATGACCCACATACAGGGCGGCAAGAGGCCCTACCATCATCAATAACTTTCGTATTCCCTTTACTTCTTTCCCCTTTTTTATTTCTTCGCACCCATTCTGCGCCCACCATTCCTCTAGCATCAAATGGTGCATACGTTCCTTCTACCAAAGCTGGGACATTTTATGAGGCGCCAGCCTCACAAGGCTGCATCCGCAGATTCCGCAGTCCTAAAACGTTCAGTACTTGCTCATTAGATTATACAGAGCTTACTCGAAAGGACGGTTTTCTCACAAGCTTTTTCCCCTTGTGCCTATCAAGCCGAAAACTTTTTCTCATGACCAGATCCCTCCTCTTCTAAACCCCAGCCGTCTTTTCCAGCGTCACGTCAGAGTTCTAGAAGGGTGTAGGCCGCCTCTGGATGGGCCTCCAAATGACCCAAGAGTCAACAATGAGAACTATGCACACCGAGACATATGTTTCCTGCGTCTACTCTTAAATCATGCGCGACAAGGTGTGTCTCAGGAATAACTCGTGAAATGCAAATTTTACCTCAATTCAATCTTTTCAACGGCAAAGATAGTTGTAAAAGCCGCGAGCGTCCAAATCTCAGCCGCCTTCAACCACGCGGGTTCCGAAGTTACGTGTTACTCACAAGATGACATCTGCATTTACTGGCGCCAATTCATTCCATTCGTCAAGGACCACTGCTCTAACCTTTTCAAGCCAGCACTGACGCCTAAATATACGTTGTTTAATCTGGCCATCATGTGGCAGCCTCCCATGTCATCTGTCTTGCTAGTTGAAGGGTTGAATGGACCCCATTCGAGTGAGTGCTTTCTCAATCGACAATTGTATATGGTTGATCGGTGAGAGCTTTTGTGGCGTCAGCTCAGAGCCGCGTTTCCTTCTGCTCAGGATGCACGGAACATTATCAAACGCCGTGCCCCGTTACGCAGGGTTTCTCTCTCGACGCCAGTTGCCAGTGGTCGTTGAGAAATGGCTAGGCTACTTCAATTTCACTCTTCTCCGTCTCGACAACTTTGGCTAGCCTCTTCTTTGGATGGATGAAAGTCCACCAATCGGCTGATATGGAGAACGTGGCGACAACACCACTCCTTCGGTTCCTTCCCAGCAGACGCGCCCGTTATCAAGCCCACCTACGCCCTATCTAGAGAAGACATAATCGATCATTTCATAACATACATTTTGAAGTTCTTCTACATAATAAACGCCACTATGATAGCGCCAATCGTTCTAATTCAATTCAAAATGCCTACATTCAACTTGCATTCAACATTGATTAATTCTTAGCAACGTCAATAAAAACGTGGTCGAGAGTCCATTATCACACCGAATGACGGCGCTCGGCCTATACCCCACCATACCCTCCGCGAGACGTGTGCTGATACTTTGCAAATAGGTTTCTCGCGGAGGGTTGTGACCGCCATCACTCACACCTACAATCTTCAACTCTTCCAATGACGGCATTTGAGCGACGGTGTCGATGAGCGGTTTCTGTATTTTGCCATTAGCTCAATATTGGCGTTGGGAAGAGATCATGAGACTTACGACGAGGTTTGAATTCGAGTCTTCGCCTTTGACATAGAACGGCAACGTTTCCATCAACCAAACACCACCGGCCTTCACAAAGCGGCTGAACGTCGAGTTCTTCAGGAGACTCCACATGATGGAGCAAACACTCCTCATGAAACCTCTTCGCTGCAAACCCACAGTCCCCCCCCGTCTAATCCAATGCGGGAAGTTCTCAGGAACTAGCTGTATTTCCTTCAATCCCGAGTAGGAAGAGATATACTGGAGGAAAGCCATCCCAACATTATCCACAGATACGTTCTGTAGTGGGCGGATATCAGCTTTGTCGAGCGTGGACTGGATCTCATCGTGTGTTGAGCTATCCTCCTTTATGGAATTCGGGAGGTGTACACCATGATATTGATAAGCGTCAACGAAGTGAGATATTTGAAATGGGGCAGCGTCTTTTGATCCAAACGCACCCAACAGCCTTTAATATCCAACTCCTTAAGTTCTTAAGATTTACAGTGCTTTGAGCAGGGGTCGTGGTGATCCCGCAGGACGTAGAGTGAGGACTTGGGGTTCTATGATGAGGCTTAGCCGCGCCGGAGGGTAAGGAGGTCTTTTCCCAGCTAGCGAGATGAAATCGTGTGAGTAGATAATAATAATGTGCTTCGCTTTAGAAAACTCACCTCGCTGCCAATATGCTAAATCAGGTCGGGCGCAAGGCTAGGTAGAGAAGGCATAACGTCAAGTTGTTGGACACATAAAAGATTAGGGGTTAGGAACAGTCAGACAAGTTATGATGAAACTCTTTCTTCCGTGAATCTCAATCGGAGTCAAACACCGAAAAAAAAAGGGTCAATTTCTGCTTTTGTCTGAATGTACAACTTGAAAGTCCAAGAAAGAGTCGTCGAATACCGTCACCTTCATCTACACCCACTTCGCTATTGACCAAACCCGCGTCCTCTATCGTGGCGGTGTTGTCATCAAGGACACGATTAGGGAAGAGTTGTTGCGATCTCGCAAGGTTTTCGAGACGAGAGCTGGGGGAATTGATTAAGCAAAGTAAGGAGCTGATAAGATGTATTGAACTTACGCGTTGATAAAGTTTCTAATGTCCAAAATGGTATGAGATAGCCTATAAAACTCCACCATCAGCACAGGTGTGTCGAATGAGTAAAACAAAAACCACAAACCTCGTTCCATCCGCCAACCGGATTTGCACACTTGTCGTAGGTTGCGTTTGATCCACCTCAAACCTCGTGGTAACCCTTTCCTGCGCTGGTGCTGCTGTCCTGGTTGGCGTCCGCACAGCACCAGAAGTTGGGAAAGTGCCAGGCATGTTTGATGGCGGTGGGGACCCACTTCCACTCGCACCGCTGAGTCCTGGGACTGGTGTGCCGAGACGATGTGCTTTGACGCAACTTGGTGTAGTCTTCGTTTAGGCGTTTTGCGACGCGGACTTCGACGATTTGCCCGGCGAGAACGTTGAAGATGGAGGGTGGAGCACGGCTACGATTCATCAAGCTAAAAGACGAGCGTTTGAGTGGGGAGTAGAATATACCCAGAATTTATCTCTGCCAAGATGGCTGCGTGCCTGGGAACATCGTACGGCATTAATTCGCCGTCTTCAACTTGAAAGCCGTTCCTCCAAAAGGTCAAGTGCCGGAGGGCTACCTGGTCTGTTGTCACAATATAAGGAGTGAATAGACGGGGCAATTGCGGAAGGCGTACCAAGATCAGTGGCTGAAGTAGCATTTGGGTCGGGAGTGAAGCTGCTTGGAGTGTCATCACTGCCGAGGGTATGGCCTCCGCAAAACGCCGTGGGCCTTGAGGAGCCTTCGGGTGCTTGTCCGCCTCTGTGTGAAAGTATGAGATAAGTGTTCAAGCTAAAAATGAAGGGCAACCACAAACTCTTGTGCACGTCTCAACAGCTCTCGTACCATTGACATATCACCTCCAGGGACCCTGCTGCCACCATGTCTGGCAGAATCTGGATTCTGAATGTTGACTCCGCTGAAAGAGGGAGTCCTAGTCAGGGTGCATCCTGAGCCTGTTGTGTCGTTGTCGCCAGACATGGGTGGTGATATCTGTTTGGACGTTGTATGGCGGTATTGTTATCTGAGGGCGTCGGCTTTTTGTCAAGCTTGAACTTCACACTCAAACCACACTTGTCTTTTTGTCCTAAGGGGTCTTTGAGACGAAAAAGCAGCTCCGAATTTAACATTTAGAAAAATTTAGGAAGCCATGGAGCAGTCAAGCTGGACATTCTTTTTTTTTAGAACGGTGGTTGAGATTTGGTTGAAACTTCTTGAACGGTATTTTTTTTTCAATTTTATCAATGAGTTCATCTTATTTCACAGATTTCACAGTATTTTCTTATATGCCATCGTGCGCATAGCCAAGGAATACAGACTTTAACATTCCTGTCCAACGTTCGATCCTCGTGCGGAGACTGTCGTCCTTTGTGACCTCGTCATCAAGCAATCTATGCAAAGGCGGCGACTCTTGATAGTGCTTCTGAACTTCGGTGCACATGACCTCAAGGTTGGCATCTCTATAAGAAGGCGACAAGATTCAGACTATGAAATCAATCGCTTTACGCTTATCCAGTCCATCTGATCCACTTTCCAATCTCTCAACTTGATGAAGCGCGGGTTTCTGAAAACCGCAAAGGCGAAGAACTCAAAGACGGAGGGTATCGCGCTCCCGCCAGTCGCATTGACTCCACCCAGTTTAGGTGTGCCACCCAAGGGAGATGGCTCTTTCGGTTAGTCGAATTCTTCATCACGCCGGTTTTTCATCTCACCATTTTGAACACTGGGAACTTAGCTCCACGACCTGTTATCAAGTTACCTTATGGGAAGGTTGAGACCGGTAACGTAGCCTATGTCATTGACATGAGGCAACCTAACATTGTAACAGCGCGGCCGACTGAGGGCGTTGTTTCTAAGAAGGTTTTCGGTCGCGAAATCTCCGACGACGCCGTAAATTACAGCGACGACATGATTCTAGTCACCACTCTCCCACCCGTGAATTTGGGCGCTACACTGGATGATGAACCTGACAATTGGACAGAGTGTATCTTGGCTGGGCACATCAAGCGTCGAATCCTCAGCACCCCAGGATTTCCGCGCCCCGTAGAGAAAACTGCAGACGGAATGGTAAACCATCGTATTGGGCCTTCGCCGGTTGGTGGACTTGGAGTGTTCGCCACGCGTCTCGTCCGCGCTGGAGACCTCATCATCGCCGAGAGGCCTCTCCTGATCTCACAGCGCACTTTTGATATGTCGGTCGCGGAGGGTCTTACCAAGGCGGAGATGATGCAGGTTAATATGCAAAAGTGGGAGGAACACCTTGGCATCGCGGCATTGAAGAGGATGACTGATGAAAACCGGAAAGCATTCACGGCGCTGGCGAACAGTCATACTGAGGACGGGAGTGGGCCTATTCTGGGGATCATTCGCACCAATGGATACAAAGTACCAGGCTTGTATGATGGTCACGAGGACGACAACGCCAGGACTTATACTGCTGTTCTGAATGTGATGTCGAGGATCAATCACAGGTGAGATACTTGAATTATACGACCGTAAAGCAAGTCTCGAGACTGACATATCTTCAGCTGCTCGCCTAATACTACGCATCATTTCGACATGGCTTCCCTTTCCTTCGAGCTCCGAGCAAATCGCGATATCGAAGAAGGAGAAGAGCTGTTCAGCTCATACTGCGACAATTTACGAACCAAGAGCGAGCGTGCTGAGCAGCTAGCACCCTACGGCATTGTCTGCGCATGTCCCGGGTGTGTTGGAGCAACCAAGGAAACGGATTTGTTGCGCTCGGAGCTGGTAAAACGCATCGAAAAAATACGAGCTGACCACCATGTTTGGATGAAGGATCGAACACGCCCTAACGTACTCGCAGCCTCCCTCAAGCTGATAGCAGAGATTGAAAAAGAAGGTCTGGCCGGTGCTCCGTCGTTCACCTCCCTGTTGGGGATGGTTGCGAGTGTCTACTCGACGTCCGGAAACACAAATAGCGCGGCGGAGTACTTAGAGCAGCTCAGCAACCACTGGCATTGCAGAGTATCCACCAAGTAGCCACGAGGCGCTGACTGGAAGCTAACGGTTTGGGCAAAGCTGCCGCTCATCTGAAAACACTGAATTAAAAGTCCCCTCGTGTGAAGCCCTGTATAATTATCCCAGACTCTAGAACGGAGAGGAACGAAGAATTGTAATTGTTATCATCAGTGGGATTTCATGTCAGCACGCCTTTCTTCTTAAATAAAAACGTGGTAGAGAGGTTATTATCACACCGAATGCCATCCACTTCAGTGAAGCCAGCTCTTTGCACAGTCTGCACCTTGTCCACCACGACCACATCAACACAGCTAGGCAGCTCATAGGCTTCAATTTGCCACTGCCGTAAAGAATATGTAGATTATCGACAAGTTATTGACCATGTTTGGCTCGTTCCAATCCGTAAGCATTGCTTGGAAGTTGGGTCCGCGTTTTTACCATTAGATTTGAATTCCCGCAGAGCATATGGAACGGCTGGGGACGAGACTAGCTATTCCACGCGTCAATAAATACAAGGGCATACACAATCTAGCACTGCATTCATAAGACTCGTTCCTCTCGGGGAAGGGGACGAGGACACCGACGACTGCATCGTCCACAGTTGTTGGAGGTTCCATTGGGTTAAGGATCTAAGTAGTTGCAGTACAGGGATAGAAACCATAAAAATTCAGGGGACCCCTGAAAACAGGATTACATTATTTAGTAAGGAAGAAGAGAGTCCAATGATGATACAGCGTGATGAAAACCACATTACAGGCTCCCCCGTTTTAGAAAACTCACCTCGCTGCCAATATGCTGAATCAGGTAGAGAAGGCATAACGTCAAGTTACGGTGAAGCTCTTTCTTCTGTGAATCTCAAACACCCAAAAACAAAATGGTGAATTTCCATTATATCTACAACGGTTGGTCAACTTCTGCTTTTGTCTGAATGTACAATTTGAAAGTCCAAGAAAGAGTCGTCGAATACCGTCACCTTCATCTACACCCACTTCTGTATCACGACGCTGTTGACCAAACCCGCGTCCTTTATCGTAGCGGTGTTGTCATCAAGGACACGATTAGGCAAGGTTGTCGCGATCTCGTAAGGTTTTCGAGACAAGAGCTGGTGGAGTTGATTAAGTAAGGAGCTGATAAGATGTATTGAACTTACGCGTTGATAAAGTTCCTAATGTCCAAAATGGTATGAGATAGATAAACTCCACCATTAATTACCACAGGTGTATCGAATGGGTAAAACAAAAAAGACACAAACCTCGTTCCATCCGCCAACCGGATTTTCACACTTGTCGTGGGTTGCGTTTGATCCACCTCAAACCTCGTGGTAACCCTTTCCTGCGCTGGTGCTGCTGTCCTGGTTGGCGTCCGCACAACACCAGAAGTTGGGAAAGTGCCAGGCATGTTTGATGGCGGTGGGGACCCACTTCCACTCGCACCGCTGAGTCCTGGGACTGGTGCGCCGAGACGATGTGCTTTGACGGAACAAGTTGGGGTAGTCTTCGTTTATGCGTTTTGCGACGCGTACCTCGACGATTTGCCCGTCGAGAACGTTGAAGATGGACGGTGGAGCACGGCTACGATTTCATCAACGCTAAAACCCAGAAGACGAGGTTCGAGAGGGGGATGTCGAACATACCCAGCATTTATCGCTTCCAGGATGGCTGTATTTTCGGGATCATCGTACCACATTAATTCACCATCTTCAACTTGGAAGCCGTTCCTCCAAAAGGTCAAGTGCCGGACGACTGCCTGGTCTATTGTCACAATGTAAGGAGTGAATACACGGAGCAATTGCGGAAGGCGTACCAAGATCAGTCGCTGAGGTAGCATTTGGGTCGGGAGTGAAGCTGCTTGGAGTGTCATCACTGCCGTTGTTGCCAGACATGGTGATGACGAGATGAGAGTTGCTACGAGAGTTGAGAGCAGATGAGAGTTGCTGAGAGAGTTGAGGGCAAGTTGAGAGCACGTCGGCCCGACGTGCTTATCCGCTTGGACGTTGTATGGCGGTGTTGTAATCAAAGGGCGTCGGCGTTGTCAAGCTCAGGGCAGCTGATAGGCTTTTTGCTGCCGTAAAGAAGGGTATGCACCGCCTAATGCTACCTATGTACTTAGTCTCGTTCTAATCCGTATTGCTTGGAAATTTGGTCCGCGTTTTTACCATCACATTTGAATTCCCTCGAGCATATGGAACGGCTGGGGACAGGATTCCACCATCGACCACGGGTCAAGAGCTAAGAATCAATTACCGCCACTAAGTAACACCCATACACGTTGAGGGTGGAAACTCAATCTAGCACTGCGTTCATAAGACTCGTTCTTGTCGGGAGGGAGACGAGGCACTTACAACTGCATCGCCCAAAGTGACATGTGTTATACCTTGAAGTGCTCGAGGTTCCGCTTGCACGGGCTCTGAAAAGTACAAAACAGTGAGGAGAGTCAGGCAAAAGTTCAACCAGGACACATATCCTTGAAAGCGCGCTGATCATTACAGGGACAGAAACCACAAAAATTTAGTGGACTCCTGAAAACACAATTACATTATTTAGTAAGGAAGAACAGTCCAATGATGATACATCGCGATGAAAACCACATTACAGGCTCCCCTCCGCGTCCTTTACCAGCGCCAACCCTGCCTACCAAGCCCTACTTCTTTGCAGCCTCAATGGCCTCTCCATTCTTGCACGCAATAATTTTGATACGTTGCGCGCTAACCATCTCGTTCGACTCCATCTTGAATGTGGGACTCTTGACAATGAAGGTCCAGACGTCGTCACATAAGCGATACGTCTTGAGGTGACCCTGTAGTTATAGCAGTGTTAGTGAGGTTAGGAGGGACGATGGAAGAACCGAAGGAAAGGTTTATCGGGGGTAGGTGGCAGGAGGGGTACCGATGTGGCGCTCGACGGGAAGCAGGGCACGAAGGAAAAGGGTAAACAAGGAAGAAAAGTAGCAGTGTTAGTGAGGTTAGGAGGGACGATGGAAGAACCGAAGGAAAGGTTTATCGGGGGTAGGTGGCAGGAGGGGTACCGATGTGGCGCTCGACGGGAAGCAGGGCACGAAGGAAAAGGGTAAACAAGGAAGAAAAGTAGGATGACAAAAGACAGACCTTCAGCGTCGTCTTATTCTTCACCTGCTTAACCATCGTATCCGCCAGGGACTTGTCGAACTGTAAGTTCAAAGAAGTATAGTCAGGGTCATGATCTAAACTGGGCGTCGAGAGAGGTGTCTGTCGCCACTGAAAGGAGCAGTGGTGCTACCTCTCAAAGCCCTTGCCGATCGAACGGGACCTCAAGCGGAAAAAAACCACACACCTGTTGCAGGACTTTCATAGCCAGCTGAGGCGTTATCGCCCCACTCGTGATCAGCTCATCCAGGGAGTCCGTGAGTGCCATCCCTATCCTGTACACCAAACCGTGAGTGAGTCTGAGCACCATCCACGGATCAATCAATGGAACTTGACGTACGACGAACCCCTGTAGAACTCATAGTACGCAGATGCCATCGACAGCTATCAGAGGTATCCTAGAAACAGCTACTAGTGCAGTCGTGCTGAGGTTGGTGGTGGCGACGACGACGACGGTGGCTGTTAGGTGGTCGTTGAGCGGAGAATGACTGACTCGACGAGCCAGTCACGAACGTCACACAACTTGAGGATAGGGATGTTGCGAAAATGGGCCTCAATTCAGCTCAAAAAAGGTGAGAAATCGGGGGGTCGCTATGCTCATAGAAAAGCAGCTTTCTACGAGGTAGAATACTCGATATTTTTCCTTTTTGAAATCTTTCGCTGGGGCCTGAAGAAACTTGACTGGGAGCTTCATACGTACATGGTTTCAGTGTTCTTGTACATAAACATGGTGAGATGGCCGAGCGGTCTAAGGCGCCAGACTAAGGATCAAGGCATTTGATGTCCGCTACGTTGTTCGCAACATCTGGTCCTCCGGGGCGTGGGTTCGAATCCCACTCTCATCACTAAGTGATTTTCATTTTGCCGCTCTAACTGACAGCATAAGAAAGTGCTTGAAACGGGCAGGAGACATCCACATTTCAACGCGGTCAGCAATCCTAAGCCAGTTGCAGACGGGTAAATACGTACGAAATCTGTATCGTGTATTGTAAGTTACTCGTTTAACAACACCAATTGCAAGAGGCAGGCAGGGAAGAGGTATAGAGTAGGTACGGGGCAGTAAATGTATATATCGTTGTTTTGAGAAGGAGGTGGGTTTGGAGGCAGGAGGAGAACCCAAGAAGCCAAAATGATCAAGGGCGAGCGATGCAGGCACAATACAGGCCAGGAATGATAAATACACCCAACCAGATTGAAGGAGCCTCAGGTGGGGAAAGTGAAAACAAAGAAGCTATCATATGAGAAGTAGACGAGCAAGGGGGAGAAATGGATTTTGATGTGAGAGTGAATGAAATTCGGTAATTTGTTGACTTCTTCAACGTTAGACGGAAGGCCTTGATTCAGTAGCTGAGTTAAGCCTCAGACATGGTAACGTCTGCCAGAAAAGAGGTGTCTCCAGCCTCCGCCTCCGGTACAGCTTGCGCAGGCGACCCGTTAACAGCAGGAGCTGCAGCAGAAAAAATCGCACCAATCAGTAAGTACCCCCTCTTTCTCAAGGTACCATACATCACGCACCATCAGCAGCAGCGTCACCCCCGTTCAGATCCATAGCAGCCGTCTTCTCTTCCACACCAGCGCTCTCCCGAGCACCATTCACAGTGCCACCCTCATCTGCTTCTGCTTCAGGAGGAGCACTTGTGGAGCCACCGCCCGCACCCTTGTTGGCGTTCAAGATCTTGTGCCACCTTTCGACAAGTGCGCCAGCGCGCAATCTGAATTTGAACTCGTCATCACGCGGTACTTTATCCTCGGCGAGGACAGCGATGTGACGCATGACCTTTCCGATTTTCGAGAACTGAGGGGAGCAACATCAGCATCGTAACGGTAGAGCGAAAACGAAGCATAGAGAAGTGAACTCCGTAAACAGATCAAAAGGTAATCTCGTCAAAGCAAAGGGACCCCGTGCTTCTCTACCGGAAAGGAGGCAAGCCAGCGAGGACTAAAATGGCAACAGAGATGGAACTGAAGTGCAAATGAAACGAAAAGTGAAGACCAGTGCCTCAAGGCAAAGGCTGGGGAGCAGCAAGAGACGGGGGAGACGGAGCATCTAGGGACGAAGGGTGTGGGATGTCAAGGCGAAGTAAATGGCCATTGCACCTCGAAAACAGAAAAATGCGAAGCACGGAAAGTAAAGTGGGGCGCAAATCAAGGGAAAGGAAACGAAAAGATAGGGAGCCCAGGTGGACAGGATAACGGAAGGTTCATAATGACGAAACATAAGAAACCAGGAGCGTAAACATACCTGGAGTTGTTCGATCGTCATGCCTTCGTAGTTTTCCACTGTCTTGAAAAGATCATTGAGATTTGGCATTTCCTGAGAAACCAAGTGGGTCAGCATCGGTAGGGAAAAGAGGTGAGCAAACAGCAAAAAAGTCAACCCGGAGTGGTTGAACGAGCCAAAGAACCAGGAAAGAAGGCAAAAAAAATACCCACCTCTTCTTTAGGTAACGACTTATTGCTCAAGAAGGTCTTCTGCAGTCTGTGCCGCCAATCACGCACTTTGATTGATTCATTGTCTTCAGAGCCTTTAGCTGAAAAGAGAAGAACGGAGGTCAGCTTCTGACATGGCGGGAAATTGAAAGGACAAGTGATTATAAGGGGATGGCGGTACGAAAAGGGTGGCTGAGCATGCGATGAAGGAAAAAGAGTGGTAGGAAGGGAACAAGATCCGAAAAAACAACCTCCATCATTGAAAGAGGCGGTATTTTCTCCCATTCAATGGCAGAGAAAGATGGTGCCCTGGAGTGACATTTGAAAGTCACCAGGACTGCGGAAAAGGATGACAGAACGTAGTGAAGGCAAAGAAAGCAGCGAAAGCAGCAAAAAAGTGCGCCAGAAGAAGTCAAGGTCGACGCTGAAGAGAAAGAGACGCCAAAAAGGAACCAAAAGAGAGAAGAAAGCGATGGAGCTGATAAGGAACGAGATAAACGCTAGAAAGTGTGGAAAGTGCAAAACGGTCATAAAAGCAACCATGTAACGTGAAAGGTGGTGGTTATTGTCCAAATTCAAAAGTGAATAAAGCTTAAGGCTCTGAGACGAAGATTGAATGGCACCAGCGCCTCCGAAAAGAACGATAGGCCACAACAAAACGGACAAAAAGAGGAAAACCGACAAATCAACGACGCCAGGTATAAATGAATGCTGATTTTGAAGATAAAGGGAGGCCAAAAGACAGGCAAAAGAATGAAGACAATGTTAGAAGATGATAAAGCGTGCAAGGATACGAGAAAAGCGCTCAAAAGTGTAAAAAGGTCCGAAAAGAAACCGTGGGGTCAAGAAAGTCAGAGGACGTCTAAATTTCGAGAAGAAAAGGCGCAAGAACGTTTGGGAGACCATTAAGAGACACCAGCGCCTTGGAGAAGATGATAGGGCATAAGAAGAGGAAGAAAAGGGGGTCAAAAGCACAAAAAAAAGGCGCCAGAGGAAGATAAAAGTTGACGCCAGGATAAGGAAAGGCACCAGAAACGAGAAAAAGAAGGGAAGGGCGAGGAAAGTGCTTTTGTTCGGCAAAAGCGACTATAAGATGAAAATGAATGGGAGAAGAAGGGAGAAAGGAAAATAGGGCCATGACAGGGAGAAAGGAAAGGTCAAGCAAGAGGCAGAAGAGAAGAGAGAAATAGAAGAGCATGGAAGGAACATCAGAGGACATCCAACCAAGGCAAAAGCGTGAAAATGGGTTACGAAAAAGCGATTCGATGAAAAGGGTGGAAACCGTCAAGGAAGTGGGGTGTTGGCAAAGCATAGCTCTCAGACAAGAAGAAAAGGGGTCTGGAGCATTGAAAGAGGACAAGGAGGGGAAAAGAAGGGCAAAAAGGACCATTATGGCAACAGTGAGAAAAGATAAGACGAGAACAAGATAAAGATCAGAGCGATCCGACGATCCACTCCACTGATCCACCAAGCCACCATGTCCGCAAAACCACAAAGAAAACAGAAAAGAGGGCAAACTAACCTTCATCGGCATCGTCATCCCGGTCCCGTTTCGCTTTCTTCGCCGGTGGGGGCGACGCAGCAGTCTTATCTGCCGCAGCCGCGGCCTTCTTGGAGCTCTTCGTGCTAGGCCCAGCATCTGCGTCATCTTCAGCCTCATCCTCCGCATCCGCCTCAGCTTCACCTTCATCCTCGGACTCGACCATCGCCTGAGACTTTTTGGAACGTTTAGAGGCACCATTGCCATTGGTAGCCTTGGCCTTCCTTGTGGTGCTTCCAGCATCAGCGTCTTTCTTTGGCTTGGCTTTCGCTGGTTTGTCGGATTTCTTCCTCTCTTTCTTTTCTTTGACAGATGCGGAAGCATCGTCGCGTTTCCTCTTCTTCCCTTGTTTCTTGCCTAGTAAATCAAGGAATAAGCATGTCAACGACGATGATAAAACAAAACATGAAAAAAACGCGAACCTGCAGCCCCTTCATCTTCTCCATCCTCCGTCTCTGCAAGCTGGTCAATTTCAGCATTTTCCTCCATGTCTACTGTATCCTGGATCATAGCCTCTTTCTCCGCGAGCCACGTCGCAGGGTCCAGAGCAATGCGGTACCCATTCAACAGCTCTGACGACTTTTTGTGGGGCTCCGAGATGTACGACTCAATTTCGTGTCGTTGGAGCTTCGAGATGTCTTTCTCGACTAACCATGCACTGCATGCAACATGTTAGTGTGGGCCACGTCAGGGCGGAGAACGCATGGAAAAAAGGACACACTGGTCACCCAAAGGGAAGAACCTGACGCAGTAGAACGTGGCCTTTTTGCTGCTGGGGCGTTCGAGAGCCACGGTGGGGTGGACGTTGTCTGGGTCCACAACCTAGACGTAGATCAGGACCGTTGGACGTACTCGACGCGAGGAGGCTCACCATGCCGGGCCACGGTGGAAAGCCGCGCACTTTGCCTAGGACCGTGTCGTTGATGTTGTAGGTCGTGGCCACTTTGGCCTGCTGCGCTTTGCTACTTTTTTTGCTCATCGTGGCTGGCGACGTGTGCGATGTGGCAGACGGTGAGGAGGGATGTTAGGAAACCGAAAAGGATGATGATTGAAGTTTGTTGAAGCACGAGACAAGCGGCCTCGGCTATTTCCGGTCACGTCACCCCCTTCTGCGCACAGACCCGCCCCCTGCTCACCAGGGACAACATGCAATCTGCAACACCTAAAGATGCGTAGGCCTGAAGAAATCCAGCACATCTTCGTACGCGTCATTCATGCAATCTGAACAGAGTAGCAGAATTATTGGCTTCGTCGAGGAAACTGGTCAACTTCCTGCTGAGTGACAAGGATGTTGCTCAAGAATCCTACCCAGAACTGCCGATCAAATTACTTGCACTGTGCACCCCAGGTCAGGTTATTTTCCCTGGGTGTAAAACTGGGTATATAGGTTATAATAACTACTTTCTCGGACTACAATCCCTGGGTGGTAAATAAAATAACTTGGTCAACAGGTTAGAATAACTTGTTATATGACGGAAATAACCTGCTCCCAGGTCTCGTTGTAACAGTTATTATAACCTGTTAACCACGTTGTACTGTAGAGGCAAAATAGCTGGGAAAACGGGTTTTCTCACTCCTTGTCCAACAGATAGAAATCACCACATTGAATTTTGATTGGACTGGTATAAAAAACTCGGTAGACAGATGAAATTGAGGCTATAACTGAGTGTTTATATACAACCTATCTACACGGTATCAACCAACTTATGATGCTTGGATGAACACACCGTTGCTTCCCAAACCCTCATTCCCAGACTGAGCCCCCTGATACTCCATATCATCGTCATCCTCGTCCCCATCCCTGCCATAGCCCGCCAAAATTTCCCCTTTCCCCTCACCCAGTCTGCAGGGAAGCACTTTCGTGTGTTTGAGCAGGTCTGGCACATTGAACTCAATTAGTAAGTCAGTTGCCTCTGGAGTAAAGCACTTACCAAACAGAAGATGTTAGCCAGTTTATGATGGACATGTCAAGAGGTCAGCCAGCACCACTGGATGGGGGAGGGAGAAAGAGGTTGTTTGATCCCATTCTCACGTTTGTTAAGTATTATATATAGAGATTGCGCTGTATGCTCCACAATGACATCAAAGCTCCCCTGAGATATATATACTGATACACCTGGTTCACAAGTTATGAAGATCACTTATTGAACAGGTTATAATTTAACTTGGTATCTACTGGTTTCGAGGACAAGGTAAAATTTACTGGGTTTCCAGGTGATTTTAATAACCTGGTAATATCTGGGTATTATTACTGGGTTCAGAATAACCAGGTTGGTACCCAATCTTCCAGTGAAAGGTTGAAAGCACTCGGTGATCAGGGGAAAACAACCCGAACTGGGGTGCACAGTGTTGTTTCATCGAGGAGGTTATCTTGAATGACAAAGGCGTATGCATCCTGTGGAGCTAGCAGCTTCGATAAATTCTCATGTGGAGGTCAGCATCACTTATGATTTCAGTTCTAAGCCTGGGAGATGGGGAGATGTCATTTACCATAGTGCGCCACTCCCTGTTCAATATTACACCAAAGGCTAACACGTTAAACTGGGAAATTGGTGCTACAGGATGATGTATGTCCCTTGTCCCCCTATTGACAGGCTATGTGCCATTAGGGGTGTTCACAGTAGCCATTTTTTATTTCATTTTTTATTTCATTTTTCAGAAAAATGAGATGAAAAATGGAGTTAGAAATGAGATGGAAAATGGCTCAAAAACAGGAAACGTGTCTGTTTTTGATGTGTTTCTATTTTTCATTCATTTTTCATCCATTTTTTGTCTTCGGGGGTCAAGTTGCCAAAGGGTGTTTCAGCATTATCCGTTTCTTTTGTTGTTGCCCCATATGGCAATCACCTCACATTTTTGAAAATTTCAAGGAGGGTGGGTTCACAGTAGCCATTTTTTGGTTCATTTTTCAGTTCAATTTTGATGTTCTATGTCTACAAAAATGAATGAAGAATGGATCAAAAATGGCTCAAAAATGGCTACCATGAACTCCCCTATTTTCTCCCTTGCCTCGCAACAAGCCCTTGTCCGACTGACATTTCATTGCTTATGTACACCCGATGCTGCTCTCATTCATTCTTTCTGTGCCACTTCTAACAATGCTCCATTGTCCAAAAATTCTGCATCTATTGACTGCATCTGATTCTAGGAATTTCAGCCCAACACTGTAGTCCATTTTCAAAGAAATTGGGGAACACCATAATCAAACCATAATTAGTGTTTGGAAGTCTGGTCTCAGGACTGGAAAAAGACCAGACCAAGATCACAAAAGTAAAGACCGCAAAAAAAACGGTCTAAGTGAACCAGTCTTAACCGGTTAGGACCTGCTTTTTGTAGCCCACTAAATACCCTTCAAAACGCACCCAAGAATGTATTAATTGGTCCAAAACTGACAAAGATATAGTTGAAGATGTAAAATATTGTTGAAAATAGTAGCTGTACCAGGCTTTTTTTTATATAGAAACACCAATTCTTAATGGGATTTAACGTTCTTGGGCTCTTTTTAAAGCTAATAAAAACGTCAACAAATTTACCAACTCATAACTCTAAAATATTGGCTGAAAGACTGGTCTTAAACTGGTCAAAACCAAAGAAGACCAAGACTGGTCTATAGACCACAAAAAGACTGCAGACTGCGGTTTTTTGTGGTCCGGTTCAGTCTTTTGACTTCTGGGAAAGAGGCAGACTGGTTACGGTTATGGTCTAAGCCCTGGGGCATCAAAAAACTGGACCAGACCAGACTTTTAAACACTAACTGTAATTCTTACTTCCTATCTCTGGCCTCCTTCCCTTCCAGTCTTGATGACCAACTTGTCAAATTCAAATCAGTAAGTGTAGATCATTTGTGAAATGAAGAAAATTTGAGAATAAGATTGTCTCTGCAAGTAGCAGAGGCAAACAGATGAATGGCTACAATACATGTCATCGTATATATGTATAGTGATTGTCACAGGTTTAGCAACCCATGCGGGTTACAGGTAGGGGTACAGGTTTGATATTCGCTACCTTTGCCAAACCTGTATCTGTGGCAGGGGTTGGTGGGTACCTGTAGCAATACCCATCATTCATTAGTCATTATTTCTTTGTGCAGCTTATGGTCTGTGTCACTAAGTTATGTGTAAAAGATACATGAAATATTTCTAAGTCACTTGAAAAATATATAAGGTAGATTTTCATCCTTCAAGTTCATTTGTTTAGTCATTGTTTGTTTGCTTCATGGTCTCACATTCCATAGTTACCAAATCAGGAATTGGCCTGTTCTTTAGACTTCGACCCATTCCACCACTGTTCATGCCCCATAATCATGCAAACCTGTTCTAACTTCTAATAGTTCCTGCACTTCACTCAACAATGATGTCATCTATTCCAGTGATCATGCTGCTAGCCCTTTTGAGATGACTCCAGACAATAGTGATACGTTGATCAAGAAACCATCATCAGGTAAGTGAACAAAGGATTACATTGCTTCGGTAACTAACTCTAAGCTGGATATAGAACTAATATTTGTGAATAAGGATCCCCAGACTGTTGAGAAGAGTCTGGGGATAAAGAGCACCACAAAGAAGAAGAGAATCATCAACTCTACTTGAAACCACAACATGTATATTGGATGTTCCTGTTCCTGTTCCAGGGTTACAGGATCCTCTACACATGACTCCGTTCTCCAGAACCATGTCTCCCACTGCCTTCTGCCTCCACCATCTGGCAAGCCTGGACTTGTCAGTAGGCATTGTCACAGGTAACCCTCAGTAAAAAGCAAAGTCAACCAAAATTGTAGGAAGTCAGAGGTTAGTCAGAAATATATCACACATCTGTAATTTTCACGCCTCCCTCCCCTTGGCATCAAATGGGAGGTGAGTTTAGTCATAAGTTAGTATAAAAATTGTCATACCTTTTATATACATGGCTATGCCAAGAATTTCTGTCTACAAGTTGAGGGCTGAGGCCTCTGCAGGCTGCCTCAGGCTGCGGCGTTTGGACTTGGACTCAGAGCTGGGAGTTGAAAGTCACATGATCACTCAACTCGATGTGTTGGAACTTGAACGTAAACTTGTCACTTTCCTCTTGCTTTCCTCCCTGCAAAGTCTTCAACCTTGTCTCTTTGGCTGGGTAACAGTAAGTTCATTTTATTGCTGTCTACTCATTCTGCTATAGCTTGCACAGGTCTCAGTCACCAAGACACACGAGGAGGAGGGGGCAGGCAAGTCATTGGGTCAAACAGGGTGGATTGTGGTTACATGCTCGCAGGTGAGGCACCTTTGTATGGTATCTATCTCAGCTGCTGACCAACGAGAAAGGCGAGGCTCGACGAAGAGTGATATTAACCTAGGTTTAGTGACGATGCTATCGACGCTCTTTCACTGGATGTCCCGCCATCACCACCATCAAAACATGACGAGCACAGATACTCTTTGCCTAAGGACAACTACCACATTCTCAACACCTCCTGCTCAAACCCAGGCGACACATCCAGCTCCCTTGGTCAAACACCACTTCTGACTTCCATACGTTACACGAGGACGCAATGGTGACTCAACGAAGAGTTAAGCTGTCATCAGGTTTACTGATGATGCTGATGACACTCTTCGGCTGCAGGTCCCACCATCACCACCACCAGAATGTGGCGGCCACAGCTCCTCACCCAATAACGCCTCCTGCTCAAATCCAGGCGGCGCATTCGCGAACCCCCTCTCTTCCCTCCCCATCTCCCCTGCAAATGGGAATGGCAATGACTCAGACTCAGATGCAGAGGATTAGATGGATGTTGGATCTGGTAATGGGCCGCTCAATGGCGTCATTGGAGCATTTGAATGGACTCGACATGTTGCAGAGGGCTTTTTATTCTCCCCCCCCTCCCTCATACTATACTCAGGCTCTAGGCCTACTACATGTATCCTTTGAAGTAGTTGAATATAATTTGATTCAGCCTATTTCCTAACCTAAATTGGGCCCAAGCATTAATGACTGACGTATGACTATTATATGACTAGTACATGACTGACTGTAGCACTAATGTATGACTATTGTAGTACGAGCATAGTCAGAAACACTTAAAAAAACGACATTTAGTCAGACATCCTCTAATTGGTGATGTTCTTGTGACTAACGTCTGACTTCACTATTTACTGAGGGTAACCCCCAGGTACCTTCAGCTAAACCCATACCCTTACCCATGGAAACCCGTACCTGGCTAAACCTGTACCCTTACCCATGAAAACCTGTACCCATGGCTGCAGGTACAGGTTTCCATGGATAAGGGTATGGGTTTAGTGGGGGTTTGGGGGGTCTGGTGGGTCTCGCAGGTTTGATAGGACAGGTATATATTAAAACTACTACAGTCAAAACTCTCTTATCCCATACCTCTGACAACCCATAACCTCTCTTACCCCATAGCATATTGTGTCCACCAAGTCGGTTTGCGGGGAAATGCATAGCATAACCCATAAACCTCCCATACCCCATACCCCATAGCCCTCCCTGGCCAAAACCCATAGGTTTTTCACCAGCCAGACCCTTAAATTGACCGTTAAATATTTAATTTACCAGGTGTGCACAAGTGCACACCCATCCTAGTTATTTGGGTGCGCCTGTGCACCCATTGAGTAGCCCAAAATTTGATAAAATGTACATTTATTCCCCAAAAATATTCCCCCCATGCCTCCCAGCCCACTTGACATCCTTAGAAAAGGCCTTGCTAAGCTCATGGCATCAGTTGCAACTCAGAGAGATGCTCTAAAGGCAAAACTAGCAAAAAGGGAACTGATTTCGACATCAGACGAGCACTGGTTGGATAATGAAGCAAATACCATTGACGAGGAACGTGTTGTCGAAGCACTCAAGTCAGCCTCAGACTATGAGCAGGAAATTTCAAAGTTGGATGACACTGGGAAAGTCGTTGTGCACAAACTGAGGGAGTTGGCAGGTGACTTGGCCAAGGTTACAGAGAACAAACGGAAATGTATGCATTCTGTTCTTGACACCGGCACATGCCATCCTAACCTTCTCTAAAGGTTCAGACTATGAGAAAGAGAGGAAAGCACCTAAGAAGAAAGCTGATCAGGTTGCTCTACTGCTAGTGTTTTAAAGTCCAGTTAAGTCCAGTTTTTTACCTCAAAATGATGCAACTGGCAACTGCAACCGGTCTACACCGATCCAGATATCAAGGGACCACAACCGGACTGCTTTAGACCAGTCCTAATCGGTTCACAACGCGAAAAAGACTGGTCCAGACCAGTTGCGACTGGTCTTTTGTTGTAAAATTTATTACACCACAGAAACTAAATATTACCTCACGTACATAGCATACATAGATATATATTTTAATTCTCTGTAGACTGATTAAAAGTTTAAGCAATTCCGTGAAGATTTGACTGAGCTATGAAAACAACGGAAAGGATATACATTCAAATTGCGTATAAAAATGTTTTTGGCCATATCTCAACCAATTCTTGACTCTTTGATGATTGAGGGACCGAAAATTAAGTAAAAATGTGTGCGAGTAAGGTCCAACACATGATGGGATGAAAGACTGGTTGCAACCGGTCTAAACCGGTCTTTTTCGGTTTTTAATATTTACAAAAACATGGCAACTGGCAACTGGACTGACCACAAATGTGGGAAACTGCAACTGAAAAAAGACCGGACTGTCCTCTGTAGACTGGACCTGCAAACACTATCTACTGCCTCCAACTTTTACGAAGAAAGAAAATGCAACCTTGGCACAGCAAATTGAGGTTCTCGACTGGCACCATGCAAATGGCAAGAACCAAACAAAGACAGCCAACCATTTCAGCCTGATGTATCCAAACCTTAAGATAAAGCAACTGTTAGTGTCATCGTGGCTCAAAGACGAAGCTAAATGGTGCAAGGAGTGGGAAATGGCAGAGCATAAATTTGATCGATCTGCCAAATGAGTTCGACAGACAGAACACCCCGAGGTCTCCGAGATGATGTATTTATGGGTCTCAAAGACAATGGGTGACAGAATCCTGCTGACTGGTGAAATCCTCCAGCAGAAATGGAACCAATTTGCTGATTTGGTTGGGATTGCAGAGGAAGACAGGCTGAGCTTGAGCAATGGGTGGCTGCAACACTTCAAGGCTAGGAATGGGTTGAAAGAGGTTAAACGACATGGTGAAGCCGTATCAGCAAACACTCACAGTGTGGAAGAAGAGCAGAAATGGGTCCAGGTGCTCATCAAAAAATATGGCTACAAGCTACACGACATCTATAACATGGATGAAACAGGTCTTTTTTGGGTGTACACACCTCCTACTTATTTCTATTCCTTAACTCACTCCACTGGATAGAATGGCACCAGACAGAGGCTTATCTGATCGTAAACATTCCAGTGTCAAAGGAAAAAAGCACAGGTTGACATATCTGTTCACTTCAAATGCTGATGGATCAGAGAAACTCCTGCCATTTGTCATCAGAAAGGCAGTGTGGCCCCGGGCATTCAACAAAAAAACTGGTACCCAGCTTGGGTTTTATTATCGGAATAATGCAAAGGCTTGGATGATGGCTCACCTTTATCAGGATTGGATTAATGATTGGGATCGTGACCTTCAACAACAGGGTTGCAAGATTATGTTGCTCCAAGACAACTTTTCAGGTCACATCGTTCTGCCAGGCCTTCAGAACATTCAGGTTGAGAACTTTGAGCCGAATCTCATCACACACATCCAACCAAAAGATCAGGGCATTATCTGGTGCTTCAAAGCCCACTACCGCAAGGAGTTCATCCAACGAGCCATCAATCAGTATGACCGAGGGATAACACCAGCAAATATCTATGACATTGATCAGTTAGAGGCAATGCAAATTGCAGATCTGGCCTGGCATGAGGTCGACACCACCACCATTCGAAATTGCTGCCAAAAGGCAGGAATACTACCTGAAATTGAACCCCCCACACCACAGCCTACAATCCCCATCTCTTCCCTCCTAGATGCATCATCCTTCCATCCAGACCCAATTGTTCAAGCAGAGAGACAAGTGGAGGAGGCGCTCGACAACTTGGTTGCCACAGGGGCACTTCAAAAGAACAATCGGATGGACATAGAATCACTTCTTAATCCAGAAGGCGAATCCCACATTATGATGGAATCCACAGATATGGAGATTTATCAGGACATCATGGATGCAAGAGCTGCAAGTGAGAATCTCAAGATAAACGGTGGCAATGATCTTGATGAAGGCGCACCCGTTGAACCTCAACCTTCTCGGTGCGACGTCCTCAACGCAACGTATACAATTAGCAAATACCTCAGTGAAATCAATGATCCCAACACACACAAAATAGAAGCTCTGTTGAGCTCACCCAACAGAGATATCCGGCGTGAACAGACCAGGGATTTGAGAAGTACAACAATACTTGATTTTTTTACTTTGTAACTACTTCAATCCATGTCCTACATTTTTTTAACAGTTTTTTGCGACTGTCCACTGAGGGGTATGGGTTAAGAGAGGTTCGACTGTATATACTATGTAATATATACTCAATCTACATTACTAACATATTGCATCATCGCCTGGTCATGTTGCATCATTACCATAGTCATGGTCATGCATTGTGGTCACATTGTGTCAGGGTCATGGTAATGAGGTGATGTCGAGCCATTTGGTTGTGTGTTTGTGTTGTTGTGTCATGGGTCATTCATCATCACTCATCGTGGTTGTGGTCATTGTCACCCTTCTTCATTGTCTGTCGTCAGTCGTTGCCATCCTCGTCCACATCTACCATTGCCATTCATCCTCATCACTGTTACCCCTTTGGAGGGACAATGGCTCTTTCGACTAGAGCCAGGTGGTTGTGGGGTGTATGGGGAGGCTACTGCATGTATAATGGGTGTATGTGATGAAGAAGTGGGATGAGGGTACTCACTGTAGTCTCCTAAAGTAAAGACAGTGATGTGGCATCTATATCTCATGCTGAAGAGATCAGCAGTGCAGGGAAGGTGAGTTTGCTCACCTCCGCTCATCTGTACTTCTCAGTCCCCCTATGAATCCTGCATGACTGGCCAGAGTCCTGCAGAAATCCTCAGGAATCCTCAGAGCTCTGCAGAGTCCTGCCAAGCTCTGCCAAACTCAGCAGGACTAGGACAGAGTTTGGCAGGATTTTTAAAGAGTACTTACAAGATTATGGAAAATTCCAGATGAATCATGACATGTGGCTTAATGTAACAGCTCTAATAACTTGATCTCATAATTTCTTAGATAGTTAGGATTGAAAAGGAAGAGTTGCATATTCAATAAAACTACATAAATATTTCTACTACATTGAAAGGGAGGAGGGAGGGAATGGTGGGCAGAGTGTGTGGTGGAGAGGGTTGGAGAGGAGGGGGTGATGGAGGGACTACTACTTTGAGGATAAAAGGGAGGGGGCAGGGCATGGTGGGATGGTGGGGGGAGAGAGAGGTGGAGAGGGATGGAGAGGAGGAGAAATGAGGGAGGGGGGTTGATGGAGGGAGGGGGAGTGGTGGGGAGGAATGGAGGGGAGGGAGGGAAGGGAGGGAAGGGAGTGGGATGATGTAGAGGGAGCCATGGTGGATACTCACAAGGTGCCTTAACAGAGTGAATGATGTCATCTGGTTGCCATGTCTCATGGGCACTTGTTGCTGTATGTGGGTGTTCTGCTTTCCTGCATAGGTGGTTGGTGGGTCGTCATTTTCCTACACAGGTGCTTGTCTCCATGAGTAGGCACTTGTATTCCTATGTGGGCAGTCATTCCTCATTGCCATTTGTGAGGCGTGGCGTGTCTTCATTATCCTGCATCATCACATTGTGTCTGTGTTGTCTTTGTTTTTGTTGTGTCCGCATTGTTATTGTTTTCGCTGTCTGTGTTGTCTTTGTTGCATATTGTCATTTTCGAGAATGATGACATTGGTTGTCATTCTTTGTTTTGTGCCTGGCATCAGCAAGCTGGGTTGGGAGGAGCTTGGGATGGGGGGTGCTTACCTGTACCGCTGTGCATCATTTGGGTGCCACATCATTGCAATGTGGCACCTGGTTTCCATCTGGTGTGTTTCGAGATGGTGGTGGTGGTTTCCGTGGGGTGTGACAGCTGTTTCTGTGTGTGGGTGTCCTTTCATGTTTGTTGTTTGTTGTGGTTGGTGTTGGGCATCATGTTGTGGTTGTTGTGGGCAGTGTTGTTGGGTTGTGGTTGAAGAAAAGAAGTGATCTCACACACTGTGACAATATTGTGATGTTTAAACTCACACATGAGATGACCTGTATAAAGTCACATGATTTTATCGCAGTTGCATCAAAAACACCCCAGTCCTGGTCCTGTCCTGGTTGAGGTGAAATCCCAGTCCTGCAGAGCTCAGCTGTGACCCACCTGCCAACTCAATATGGGTGCCCTGTCATTACAAACTACTTGAACTTGGCCAAGCTTGGGCAGAGCTTGGCAGGAATCATAGGGGAACAATAAAGACCTCCCATTGATGCACCCATTGGCAACGGCTTTGTGTTTTGTGGCATTTGAGGCTTCCATGACATCTTTTCCTCAATGATATGAAGAATCAGGCTTGGCAACACAGTGGACACTTTGTGGAGGAAGGTGCTATAGTCCAAGGGGGCTCAGGCAATAGAATCCTGGACCTATACCTGGTTAGTTAGTCCAGCTGATGGTCTGAAAAAAAAAAAATGGAGGTCTCAACAACTAGAGCTCAGGATTGCTTCAGAACCTCATATTGACTTGCATTAAGTGTCTTTATGTCACATACTACCATATAGCTGCTTGCTTTGCAGCATTCACCAAGTGTGCACAACTAATTTTCGTGAGTGCTATTTGGTTGTGTTGCAACATGACATTTTTGGTTACATCCCAAACCCCCGTTCTCAAATTTCTGCATCCAAAGGACTTCCAGCAGCTCTTACTTACCCTATTGCATCACCTACATGCAGGTTCAACACTTTGTGTAAAGGGTAAATAGGTTACTTTAATGATAAACAATTTTATCTGTCAAACTGGCCAAATTGCACCATGAATGCACTGCAGTGTAGAAAGAATGGCTGTGAAACTTGATGGGTATGCAATTCCACAGTATTCTGCCCAACCTTACCTACTACTATGGGTTGAGCAGGCACCTCAATATGGGTTTGTGCAGTGTGTAGGGAGTCTGCACAAGGACAAGGAGGCAAGTGTGATGTAAAAATATTACTAATATTACCATATTTGGACATGTGCCTGATTATGTTAGTCAGTTAGTCCACCTCAAGTCGCCTTAACAAAAAAATTGACCCTGGGTCTTTTTTTTCAATGCCGGCACCCCCTTGCTATAGTCATCATTTGAACTGAGCTTGAAGGGTCCTTTCTAGGCATACTTGTCACTTTCTTCAACCTTACCTTTTGCCATGCAAGGAGGATTCAGCTTCTCCACATAGACAAAGATCATGAGATCAACAGGATGTATCTCATCACCAGAGTCATCTGATTTTTTGCTCCACTCAGAACTGTACAGTGGTAAGGTTGAAGATGACGTACCAGATGCGGCAACCTTTCTTTTCTTCAATTTCCTTCCTTTTCCAACACTCCTCACCTCATCATCTGAATCTGCTTCAAAATACACAGTATCAGACCACCATTTCAAAAGTTTGAATGTCAAAGGTGACTCACCAGCATTAGAATCATCCTTCTTCTTTGTGAACCTTGCCCTTCTCTTCTTCTGTGACCTCATGTTGACCTCACTATTGGAATTGCCTATAAACAATGTTCATTATTGGTAAAATACACAAGAGAAACAAAGGGTAACATACCAGGATTAGAGGGCCAGTTCTTCTTGTTGTTCTTTTCTGTATGCACATGCTTGGAGTACCCCGATTTATTAAGAAGTATTAACATACAAAATGACAAACAAATGTAAATACAATGCAACTGTCATGCAAGAAGTGGGTAAGTGACACTATGCTGCTACAACCCTATTATGCTAATCTGAGAGTTGCAGCTGCAGCTGTGCAGCTTCCTCATATTTTCCTTGCTTTGAATATGTTGCGGCAAGGTTAGTCATGCTAACCAAGGTAGCTGGATGTTCTGGCCCCAGTACTCTGTTACGCAGATCCAGGACTTTCAGCTGCAGCTCCCCAGCCTCCTCATATTTTCCTTGCTTTGAATATGTTGCTGCAAGATTACTCATGCTAACCAAGGTAGCTGGATGTTCTGGCCCCAGTACTCTGTTACGCAGATCCAGGACTTTCAGCTGCAGCTCCCCAGCCTCCTCATATTTTCCTTGCTTTGAATATGTTGCTGCAAGGTTACTCATGCTAACCAAGGTAGCTGGATGTTCTGGCCCCAGTACTCTGTTACACAGATCCAGGACTTTCAGCTGCAGCTCCCCAGCCTCCTCATATTTTCCTTGCTTTGAATATGTTGCTGCAAGATTACTCATGCTAACCAAGGTAGCTGGATGTTCTGGCCCCAGTACTCTGTTACACAGATCCAGGACTTTCAGCTGCAGCTCCCCAGCCTCCTCATATTTTCCTTGCTTTGAATATGTTGCGGCAAGGTTAGTCATGCTAACCAAGGTAGCTGGATGTTCTGGCCCCAGTACTCTGTTACGCAGATCCAGGACTTTCAGCTGCAGCTCCCCAGCCTCCTCATATTTTCCTTGCTTTGAATATGTTGCTGCAAGATTAGCTCATGCTAACCAAGGTAGCTGGATGTTCTGGCCCCAGTCACCCTGTTATATAGATCCAGGACTTTCAGCTGCAGCTCCCCAGCCTCCTCATATTTTCCTTGCTTTGAATATGTTGCTGCAAGATTTGCTATGCTGGCCAAGGTATTTGGATGTTCTGGCCCCATCACCCTATTATATAGATCCAGGACTTTCAGCTGCAGCTCCCCAGCCTCCTCATATTTTCCTTGCTTTGAATATGTCAATGCAAGATTATACATACTGGCCAAGGTATCTGGATGTTCTGGCCCCAGCACTCTATTATGTAGATCCACGACTTTCAGCTGCTAATTCCTCAGCCTCCTCATATTTTCCTTGCTTTGAATATGTCAATGCAAAATTATTCATAATGGTCAAGGTATCTGGATGTTCTGGCCCCAGCACCCTATTATGTAGATCTACGACTTTCAGCTGTAGTTCCTCAGCCTCCTCATATTTTTCTTGCTTTGAATATGTAAGTGCAAGATTTGCCATGCTGGTCAAGGTATCTGGATGTTCTGGACCCAGCACCTTTTTGATCAGATCCAAGACTTTCATCTGCAGCTGTGCAGCCTCCTCATACTTTTCTTGATTTAGATATGTTGATGCAAGATTATTCATGCTGACCAAGGTATGTGGATGTTCTGGCCCCAGCACTCTTTTACGCAGATGCACTACTTTCAACTGTAGCACCCCAGCCTCATCATATTTTCCTAGCTTTGAATATGTTTCTGCAAGATTATTCATGCTGATCAAGGTACCTGGATGTTCTGGCCCCAGTACCTGGTTATGCAGATCCAGGACTTTCAGCTGCAGCTCCCCAGCCTCCTCATATTTTCCTTGCTTTGAATATGTCAATGCAAGATTATTTATGCTGGTCAAGGTATCTGGATGTTCTGGCCCCAGCACCTTTTTGCGCAGATCCACAACTTTCAGCCCCAGCTCTGCAGCCTCCTCATACTTTCCTTGATTTGTGTATGTCAATGCAAGATTGCTCATGCAGGTCAAGGTATCTGGATGTTCTAACTCCAGCACTCTTTCAAGCAGATACAGGACAATCAGCTGCAGCTCCCCAGCCTCCTCATATTTCCCTTGGAATGACATCATTGCTGCAAGTCTATCCATGCTGGTCAAGGTATTTGGATGTTCTAGCCCCTGCTTGTTTATCCTCATTTCTACAATTTTATATTCAAGATACTCTGCATCTTTCCACATTCCATTTTCATGGAATACATAACTGAACCTAGAGTATTCATCTTCATCAAACACTCTTTCAAAGCCATCATCCTCCTGTGGCTGGTAATTGGCTTTGATGTGTGGTACAAGAAGCCTCTTGAATGCGATGTTGTCAGCTGTCATCTCCTTTGTAATACAGTTTACAAGGATAAGTTTTGACACTTGCATCATGCACTTCTTTTGAGATATTGACATTCTGTCTCTACTCCATTGATGCATCAATGGGTGAATGGCATAAGTTCCTGCAGAGGTTGAGTGCTGCTTGATCAAAGAAAAGGACATAAGAACCCTAACTCCTTCATGAAAGAAGAATTGATTCCAAGACTGATCTTTTTCAAGCTGAAGCAATTTATTCATATGTGTTTCAACTTCTTCTTCTAGTCCACTATGCAGTCCTTTGGAGAACTCGACAGCAGCCTTTTTAAAGGCAGCCTCAATGATATTCTCATGATGTAGAAATGCAGCAGTTTCCAGAATAAGAAGAGCAGCCTGAGCAGCTGCTCTACCATGCCCATCAGATTTCCTGTTTGCCCTTGATTCAATTTCATTGAATGACAAATCCCATGTTTCATACACTGTACGATTGTACTGAGATGCACCCCTAAATGAAGGGTGGTTCATAAGCTTGTTCCTATGTTGAGAGAGATGCTCAAGGTAATTATCAATACTACAGAGACCAGCTTCAATGGAAGCTCCTGCTTGGTCAACAGCTAGAGGTAAGCAGCAGAGCTCATTTACAATTTGTTGAGCTGTGCTGTAGACATCTCCAGTTAAATGGCTGGCTTTCAGCAAGAGTGATATGGCTTCCTTTTCAGCCATCTGATTAACCTCAAGAGAATTTTCATAAGATGTCACCCGCCCAAGAGATCGATTTCTGCTAGTAACCAGAATATTGCCCTGAGAACCAGATGGAATAAATTTTTCTACTACTTCAGGTGCACCATCAGCATTGTCAAAGACAAGCAGCCATTCACCCTGCAGGGATCCAATCCAGATAAGAGCAGACTCAGAGGACACAGATACACCAGCAGCTTTAGCCTCAGGATGAGAGCAAAGACCCTTTAACCCAAGGGCAATGGTATCTTCAGAAGATGCATCAATCCAGAAAACATGAGAGAATCTACATGTACATCTCATAAGATCAGAAATATAGTATGTGAAGAAACTTACCTTTCAGCCATCTTTTCAACAAACTTCAGACAAATCTGTGTCTTGCCAATACCCCCCATACCATACAACAAAAAAGACTTCCTGCTTCTATCTACTTGATCTTGAAGTGCAAAGTGATCCATCAGCCTCTTGAGAACATCCTCACGGCCTGTGAATAAGGCACTTGAATTTGGTCTTTGGGGAAGAAAGGGTAAATCATCTTGACCCCCGCTGGCATGTTCATGAACCTCAATCTTGACAAAAATCTCATCAATATCCCAAACCATCAATGCTGTTGTCATGGTACACACATTTTGAGCGACATAGAGTGTTGTATCCCTTATAACGAAATTGTGAGCTCCCGGAAATACATTCTAGGATTCCAAAAGACAAGGGGCATGAGCCAAAGAATTTATTCATGCATTATAAACACGCACCAGAGACGTTCCTCCCCCCGTAACCTCCGGCACCCTCATAAATGTGGACCTAAATCTCGTCAGGATGCTATCTGCCAGGGTGGAAATCATGAACTCCAACCTCGAAGTGCTAGGGCGTGGGCGTTCGTTACGTGGGCGCTCTGCGCCCATGAGCCGGTCAAGCATCCCCTTGAACTTTCCTTTCAAACGATTTTCACGAGGGCGACTAGAATCAGACATCGTGGTTCAGAAGAGAGTTGTGAATGCTGTGCGGCGTCAATTGTCCAGATGGGTCCATCGTTTCACAGAGTCAGCTGACGTCCGTTCCTTTCAAACTGCTGAGCGCTCCGAGTTAACGCGCAGTGGCGTGCCTCAGCGTAGGAGGCACCTTAAAGGACGGCGGTCAAAGAAGAAGTGTGAGAAAAAGAAACAAAACAACGCCTTTCACCAGCCTCAAGGGGACGAAGAGATGACATGCTATTTCGTTTCAGATATTCACAAAAGCAGCAGATCCACTACGGAGATACCAATAAAAACCTAAAACAAACAGTAAATTACATTGAAAGCCAAAAGACGAACACACATACCTGGCTTCATCATCATCATCGAAGTAGAACTTAGCGATCCCTGTCTAGCGACATTCCGGCTCTACCTCCTCTCTTCCATCCTCGGCGTTCCTCGCATTCCTTGTCATCCCTCTCCCTACTATCATCCTCACTAATTCGCACGAGATCCGGTCGTAATTCATATCCTGTAGGGGGACAAGGATCCACTGCGGCCAACGGATCGCAAGGATGATCTTGGTTTCCTGCAGCTCGGGCCTCGCCTCGCGGATCCTACAAAAGACCAACCAATTAGCTCATCATCAAGAGGGGAGGAGCGACGTCGTACCAAGCGGTTATGCATCACTCTATTGTCAGGCCGATGGAATGAGTACGATCGAAGATCCCAAGTCCTACCTATCGAAGTATCGAATCCTGGAAGGACAACGAGGCATCTGTGCACCACCGGAATTCCTTGTGTTGGATTATTGTCGTTACGGCGGGCCGTCGGTAGAGCTGCGGAGTGCTGAGATCTAAGTTGGGCGAACCAAAAAACGGCGTCGTCACGAAGTTCGGGGCAGCCGATCGCCGCAGGAGTTGGTACGGGTGAGTGAACCAACTTCTGGTAATGGTGCTTTAGAAAGGGAAGCGTCACTCGAACCATGGATGCTCACCTGATATGATAAACAGCACAAAACGTCTACCGTTGGATGACTAGCCTCTCCTCTGCGCCGTGAATCTTGGTCCTCGTCCTGAACGTATTGTTATATGGGGTTCTCCCGTTTAGAGATATCCCCAAAACGCCCGCTTGAGTTCAAGGGGAGTGTGGCGCACGAGGTGAACTGTAGGTTAGATGATCAGAAGATGGGCGCTTTGAAGAAAGCAGATGAAAGAGGGCACGCACGTAAACTTCGGCGACAAGACGATCGCCTCTCGGTTTGTTGATCTTTCATTTCACTCAAGGGGTGGTTGATACGGGTTTCCGAATCGTCCGCGGACCAGGACTACGGTGATGAAACGCTCGTGGAAACCGAGGAAACCGACATGGCCTCACTGACGGAGAGATACGAGGGTTATGAGCGAAGAAGTAGTTGAATGCAGTAGCCTTTCTGAAACCTTTACGTGTTTCAAAGCTTGTGCGCCATGCGTGAACTTTCAATTCCCCATGTTAGCTTTACCCTCAATGCAATGAGCAATGACAGATTGAATACTCACCTAGCGAATGTCGAGCAGGAGAACTGGACAGCTTGAGTCTCCACTTCCCCCCAAATGTGAAGAGAATATTGAGTGTAATTCTGAAGCGCGCGAATGGTAAGTGATAGGTTAGCAACGCTGGCGAAGATGATGATGGTCGAGGACGATGATGTTCACGTTGATCAATTCGCGTCGATCAACGTTTGCTTTCTCTTTCCACTACCACCACCGGTTGACAACTTTCACTAGTCGTGCATATGACGAACGACCTCCAATGTTCCCCACGCCGCCTTTTTCCAATCCTCGGACTATTGATATTGTGCGCATATAGGCACCTCCGATGTTCCCCAACCCACGCACAGGCGCCTCCCTCACTCTTTCTTTCCGTTTTGCAACGAGGGAATCCTTATCATACAATCGGGACCATTGGCTGCATCGCGGGCGTTCCCAGCTCTCGAAGCTGGTGCTTTACATGTATACGTTCTCCCAACAGGCGGCAGCTGGCCCAGCTCTCCCCCACTCAGACATGTCCCCAAAAGGAAATATTGCAAATTATGTGTCCCTTGTACGGATATATCTTCTCATAACAACTTAAATAATATGCCCAAATGGCTCAATGGATAAATGTGCTTCAGAGAACTTACATAATGGCTGCTGAGATTCTTGAGGTTGATGGTTCAATCCTCTCTTTGGACACTTTTTATCTTTTACATTTAAAACATACCGGGGGCAATGTCAAAATACTTAGGGCAATGTCAATTGCCCTAAGTATTTTGTTGGTTAGGTTAGGTTAGGTAGGTTCGGGGTTGGGCTAGGTTCAGGGTTAGGCTTAATGGTTAGGGATGGGAATCATTTTCTCCCCGCGCGGTAGCGCGTTCTTGGTTAGGTTAGGAGGTTAGGGTTGGTTAGGGTTAGGTTAGGTTAGGGTTAGGAGGTTAGGGTGCTCGCAGATGCGCTATGTGCATCTGCGAGCGCGACTTAGGGCAATGGCACATTGCCCTAAGTCGTGAGATTGCCATATACGGAAGGTGAACACATCACGTGTGTCTGAGTGGGGGAGACGTACACCACCATTTGTTCAAAATGCTGATGGCATCTGGCATGAATCTCCGCTTGACAGATTACTGATGGAGGTCGCCCCGGCATGGAGGGCAGGTGTGTCGGAGCTTGGGGCGTAAATGTCAGAGCCAGCGGCTCGACACCTGACCCACAGGTTTTCAACTCTGCTCAGGAAGACCTGTACCGCCAATTTTCTTCGGGCGACGAAATGATGTACTTGAGATACAAATTATTCATAGTAAGATAATAAAATGATACATTGAGCACTTCCAAGTTCTTACAGGTAGAAAAGACACGGAATCCTGAGCTCAACATGAAAAGGCCCGTGCGAGAAACTCTCCAAAATTTCCCCAAGTCGTTTAAACTCCGCCCTATGTTTGGTTATTTCCAAACTTCAACCAGAACCAAACTCACCTTCCTCTCCACCACAACCGTCTCTCGCCCAGTTGCTTGCTTGCTCCCCTCATTATTTCTTGTTTTCATCTGTGTTCCACTACCAAGTGGTCTGCGCCCCATGTAATCCTCCTCATGTTGTTCCATTGGTTGTCCTTGTTACCCACCCGTGCGTCTGTGCGTGGTCACCACCTGTCACTGTTCTGGGCTTTTGTTCCTGCCCATTGCCCCTTTGTAGTTCCTCCCCGACAAGTGGCCACTTGCTAATACTGACTCTCCCGGACAGGTTCACTTTCGCATGCGCCACGTAGTGGCAGCCGCAGTAGACGCGCGCCTATCACCATCATCAAACCCAAGCTTGGCTCTCCAGACAACATCTCAACGTGGTATCCGCCCTCCGCTACCCTCCTCTCATTCAACGAGCCAGAGGCTCCGCTTTGACGCGCCTTGTTTGTGGTTGCGCATTCGGCGGACAGCGCAAAGGGTGGTCGGGTGGGGGAATGTTTTTTGAACGGAAGAGCAGACACAGGTAGTAATTGGAACTGCCTCATTTCTCACATCCTTCCATACACCCTATACCTTTGTACTATGCAACCTGTTTATAATCCTTGCTTATGAAAATGTGGCCAACGTCATCCTCCTCCTTGCCCCTTGTATTTTATGGACTAAATAAGAACATGAACACCTAGTACAAATATGGCCAGGGAGAAATATTGAAAATATAGTGAATTTACGTAGGCTGGGCTGCCAGCTGGTCCCCAGCTGCCCCAGACAGGTAATGCCAAGATCGACCTGGGCACACCCTGCTATTAGTCGGATTTCGATCATGGTGTGGACTCGGATCATTATTGCCTGACAGGTGGGAAAACATGCCACACAGGGTTTGACTCTCAGGTTTTTCTCACATGCCTGTCATTTGGCGGTGTAGGACACTTCCAGGCGGCCTGCGTTCAGCATGCGAGGAAATCCAATCGCGCGTCCAGGGACGGTAATTACCTCGTTGATCTGCACGCTTGGCTTACGGGACTTACAGACATTGCATTTGCATCGGCTCATACCTCAGGCTTTAGGCCTCAGGTCTAGGGCATCTACAGAAGAACTACACGCTCCTGCAAAATCGCCGTATACCGGTGAACACGACCGACATTCCCCCATTCGCTTCCTCTCATCAGTTCTTGACGGAAAAAGCAACGCCCTTGCAAGTGAGCGTGACGACTAATAGGAGAGTATGAAGTAGCGTCTAACATTACGAGGGAGGTGCTGGCGAGTGGGGTGTGCGATACAGAACGTAGGGCGGATGAAGTTTCCTAAATCCAAGGCTATGGACGACACCGATGCAGACGAACTGTCCGCAGAGAACAGTGGTGTACAGACTCTCAACCGCCCCGTCGAAGAATCAACTCGACACCGCTTGAAATGGGTCGCTCAAGTGTACGAATATTGGCCCCTCTTCAAACTAGCTACGAAGATATGCTCGAGCTGCCGGCGAACAAGTCACCACCCACTCACACCCTCACACCCACTCCCAAACTCGGGCGATTCATTCTGCTGGACTCCGCACAGGGACTCTTCTTCTTCCCCCTCCTCACACACCACATACTCACTATCCACGTGGACCTCGTGTCGGCGGACAAACTCATGCCGCAGGGCGTGCTAAACCTCATACTCAGCAAGACTGAACTCATTGCCGCGAAGAAGTTCCCCGGGAACAGATAAAAGCTGATGCATCTCGTTGTGGGAGGCGCACGGGGCTGTGCGTCGTTCGCGTATGTTCTTTCTCTCTGGGTATTTGTCTTGTCACGAACTTACTCTCACTTTGAAGTTAAAAAACGAGGCGATCCCTCTGTCCTAGAAGAGGTACTTTCCTCCCGTGCGTGAGGGTCCGAGCCCATCCTCGTTTGAGGAACCTCCTCAGCCTTGGTCGGGACAACGTTCGGTGGTATCCCGCTCACGCTCTGCAGTGTAGCTGAGAGCATGGTTATGTGCACTGGTGTGGAGAGAGAAGTACAGACGCCGGAGTATGAAAGGGGCAAGACGTCGCTTATCTTGGTGGGTGTTGCGAGGTTGTCGATGCGCCTTTGGGTGTTTCCTCGTGACTGGGCCTACTCCTGCTCTTACGTCCAAGCCATCCACGTCTTCTACTACCATTGCCACCACAGCACCTCTACACCCCAACTCGCTATCCCAGTCACCATCACCACACGCGTGTCAATTCCCGATCAACGCTTCACAAGCGGCAATTGGTCAACTATCCTACAAACCCTCGAGGCAGGGGGACCAGAGCGCCCCCCAGGAGTGATCATTGTGGGATGGAGCGTCTTGGGGTTATGGAGTGGCGGTGCAGCCGGGATGAGGGAGAGGGTGATGAAGGGGCAGAGGGCCAAAAGTGGCAACGTGGGGAGGGGTGGAGGGTGAGGAAGAGACCTCATGAGGCGTGGGCGGGGTTTGATATGGGGTGGCTTCAACGTGTTGTGAGTTAGTTGTACTTGAGCGAGTTTTTCTCGTGTTGTTCTGGAATATTGATTTGGTGCTCATCTTAGTCTTTTCTACAGTACACTATGGAGGAGAGGACGCCTTGAAGTAGCTCCTTCTAAATTTCATGGTCATCCTTGTGGACGCTTTGATTGCTAGCGAAAAACTCTAGCGAGAAATCAGCTTCACCTTCATCCTCGGACTCAGCCTTCGCTTGGGACCCTTTGGAATGTTTAGAGGCTCCATTGCCATTTCAATTGGTGGCTTAGAACGTACCCTTTTTGCTGCTCGGGCGTTCAAGAGCCACGCTGGGGTCGTCGTCGTCTCTGTCGACGACCTAGCCATAGATAAGGACCATTATACGCACCCAACGTGACGAGCCTCACCATTCCGAGCCATAGCGCGCACCTCTCCTGAGCATGCCAGTGTCAGCTGACTGTCCCAGCTCTCCCCCCCGCCACTCGTTTTGGCTATCATAGTCATCGTAACAATCGGAACTCTACTGGGCAATTTGCAAATCCTATAAAAGTGACACAAAGGCATAGTTCAAGATGCGGCTACTAGTGCTTGAGGGGCGAGAAACTATTTATCAAAGCCAATCACTCATAAAATACGTATTACCTTCCTTTGAAAACAGTGTAGACTTTGAGAACATACTTAGTACGATGAACCAAAGCCTTTTGTAGATCAAGTTTCAAATGTCTAGCTGCATAACCAAAAGGGTAATCATTCCCACGGGGCCAAAATTTACGATAGCCACCCATCTTTTAGTAGCTCTTGGGCACTCGGTCGCAGCCTCGGATCCAATGTCAAGCATCTGCGCAAGAATGCAGCGGTGCATACAATCTCGCTCTCGTCAACGACTTTAAGTTCTCGCAAAGGGACTTCGAGGGTGGATGTTTCAGAATCGCTGGTTGTGTGAAGAAGCGTGTCTAAGTTAAGAAAGTAATGAATCGTCGAGGAGAGTATGATCAGATGAAGTTACGCTTACCTTTCTCATTAAAATATTTCCCCCGATCCTCGCAATCTTTGAGGAATTCAAGTGGGAACGGCCCTAAACCTCTACCATATATTGCAAATGGAGTTCATGCGAGTAATTACGAGCGTCCTGGCCGAAAAGGTGCAAATTGGTGAGAATTTCAAACACCTAGGATGCATTCAGTATCAGCGGAGCGATATAGGTAACCAACGTACAAGGCAACCGACAGTCCAGATGTCGATGGCGGACGTCCAAGGATATCTGAGGGTGACTTCGGGGGCGCGGATTAGAGATGGTTAACGAAGAAACTCTCTCCTGGGCGCGTCGAAGGGAGTGGCTGTTGATGCATCATCGGTAAGAGTGAGTAAAAGTAGAAGGCAAGATGTGCGCACCTTCGCTGTAATCCATCACTCGCACCGATATATCCTCAATAGATTCACAAAGGCTAAAATACGGTAGAGGCTGTGAACGTGAAAAGACAAGACATAAATCCAATGATTTAGGTCTAGGGGAGGGCCATAAATCAATGCAGACTCCGACTGGGTTGATTCGCTTATTCCAGAAGCCCTTGATTTAGGTATTGAAAGAAGGACGTTCTTGGATTTGACATCTTCACATATGATCATCAGCAAGGATAAGAATGTGTGCAGGGTCAGACCCACCAGTGTGAATATACCCGCATTCACGAATCACGATGAAGGTAGTCCAGAGCGAGAAGAACCTGTTCTATGATGCGCTTCACAATGGGAGGGCGAGCCATCCTGCCCAGGCACTCGAAAGTTTGCCACGCTCGAGCTCAACGGCTCCGTAACAAAGCATATGTGACCGCCGGCCGCGCTGTTGGCAATAAAAAAACGTTTGAGAGCCAAGCAGTGATTGAATCCGGGGCTGTTGGGGTTGGCAGATTCGATCTTCCGGAATACATCTCTCTCTGGTGAATGACCCCCGACAATTGTTGCAGAGGCTTGCAACGTCAAGATCTTCAAGGCAACGAATGTCCTTGTGTCCGCCGAGTGGTCGCTGTAGTGATATTTAGAGGACTAGTAGTAAACGAATTTACCAGCCAACTCACAGCGCGAGCCACACGGAGGAGTTGGCAGCCCAACCCAGCTAACTTTATGATTGAGAAAGGGTTGACGGAGGGAAGCTCAAATAAACGCACTTTGCAGACGAGTTGATACTCATTTAGCGAACGTCCGACTGCAGCAGAGGTGATGTAGCCAAAGCCCTCCTCGAAAGTCGAGAGCAGAGGTTCCTCCGGGGGCACGGCCCTTCCTCCCATCGCGGCGGCAAGGAGCTTGGGATCGATTACGATGCCTCGTTTAATCCTCGGATTAGTATTGATATAGTACGGATCTAACCACCTCCAAAGTTCCTAACCGAGTGTCAATCCGAGGCAGGCGATTTGGTAGGTAGTAAGCTAGTAAACTTGAAGTTGGCGGAGATGACATTTGTTTTGGTCGTTGTCTCTCTCCACTACCACGAAGAGTCGCCAAAATTCACTCTTCGCACATATAACCACCTCCAATGCTCCCCACGCCGCCTGCCTTCTTCCTGCAAAAATTTGGGACCACTGTTACTGTACGCATATAGCCACCTCCAAACACACATACGAGCGCCTCCCTCATTCTTTCATTTCGTCGTGCAACTTCGAGGGAATCCTTATCATAGGGTCGGTACTCAGTACTCAGTACTCATTAGCTGCATTGCGGGCATTCGCGGCTCTCGAAACTGACGCTTCACGTACACATTCTCGCAAAAGGCGGCCTGCATTCAGTATGCGAGAAAGTTCAATGGCGCGTCCGGGAACACCAACTGGCGGGACCAGCTCGTTGTTCTCGACGCTTGGCTTACGGGACGTACAGACATTGCATCACGGACACTCTCTTAGCCTCGCCCCTCAGGCCTAGGGCATTTGTAGAACAACTCGACAAATCGATCTCTCCCACTGTTAAATTCCTCTCTTCAGTTTTTGCACCCGACAACGAAAGAACCTAGGCCCTTGCAAGTGGGCGTGTCGACTAACGGGGAGGGGTGTCGATTAGCATCCAGGATTGCGAGGGAGGTGGTCAGGTTGCCCAAGGACGTGGGGTGCGCGGTGCAGAGCGTAGGGCAGATGAGAAGTCCAAGGCCATGGACCACACCGATGCAGACGAAGTGTCCCCAGAGGACAATGGTGTACTCACTCCCAACTCTCGCGTTGAAGAATCAACTCGACGCCGCCTGAAATGGGTCGCCCAAGAGATCGAATACTAACCCCTCTCCAAACTAGCTAGCCTTTGGACGAAGATGTGGCTCGAGCTGACGTCGGACAAACCGCCGCCCATTCACACCCTCTCCCCCACTCCCAAATTCGGGCGAATTGTCCTGCTGGACTCTGGGAACGGACATCCCGTCCTGCTCACCCTCATCACACACCAAATACTCTATCCACGCAAACCTCGTGTTGGCGCACAGACTCGTCCTGCAGGATGTGCTAAATCTCATGCCCGAACTCATTATCGCGAAGAAGATCCTCGGGAATGCATATGAGAACCAGGAAGAGATGATGCATTTCGCTGTGGAAGGCGCGCGGAAGGGGGTTGTGCATCGTTCGTGTATGTTCTTTCTCTTTGAGTATTTGTCTTGTCACGAACTTAATCCCACTACTATGAAGATAAACCAAGTCGATCCCTTATTACGACCATTCCTTTAAAGAGGTACTTTTCTTCCGTGCGCCTGGGCTCCAGTGTCAGGTGTCTCCTCCGCCTCGGCCAGGCCAACGTTCAGTGGTATCCCGGTCACGCACCACGGTCGGGAGGGTGGTTGTGTGGGGAGGGGTGGGAGCACGCGGTACAGATGCCGGAGTATACGTTGGTTGTTTTGATGGGTGTTGTGAAATTGATGCGCTTTTGGGCGTTTCTTCGTTGACTGGGCCCACACCTGCTTGGACGTCCACGACATCTTCATTTTTCAAACGACACTAGCATACACCCCAACCCGCTATCCACAGGTCGTATCGCACATAGCCCCAAAACGGCCCTCCCTTCTTGAGAAGAACTACTTGTTCATGCCAACATGCTCGAGCACACATTAACTTTATATCTAGGAGTGGTCATCCAGAGATCCCGGATCCAAGCACTGTGGCTTGATAGGTGCATATTGGGCAGCACATCCTACGTTCTCCCATACATCTACCCAGCATCCAGAATTCGAATCTCTACCCCCTTGGGATCCGACTTGCGCAATCCGTACACCTTGACCTCCAGAGTGCTGTGCCAGTGTTCCAATTGCCCATGTTCAACGTGCTACCTGAGCAGCTCTTGCAACTTCGACGTTTTGTTCACGGTAACGGACGAAAGCCCAAACCACTCCTTCATCCTCTTGGTTCCCTCGCGGCTCCACGTTACGATAATGCATCTTGACCATCTATTTCGCGTTTGGCAGCACCTTTCCTCCTTGTCTCCCAGCTACATCTCTCCGCTTCCTCGTCCCTCCATCCTCTTGGCCTTCTACTCGTGGCTCTTTCCTTCCACCATTTATCGCCATTCATTTCGTCTTTGGCAGGATATCCTCTCCCCGCCTTTCCTTCATTCTGCCTCGGCCTTTTCCATCCATTGAGATGTCACTCGAGTCGCAGGGTCTTCGTATCGCAATGCTGCATCCCAATCTCCGCAATTGCTGCCGTATACGGTAACGGACGGGAGCTCTTGAAGCCACACATCTTCCCGTAAAGCACTCGCAGTCTCCTCCACCATTCCCCTTGGCCTTCTCGTTGTGCCTCTTTTTTGAACCTGTCGTGGTACCCTATCTCGACGATTGATGAGATATGGCGTTTGGCCACTGGCATTACTCCCCGGACCTACATGAGCCCAAACCACACCCCGCCTTTTCTCTCTTTGCATTCTAGTTTTGTTCTGGACGAGAAGTAAGAACTCAAACCACCCATCTTCCGTCGTTAAGAGTGACGCAGTCACAGCTTCCTCCTCCATCCTTTGCCTTCTCCTCATGGCTCATTTCTTGCGCTTGACATCTCACTCCATCCCACGATCCATGTTTGCCGGGACTTCCTAGATTTGCCCGAACCTATTTCTTCCTGCCTCTCGACATTTACCCAATCGCTCCATGTGTCTCAAGCTGAAGCTCCAAGTTCCACCCCCCTTTTCGCATCCAAACAGATGCTGCAGTGTGGTGTACTGCGCAGCCTACTTCGCGAGTTGACAGCACCCCTCTCTCGTCCTCTTGGAGTGGTTTCTTATGTTTACCCTCACTACTTCATGACTGTAACAAGGCGGTATCCCAACAAGAAACTTTTCTCTCTTTCATAAACGTGCTCCATGGGCCTGTTATACACCATCTCCGCCATGTGATCGTCCACTGCTAGTACTACTACTACAGTACTAGCATGGCGTGCCCGAGGTCCCCGTCAAGCCACCGAGCCCATGATCAATCAAGGCAACTGTACTGAGGTGCAGCCTGAGGTGGATTGCAATTTGCGCCTCGACTGGATTGTACATTCACCGCGCACCGTCCTGTCGAGCTCCCTCCCTTCCCAACTCTTAGTGACAAGTCTTGGCGCTTCCGAACCGGACCCCGACCTACCCCGACTCAGGTTCTTGGGCTCCCAAGTTCCAAGGGTCCAACCCTTCTTTCAAGTTCGGAAGTTCCTGGCTAAATTTCTTCCGATTCGGACTCGCGCTTACCTCCGTCCGTGTCCGTGCCCTTCTTATTCATAGACTTGAACGAATTGGGCAATACTTTGTGTGGGAGTTGACTATGTAGTTTCGTGCTTGCGGTTCAATATACATACATTGCAATGCGTCGTGTTTTGAGGTATAAAACAAAATA